AAAATGCGTCAAGTTAGAACTTGTCAGAGATCTTATCAATTTCAATGATCACACCAAGTTTCATCAGAATCAGTTGAAAACTGTAGCTTCAATCCTGCTCACGAACAAATTTTGACGCGTTTTAAAGTTAGAACTTGTCCGAGATCTTATCAATTCCAATGATCACACCAAGTTTCATCAGAATCGGTTGAAAACTGTAGCTTCAATCCTGCTCACGAACTATTTTTAACAAATATTGACGCATTTTTACGAAGTCAAGGGCAATAACTCAAAAACCGTTCATCGAAAATGCGTCAAGTTAGAACTTGTCCGAGATCTTATCAATTCCAATGATCACACCAAGTTTCATCAGAATCGGTTGAAAACTGTAGCTTCAATCCTGCTGACGAACTATTTTTAACAAATATTGACGCGTTTTTACAAAGTCAAGGGCGATAACTCGAAAACAGTACATCGAAAATGCGTCAAATTAGAACTTGTCCGAGATCTTATCAATTCCAATGATCACACCAAGTTTCATCAGAATCGGTTGAAAACTGTAGCTTCAATCCTGCTCACGAACTATTTTTAACAAATTTTGACGCGTTTTTACAAAGTCAAGGGCAATAACTCAAAAACCGTTCATCGAAAATGCGTCAAGTTAGAACTTGTCCGAGATCTTATCAATTCCAATGATCACACCAAGTTTCATCAGAATCGGTTGAAAACTGTAGCTTCAATCCTGCTCACGAACTATTTTTAACAAATATTGACGCGTTATTACGAAGTCAAGGGCAATAACTCAAAAACCGTTAATCGAAAATGCGTCAAGTTAGAACTTGTCCGAGATCTTATCAATTCCAATGATCACACCAAGTTTCATCAGATTCGGTTGAAAACTGTAGCTTCAATCCTGCTCACGAACTATTTTTAACAAATTTTGACGCGTTTTTACAAAGTCAAGGGCAATAACTCAAAAACCGTACATCGAAAATGCGTCAAATTAGAACTTGTCCGAGATCTTATCAATTCCAATGATATCACCAAGTTTCATCAGAATCAGTTAAAAACTGTAGCTTCAATCCTGCTCACGAACTATTTTTAACAAATTTCAACACGTTTTAACAAAGCCAAGGGCAATAACTCAAAAACCGTTCATCGAAAATGCGTCAAGTTAGAACTTGTCCGAGATCTTATCAATTCCAATGATCACACCAAGTTTCACCAGAATCGGTTGAAAACTGTAGCTTCAATCCTGCTCACGAATTATTTTTAACAAATTTCGACGCGTTTTAACAAAGTCAAGGGCAATAACTCAAAAACCGTTCATCGAAAATGCATCAAGTTAGAACTTGTCCGAGATCTTATGAATTCCAATGATCACACCAAGTTTCATCAGAATCAGTTAAAAACTGTAGCTTCAATCCTGCTCACGAACAATATCTCAAAAAGCGTTCATCGAAAATATGTCAAATTCGAACTTGATCGAGATCTTATCAATCTAAAGCATCACACCAAGTTTTATCAAAATCAGATAAAAACTGTAGTCTCTATAGTGCTCACAAGAAATGTTGACGGACGGACCGACGGACGGACCGACCGACCGACGGACAGGGGCGACGACAATATACGACCACATATTCATGTGGGCGTATAAAAAATCGCTTTACAACCTCTTAAAGGATATATCAAATTTTTTCACGATTTTTTAATTGCTTTTCTTGTATGTAACAAATTATGAATCTTTTTACTATTCCACACTTCGAAATATGTAAATTTATTTGAACTCTTGTTTACGTAATAATTAATGATGACTAAAGAATTCCTTTCTATACTTAATTGATGACTATTTACAACAAACTAAGAGGAATAATATTTTGCTTATTTTCTTGAAGATACAAATTAAAGGCAGAGTATCGAATTCCGTTAATATACTGGTATACTGTACCACGTGTTTTAAATTAATATTATTATATGACTGTATCTGCCCCTCCGAGCTGCTATTCTAGCAGGGCTGTTGGGGCATTATAAACCACTTTGATGATCCATAGTCAAGAATTGAAATTAAAATCAAATCTTTTTGTCAGTAGGTGGTTCCACTTGTCTTCCATGATCTGACCATATCACTATTAAGCACGATTTCTAGGTCATTGAGATATTCTACTAATCAAATGCACTGTGGCACATGATTCTCGGATATTCAATGTCACGGCCTTGCAATATCAATCAATTTTTAATTGTGTTTTATTGTAACAATTATTTTAGGACGAATCGATCCAGAGTAGACTGTAGGCTTATCATAAAAGTGGTCCAGGAAACAGATTAACATACATAATCCACTTATCTATATACATAACGTTATTTATATAGAACAGTGAGATAATCCATAATCACCCATACCATGAAGTTATAAGAATAAAATGGGTAATTACGATTGACGTTCCGAGAAGCAAATAAACTTTGTATTTACAAGTTATAAATTATTCACAATCTCCTCTAACTACAGTTAGTTTATTTTCTAACGTAGTTAGAACTTGATGTTCAAAATAACACGATATCTTCGATTGAGACATTACCGATCATAGGACTTTTATTGCCAGTTCCGATTGTCATGCTTGATTTTTGTTCATTGCTATAATTGAGAAATATCAGAGGGAACCATAAAACTGATATTCACGAGAAGTATCAGAAAGGATCATAAAACTGGTATTCAAATGAAAATATCAGAGAGAATCATATAACTTATATTCAAGAGAAATATCAGAGGGAACCATATAACTGGTATTTATGAGAAATATCAGAGGGAACCATATAACTGGTATTTATGAGAAATGTATCATAGGGAACCATATAACTGGTATTTATGAGAAATATCAGAGGGAACCATATAACTGGTATTTATGAGAAATATATCAGAGGGAACCATATAACTGGCATTTATGAGAAATATCAGAGGGAACCATGAAATTTATATTGAAAAGGAAAACCATAAAACTGAAGTTCATGAGAAAAAATCATATCACGAGTAGTATCAGAAAACTGTTGTTCTATTTGTCCCTAGCTTACCTTCGCCGTATGCTAAGTGCTCAGACAATTTATAAAGCATTCGTTCGGTTTGGTAAAACAATATGAATCAGAATTCGGTCCAGTGTATAATAAATAATGAGATGGTAGGCTATCGTCGAGTGTTTGTGTCAGTTGATTACCGACTAGGCAATATTCAATTCTTCTGTAACTTGTCAAATTCTTTATCAGTTGTCATGGAAACACAGACACCGTTTCACTTTCCGTGCCATCTTCAGTAGTTAATACGGATACCCTCATGTCCCTGTGCGCGCGTTTCTTGTCCCCTGGTGATCGTTTGACGTCATAGCGCGCGATGTGCTGTAAATAAAAGACAAATAATACATGAAAGTCGTAAAGTGATTTGAACGTTGACCTCGTCTGTCTGAGGCACTGGATTCGATTTGACAATAATGGATTTCTCACAGGGTGATATCGCTATTTCTTTGTAATGGCTTGGAATGGATGAAATAATTGCATCAGATGTCATAGCGAGGGAAATTGATTACTATCTCTGTGTTAGATTGTGTCTAAATATAGATTAAAAGATAGAGGATTGATACGCCGTTTTCCATCTCGAAAGCTATATATTTCACAAAATAGGCTTCTCTACAACTTCAGATCTGTGGTTTGACAGAAATGCCAGTCAGGCGAAACCTCCCTAAACCCCCCCCCCCCCCTCCCCCCTTCCCCACCAATGGCCAATATTCAATAACATGTCAATCTAAAACGTGTTTTACCCCTTAAGCACCTTGGAGTATGTTATTAAGGCAAACCCATCATCCCACAGGAGCCGACTCGCCCTGTTTAAATGGCCTAAGAATACATTTCTTCGTCTTATCGTAATGGAATAGCCTAAATATTGAAGTACAATTGCCATTTCGAAGTCAACTGTTTTGAACATGTTTTGAAACACTTTTAGCAGCATAGATCGTTCCGAAAAGAAAATTGCGAAAGATTAGCATCAAGGTGACATTTTCGCTCACATGGGAATACTCGTTTTTTTGTGTTTTTTGTTTTTGGATAATTTATTTTTCACAGCAGTGGCCTCATACGGTTATTCTCTATCCACAGGGTTCCACTTTAATATTTACCATAGAGAGTGTTACAGATGGGAATATGCTTTTGAAACAGCTGATGCCACTATGCACTTTACTTTTTGGATATTTATTTGGTTGAAGTATGATTTCAAACTGTATGGGCATTTTACACTAGCCATAACGACGATTGAATTCATATTGACCTAGATTGAGACAGGAGGAAATTACCTAAATCACCATAAAATAAGATCTAAATTACTTTCTTAACTATTCTCTAAATAATTACTTCTAAATTTTATCTTCTTTCTAATGCACGTCCAATCTCCCTAGACAATCAGTAATGGAAGAAATGCTGGCGAGTTAATGTTGCTATGCTGGCCAGAGTGACCTCATGCGTTCGACTTGCGCAAATTTTCGATGTACGATAAAAAAAAATTTTTGTCCCGAGAATAAATGTGAATGCCACAGTTCTCAGATTTCTACTTAATATGTATAGTAGAATTCATATTTTCACACGAACTGTAGAGCTGTTAAGATGAACAGTTGTGAATTATTGTCCATGACTTAGTCAAAATTGAAAAAAAAATTGTTATGACTTATTATGTTAATATTTGAAAGTTAAATTAAGTACGCTATAAAAGAAGGTGCCACGAAATTTTCTTCTGTTTAGACACGTGCCTTTTGAGGCGACCACATATTGCCCTCGACTTCTCACCCACGTGAAGTCGAGAGACGACAAAGCGTTGAAAAAGGCGAGAAAGCGAGGAAAAAGGCGAGAAAGCGAGAAAAAAGGCGAGGAAAAAGGCGAGAAAAAGCGCGAGGAAAAGAGAGAGGAAAAAGGCGAGGAAAGGAGCGAGGAAAAAGGCGAGAGAGCGAGGAAAAAGGCGAGGAAAAGCGCGAGGAAAAAGGCGAGGAAAAATGCGAGAGAGCGAGGAAAAAGGCGAGGAAAAAGGCGAGGAAAAGAGCGAGGAAAAAGGCGAGGAAAAGAACGAGGAAAGGAGCGAGGAAAAAGGCGAGAGAGCGATGAAAAGAGCGAGAAAAAAGGCGAGGAAAAAGGCGAGGAAAAGAGCGAAGAAAAAGGCGAGGAAAAATGCGAGGAAAGGAGCGAGGAAAAAGGCGAGAGAGCGAGGAAAAAGGTGAGAAAGTAAGGAAAAAGGCGAGAAAGCGAGGAAAAGAACGAGGAAAAAGGCGAGGAAAAGAGCGATGAAAAGAGCGACGAAAAAGGCGAGAGAGCGAGAAAAAAGGCCAGAGAGCGAGGAAAAAGGCGAGAAAGCGAGGAAAAAGGCCAGAGTGCGAGGAAAAAGGCGAGGAAAAGAGCGAAGAAAAAAGCGAGAAAAAAGAGGGTAGCTTTCAAATTAATGAGTTTTGCTGTTGTTCCATGCATACGGTATTTTTCATTTTGGTATTTTCATTTTCAATCGGTACCCATGTCGGTCGGTCCGTTCACATTATTGGTAATCGAATGAGAATCTAGGATTAAGTCGATTTTGTTTATTAAAGAATAAAAATTGTATATATATGTTTACGAAATTGGATGGGGAACAAACAAATGCGTCTTCTTTTCTATTTTAAATCTATCCGAAAATTAACTCAAGTTTACCCTTTGTTCTTCATTTCATCAGATAACGACACGTGTATCCAGAATAAATTCTATTTTGTTTATGTTATAAGCCTATTATGTAACATAACTATGGTCCTTGGATTCGATTTATCGATGAAATAAATATTCATTCATAATGAAATGATCATAAACTAATGGATATGCCTATCAACTGACGTCTTATGTCGTGTAAAGCCTGATCTGGAATTTAGTTTTAAACCAATTGTAAATCTTAGGGGGTAAAGGTACTAATGACAAAGTTACGAAAGCACAGGCACAGGACTTAAAACTTTGTGTGTAAATTGAAAAGAAAGAGTATTTATCCAATATCTGCACAACTGTCCATTAAAAAATAGCCTATCAAACATAAACACTTTATTAAAACCAGACCGGGACACATTGTTAAAAAACTGTTTTTGTGAGTCTGTAGGGCTTATATTATTATATGGACCAATTAAAATTTGTAAGTTTGTATTGTTTTTATTAATTGCAAGAAAACTACTGTACGTATTTAAGCAAATTAAACGCTTTATTTTAGAGAAATATATGTCGCCTGAAGGTTCCAACTAAAATTATTGAGCCATTAAAAAGACAAACATCAAAACTTGGTCAAATTAATTAATTAACGATCCATTTGTTAATTAACGTATTGAAAACAAATTCAGTTTAATCCAGTAGATACATAGACATTGATAGCGAGAAAGCAAGGAAAAAGGAAAGGAAAAAGATGAGGAAAAAGGTGAAAAAACGATGAAAAAGGCGAGGAAAAAGGCGAGAAAGCGAGGAAAAGGGCGAGAAGTCGAGTTTCCTCGCTTTCTCGTGGGCAAGAAGTCAGAGTAGATATGGCCGCAGCCGGTTTCCATAGGCCTCACGACCTGTTTGAAATTATCAAGTATAATTTGAAGATACCATTTGTAAGTTAATAATGTACTTCGGTGGCAATATTGTACAATTTCACATGTAAATGTAAATGTCAGAGAGTATTAACTATTATAATTGTCGTAACTATTGGTCGCTCTGAAAGTGTTAAAATGACTAAAAAATAGTACTAGTTATAGATTCTTGAATAGCAAGCAGAGGAACTCTTTAATAGAAACTAGAAAGTATATATAGATGGATCAATATGAAGCCACACTGACAGGGTAATGTTAGATAGTTACATTATTTTCTCTCACAGGGACTCGCGAACAAGTTCATTTTATTCTCTTAAAGATTTATATCATCATTGTAATTAAGGGCATTACACCTTCAACTCTTCTGTCATCGGCCATTTTGACTGTAGTTTGGATCGCATTCTCCATCAACTAAACTAATAAGACTTCTCACTATTTCTGCACTCAGCACAGTGCTTCTCAACAGCGGAGGAATTTGAAGACCATGGGGAGGAATTATTGCCAATGGGTACTGATTCCATTTCCTACGTATTTTGTGAAGTGTCAGTCCAGCACGGTAATTAGTGTATTCACAAAAAAAGCGGTTCGTTGAAGATAACTGAGCGAGGAGATCTACGACTGAAATTGGCGCCATTCACCAAGAACTAAAGAAAACCGTGAACATTCGGCCCAATGGTCATATTGAACTATCTTGATATTTGGAGTATGATTTCATAAAAATTACTATTCAACATCTGATAATACCTTATTCATTTTCATGATCGACACCTTAAATCTCTATATCCACGTTTGTGAATCACACTTTATGGAATTGATGTGGCTAATGTCTTTGTGGTGATAATAATAATGTTTATTTTCACGGGGGAGATAGGCGATTGAGTAAGATAATTAGAGATGGAACTGAACGACAATCCAGATATCATGATACCAATCGATGGCACGATTTTCAAATTAATACAGTACTTTTGTTATAATAATAATAATAATAAACTATTTATTTTACATGGGACAGAATTAGGCTAGAATGCACAATACCTCGATGGACCACCTGTTTAACAAATACGCAAGTGTATGTTTTATCAGAGTTATTGGTTCAGAATTGGTACAGAAATATGTAGAGAAAGGAGCCAGAATGTTACGAGAACTATTTGAAGTGGCCAGAGCAAAAAAGGCTTGTATTAAATGGACAGACTATGTTGCTGTGATCAAGTACATGTTTAAGTAGAGCTGCATTTATAAATATGACCATTAAGTCTTTGTGAAGTAAGTGGATCAAACATTCGCCAATGGGGGTTTTGGGCATCACAGAAATAATCCACAACCAGTTTGTCTTTATTGTCACCATAATTGTATGGATTATGAGCAGATATAGTTATTTCAATCGAATATAGTTGACAACAGTTCTGAGCCTGTCGCCAGTTGTTTTCAAATCATGAACTGAAGTACTGTATTTAAATGGTTGCACTTGAACATTATATTTTCTTTGATGGAAATATATTGTCAGCCCTAATCAATCGCATCTTCATCGTAGATGATCTAGATTCGGGTGAAAAGCATTTACGATATTATTTCGATTATTGACCTTATCATCCCTCGTGTGGTTGATATAGATATGAATATCTAAGATCAAGTCCCTGTGATGACTAAAATAGATTCAATGATTTTAGTATAGCCTCTTACTAATTTTATCTTTCACTAGATGGAGTTTTAGTGACAGACAGTTGCTTCGTTTTTACAACTAATTGAAAACTGCCATAGAATGTGTTTGCTTAATATTGGAATCAATGTGGAATGTAATGTCTAAACGCTGCCACGCATAAAGCTGCTTGTTGGCTTTCAATTGAGTACGATGAAAGCCGAAGACAAGATTCGATAACCCAGTCACCATATATAATACCTCTTAATGACATGCAATTCCCTATCGTGTCTTCAGGGACAAGTATGGTATGACGTCAATCCGTCCAGAGGAATATTTAATCTATGAAAAGAGACTAAAGTCTTACATATTTTATGGAGCGTTAAGAACAAAAGATTAATCTGTAAATGACCCAGGATTAATAAGAAGAAATTTTGAAAGAGAAATATCTGGTTCGAGAACACGAGGCAATTAGTGGTTACTGAAGAAAAACGATCGTAAACATATCAATCAAGTATAGGCCTTTTAACCCAGTTCCAGCTTGAACTTCCTTAATATTTACATTATGATGAGGTTAAGGCCTGTTTCCTAACTTGGAATGATATCAAATCCCCCAAATTCAGCAGCAAACACCGTAAAGGGGACCTTATTTGTCTCACAGACAATTTTGAAGGTATAATAGTGTACATATGTTTGGCATATCTATCTTTACCTAATGCCTATTGTTGGAAATATAGACAGATGAAACGAATTAACTCTGATAAGGGAATTATCCAGTATAGTAATAAGAGTATTATGGGCAGTGTGATGTCGCATGTGGAATTCTGGGGGTAGCCATACACTTTAAACATTTAGAACACGATCCTCTAGTCGGGACCTCGCGACATAGTGTTTTTGGTAAATAAAACATAGTATCTGTGAAACGGTTGTCCTGGATATATCAAAAGAACAATGCTCAAAATCTACCTGAAAAGCCAAACACTGGCCATTGCTTTTGTTAACTATCACAAATGAACTTGGAAAGCTCCGTTGTTAGTGATCCTCTGCTAGGATATTTCAACTAGGAAAGCTCCGTTGGCAATGTGTTGTCTTCTGTTAGAACATGTGAACTGGGATAGCTCAGCGAATAGCAAGTCGGAATGTCGTCTTTTAAGACGTAGGTGTAAGAGCAGATTGTCATCTGCTAAGACAGTTGGACTAGAATTGTTCAGTTAGCATTGAGTCGGATTGTCATCTGCTAAGACAGTTGGACTAGAATTGCTCAGTCAGCAGTGAGTTGGATAGTCATCTGCTAGGACAGTGGGACTAGAATTGCTCAGTCAGCAGTGAGTTGGATTGTCATCTGTAAGGACAGTGGGACTAGAATTGCGCAGTCAGCAGTGAGCTGGATTGTCATCTGCTAGGACAGTGGGACTAGAATTGCGCAGTCAGCAGTGGGTTGGATTGTCATCTGCTAGGACAGTGGAACTAGAATTGCGCAGTCAGCAGTGAGTTGGATTGTCATCTGTTAGGACAGTGGGACTAGAATTGCAAAGTCAGCAGTGAGTTGGGTTGTCATCTGCTAAGATAGTGGGACTAGAATTGCTCAGTAAGCAGTGAGTCGGATTGTCATCTGCTAAGACAGTTGGACTAGAATTGCTCAGAAAGCAGTGAGTTGGATTGTCATCTGATAGGACAGTGGGACTAGAATTGCGCAGTCAGCAGTGAGTTGGTTTGTCATCTGCTAAGACAGTGGGACTAGAATTGCTCAGTAAGCAGTTAGTCGGATTGTCATCTGCTACCACAGTGGGACTAGAATTGCTCAGTCAGTATTGGGTAGGATAGGGGCAGTGGAAATGAGAATAGCCATCTTCTAAACCAATTGGTATGGCAATACTCAGACAGTAGTGGGTTGGGTTGTCATTTACTAGGACAGTGGGACTGGAATAGTTCACTCGATAGTGAGTTGAATTGCCATTTGCAAGGACAGTGGAACTGGGGTGCTCAATTGGTTGTTTGATGGATTTGAAATCTGCATTTGATGCCTTGTACACCTCAGCTGGGCCATCAAGACCTAGATCACCATCTGATGAAGGTCACCTCTGGTGCTGAGGTCGTCATCTGACTCAACTATCTCAGACTCATCAAAATCATTTTCCTCTAATCCATGATCTGGTGCAACAGCAAGCCAGATCAGCTGGAATTCTGTAGCAAAGCCTTTTGTTTGAATGGTAATTAAAACCGCTCAACTCATGCCTATAATGCCAGAATAGCTGCCTCCTAGATGAGGTGAACTAGACAACCAAAGCAATCTTCATTGATGCAGAAAGAGCTTCGTTCTACTACATAATAATCAGCTGGTGATCGAGGCATCTCGGTCGACTGTTCCAACAATTCTTTATTTTTGGTCAAGGTTTTTTTTTTGCTCCTTATCACGGTAAGCTGCCATTCGTCGAAGTGGTTAGTTCTTGTCGCCGAGGCTCACAGATTCATTTAATCAATGAACATATTATGTAAGATATGCTGTACCAGCGTTAGAAAGATTGTGAATGGCCCAACAGTGCCAAGTGAAACTTTCAAATTTTCAGATTGGATTGACGATTCAAATAACCTCATCAGATCCACTGCAGTCGGAAGAGGGATAATTATGATCAACTGGTGACGAGTGCGATTTTCAGTCGTTGGTGCGAGAGGTCGACGGAAACCAGCAATTATTCAAATGTTTCCAATATACCAACAAATGAAAGTAGTCAGGTATCGCAAGGTCAACCTATTTACGAGACAGTTAAACAAAAATGACACTTTCATTATTCCATACTATAGGCCATAGGCCAGGTTATTCTTGCCGTTTAAAATATAATACTTTCAACAAAAAACATATTTTATCACAATATATTTACATAATTAATGATATAAATGTCTATGTAATATCGATAACATAATTCAGATCTAGATTTTATGGAGAAAATATTTATTATAAATTATTATCTATCTAAATGGATCTAATCTCAAACAGCAACATAGATGACTCTAATCAAATTGGAAGCCAACACCACCCTCCTCTGACTGAAATAACCAGTTTTAAAATTACCAGAGTTGACATATCGTCACAAAGATAGCTTACCAGGCAAGGTAGTATACGCCCACTGGCAGCTTGATTTTGAATAAAAATATTTAGCAGTACAGTATCACCGGTATGAAATATTCAACCTTCAGTCATACAGTTCTTGGGCGATAATGAATATTATTACCAAGTTTTGTAAAAATCTGTCAAGAATTATGCCATCTCGAGTGTTTATGACCTACAAATTAAACATGTTTTCAAGAACAAGGCCAATAACCCATACTAAATATTGTTCGATTTATCTATATTTCGATGCGTTTCATCCTTGGTTGAAAACAAACATTCACACCAAGTTTTGTCAAAATCAGTCAATAATTGAACCTTCTAGAAAGTTTACAAACCTAAAATTGAGCGCATTTTCAAGAACAGGGGCTCATACTAATTATTTTTCGATTTTTTTGATTTTCAATAGGGTTCATCCTTGTTTGGTTACAAATAATCATAATAATTAAGAATTGTGCCTTTTAGAGTGTTTACCAGCAATTGTGTGTCGACGGACGGACATGGGTGACGACAATATATACCCCCCATATCATGTGGGGGTATAAAAAAAAGAATTTGAGACATAGTCCATATAGGGGACATAATCTTAAATGCTAGGTAGAAGGTTTAAATAACACAAAGTATTACAAAGTTACAAAGACAGCTGCGCCATTAGTCTTCAGAAATAAAAGAAAAGTACTAAAATCGCATAATTCATTCAAAAACAAAACAACAAATATTTCTTTTCCTATTTCTATAGATGTCGTTTCTATATATGGCAATGTCTAAAAAAAAAGACGACTCGTCTATTTAACTTTTCTGGAGACACATAGATTTAAAGGCTCAAATTTGACAGTGAGCTGTGAACACTTTTACTGATTGTCTAAGCTATAAATTTCATGTTTCTGAGGCTGAAGTATCCTTTAAAAGGATATAATTGCTTCATTCATTACACATATTGATGCTGCTATTTAAACGACAACAAGTATATTTTTGATCATCTTATTATTAGTTTAAAATACTCTTCATATCTTATACTTGAGCAATCAGGTTTATAACATGGGGTAGAGAAACCCTTCAAAATGCGTTATATATTTACTGCACAATTCTCTATAGGATATCAAAGACACAACTACCATGAAATCTAGATCATTTCATGTATAATAAAAAGGTAACACCCCAAATGTCTGATAATTTTTTTTTTTATATTACTCATGAAATGTTCCCTGGCAATCCTCTAATAGGAAAGGAGAACTGATTTCTTTTATATTTTCACTTTTTGTTTTACAGGACAAATACCAAAATGACACAAGAACACACAAAGCAAAATAAGAAAACCCCTGAAAATAACATTGAGCTGTAATAACAATAAATTTAAGGATGTGTGCAAGTTTTTGTAAAGATAAGATGAAACAAAATCTACTAAATTATTAAGTCTTTTGATAAGTCTTCAAATGTATAGCAATCACCCTATAGCAATGATTATAAAACAATCTAGTAGGTTTGGACTTGTCTGCAATTGGAAGAAGTCAAACCTTCACCCCAAAAGCTACAATATTTTCAAGATACTGAATTATTTCCAGCCTGGGTACACTAATTTCCAGTTACACTTTACACTATATTTTGAAACCATAAACTGTTTAGGCAACCCTCATTAGAATTTATTCAAATCTATCATATAAAATATTGCAAGTAAAAATAAAGCATTTTATAATAAACAAACAACAATACAAGAAGAAATCATCACATGATAAACAAGGAATGTAATATTATTTACTAAATAACAATAATAATATCAAACTTAACAATATAAATTATTTAATATCTGAGAAAATATTAGTTTTAAAAATCTATCATGTACATTCCGGGTTCAGGCCATTTTCTCAAATTTCCATAATTTCTTAAATTTGTTTGATACAAAATGGTCCATTCTACAGGTAAGAGTGCTTTTCACTTATTGGCAGAGAAAAACAATCTAATTCAAATACAGGGCAAGATGTTTTGTTCACGTTTTTTTCGGCAGGTAAATTTATCATCCATGATCTGATAAAATTCTTCTTTTAACCATGTTCAATCAAATTTTGCCTAGTAGCGTGACAAGTTGTCCTGTTAAACTCTGAACACTGAAAATCACAGTTAAAAGTAGGCAAGACAAGACAAATCACTGTTTAAATTTCTCACATATAGTAAAAAGATCTTTTATTGAACAGAGTGATGATTGGTTAAATATTACATTGCATGGAACATGAGATGCATAACATTGTGTCAGATCATGGATTGTGGGTGGAGTAACCTGCAGCAAAATAACAAAACAAAACCTCCAGATTTTAATCAGTTATCAAGGAACAAAGAAATTAATCTTGCTTTGAATATATACATAAAGTACTAATTAGTTACACAATTTTGGAGTAAAAGTGATTTTATTAACATAGTCAGATCATCTAATTTGAACATTAATAGTAATTTAATGATCATCATTCTAAACACTATCACTAAACACTCATGTCCTGATTAATTCAAATAACTATATCTACAGTAAGCTGCATATTTCTTTGGTTACAAGACTGTCAGTCTGGAGAAATCTGTTGCTTAAGCAATGTAGCCAATGAGAGTCAACAATGAATATGATTACAAAATTCACATCCCTTAGAGGAATTATTACTTCTTTTTGTTTATGTGAATTCAAGTAAGTTACTAATAAACAGCATTGGAAGATGGACAAGCTGAATTCTTATAGAGCAATCATTGATGTTTGATTTATCTAATCTGAATTTCCTAATCTCTTAAACAAGTGATAGTCATTTGATATGCAGATTTCCATGTTTCAGAATTAAGCTAACATTTCAAACATATATCACTTAAGTTTTCTTTTTCACAAACTTTCTGAAAATTATGGAGGGAAACTAAGAAGCTTATTATAACTGAGCAACTAAAGGTGTAGGCGTACTTGATTGACACAATCATGACTTCACTTCTACTTGGTTGTTAGTACATGCACCATCATCGGAATTCTGATGTTTGGATGTCAGCTTACTTAATCTGACAACTTCATTTGACATCATTTCAAGATCCTGAAAAGAAATGATACAATCTTAGATAGTCAAAGACGCATTTAAACTCGGGTATCAAAGAAATGAACCATTAAGAAATGCAAAAGTGTATTTATCATTGTTCTTTATTGGTAGGTACGTCATTGGTATGTGTTTGTATTCTCTATGTTATGAAAGTTGTCTGTAAAATCTAGAAAATAAATCCATCCAGAAATGTAATTTAGCACACAAAAGGACAAACACATTTGACATAGAGTTTCTACACTTTATAATATAAAGTTCATATTTTGGCAATGTTAGGATTTACACAAGTCAATAAAAACCTCTTTCATTGTTACAGGTAATAAAGTGACTTATATTGAGAAAAACTTCAACTGGTTAATAGTAACAAGATTGGGTTAAATACTTTAATTGAGCTTTATTAAACCTCGCAAACCTCTTTTTAGAATGATTATTTGAAATGTTGAACCATAATTTATCAGTCAACCTTTTATGGCAAAGACCAAAATCCGTCCTTACATCTTAACAGACTATATGGTTTTAGAGAATAAAGACAGTAAAGTCTTCATTCCTAGAGCAAGTTGAGTGTGGGAGGCCAGGCACTTATCTTATCAATAGATAGCTAGAGACTGACTGGTTTACATGTTTCACCAATCATAAAGATTGTAAATTGAAATGATGTAAGTGTCTATATCCATTGATTAAAATATAAAAGCCAGATTGGTGTGATGAAATTCTGATTTAATGTTAAGTTTTAAGTAAGTTGACATTTAGAAAGCAGAGTACTTGTTAAAAGACAGCCTCATAAAATAATCACAAGACATTCCCAAATAGGTATACAGTAACTGCATTCCAGTATGCTAGTTAGGAAAACAGAATTTTAAATCTTCTATATAAAATATCTGATATTGGGCCAACAAGATATATCTGGAATAAAAGTATACCATTGACTTATTTAATTGAGATTGTAATGAGGAAGTAGGTCCATGCTTTTTCCAAGTCAGATCTTCTAGTTCACAAATAATAGTAGATCACAGCCAAATTTGAAATTCTGTTGGTAAAACTAGAACAATAGAAGTTTTCAGAGAGGTCCAAGAAAATAGGTTAAAAACCATAAAGGTTTTTTGCAAAGATCTGACTTGCTAGGCCATCATACTTGATACATGTGCATAAGATATGCTTCTGTCTCATAAAAATAGAAACATAACATCAAGTCTTTTTGTATAATCCATCATTTATCTGTCACCATCGTCACAATATTTTTGTAGTGATTATGTTATCTACATACATAAATACTAAATATTTTCTATGAAGGTATAAGTGGAATATGCGGAGCATATTAGCATTAAAACATTAGTTGAAACAATAAAATGTGTGAAACCTCCTTGAAACCTAACTTTTTTTTTCTCTCAAGTTTCTTTCAAATTCAAATTCATGTGAAACTTTGAAGTCTGCAACCTTTTAACCATAAAGACTAGCCTAAAATGGTTGCCATGGAAATAATAATAAATCTTCAATGGACTCTAATAAGTCTAAAGAAATATCTTGAGATCAATTGAATAAATTGAACTGTGCTGTTAACTAATTCTTTGTATCATTCATAAATTTGACAAGTTCAGAAACAGAGATCTTTTTCATTAAAGAACAAAAAAGAATATCCTCACCATTACTTTTTAAATTTCAATATATCTCTGACTAAGAAGATATCTCAATAGCTATTAAGAATGTCATTTTACATCAGAAGCTACGCAAAAATCTTTCTATTAAAGGGACATTCCCCTTTTTTGCTCTAATTTGTAAAAACTATACACTATTGAGAAATGTTCTCTTTAATGTATCTGAAAGTTTTAAGTAAAGAAATCCAATCATTATTCTTTAAACACCAAAAATATTTAAAAACATTACTTAAGGTTTTTTAGCTCTTATGCTTTTTGGAAGCTGTTAGAAAACTAATGTTCGGATCTGAAAAAATATAAATGCCTTATTGTAGAGAAATATGTCTCTTACGTATTCTTAAGGTTTCAACTAATAATATCTGGCCATTATAAAGCCAAAAACCAAAACTAGGTTAAACTGCTTAATTAATTAGTACTCTCAGTTTTTAATTAACCCTTTTACAATAAATTCAGTTTGATCAAGAAGATAAATAGATATCAATAGCATGCTTTAGAAATATTTTAAGGTTTAATTTAAGTTTTTGATAATGAGAACTTTTTAGGAACAAGTATAACAAGGGTGGTCACCATTCTGTGTCAAATCAAAAATCTAATTTGTAAACACAAAATTTAACAAAATTCTGACATAAACTGTCACCTCTATCACAAGCCAACACATATTGATGCCTTTCAATTAAGTCAAGGGCAATAACTAAAATGCATTTGATCAAAAAATTGTTAAATCCAAACTTGACTAAGATCTCATCATAATAAATGATCACACCAAATTTAATTTAATTCGGATGCAAACTGTAGTCTCTATTATGTTCACAAACAAATTTTGACACGTTTTTTCCTATGTCAAGGGCAATAACTCCAAAACCATTCAATGGAAGTTTGTCAAATTTGAACATGTTCAAGATCTCATCAATATAAATGATCACACCAAATTTAAAATCAGATAAAACCTGTAGTCTCTATTTGTTCACAAGCCAATTGTGGACAGACAGATCGACATGGGTGACGACAATATACGACCATACTACAATGTGGGCGTATAAAATGTGAAATACCCCTTTAAGATATATTTTTAAAAAAATCTTTATATTTTTGACTGCAAGTGATATTACAGGCCTAGTCTGATACTCCTCAAGTATTAAATGTACTATATTGTGTATAGTAGATAAAGATTGGCTCTGCGACCATCAATGACAAATCTAAACTTGGACACCCCCACTTCTTTCTTTGTTATACAATATCTCCCACTGGGTGCTCCAAGTTTAGATTTCCCCTATAGCATCCCCACCCCTTTCACTTCCCAAACAATGTAAGCTCCTTATCCTGTTAGTGCTGGAAGTTACACCTTTCGAACAAAAATCTAACATCCAACGTCCAAGTTACCTTTACTCTTATTTCTCCCAGCTTCTCTTAACCCAGACAATATGGTGAAGTCTTAAATCCTCCTACCTTGGAACAAACCAATCCCAGTACTGATCAACCTTGGTAAAAATCCACACTTGTAATCCTGATACTTACGAACCCTGGCAACCCCAGTAAAACACATACCCCGGCATGAACAGTATAAATAGAAACCTGCAAGGTGAGTCTAATCAGTCTGAAGAGTTCAAACACGAACGAAACTAGTCACTGATAATCAGGGATAACTGGTCGCACAGCCAATCTTTATCTCTTATATTATATTTTTACCAACGACCCCATAATGGCTAATTTCGTGACTCCTGCGGGCAGTCAAGATCCTCTTTTAAAACTCGGAATTTATAACACCATGGTGGAAGAAAATCCATCGGCTGAAAGACAAAGAGTCTACTTTTCCACCAACCAAGTCTGCCAAAGCTAATGCTAAAGAAGCGATCTATCCTCAGAGGGACACACCAGTCGCCTCTCACTTCCATTTACCGAGACTCTCCAGTCGAAATCTCGACTACTTAATAATCAACTGACTCAGCACCAACCCGGACCTAACACAGTCTACAGCCAATAGGGCCTCCATTTAACTCCATTGGATTATCAGATTGCAAACTTTCCAATGGGATCAATGACAAATCTAAACTTAGACACCCCCACTTCTTTCTTTGTTATACTATATTGTGTATCACTGTACAATATAGCCTAGGTATTCAATTATTCTAGTGGACAAATAATTCCAGGTACATGAAAATTAAAGATTTAGTTACACAACGTGTACAAATTTACTCATGAACTAAAAAGTCTGAAATAAAGTAGATTACAGAAAAACTAGGTTTCAAAGAATACAAAAACTGACACAAAACTGAAAAGTTTCAAAGTACATAAAACTGAAAGGATTCCAATTGCAAAAAATGAAGTTCTCTGAAGTACATTTAAGCTGAATACTTTCAAAGAATATAACTGATAAGTTTTCAAGGAATAAAACTACAAAAAAAATTTAACTCACCTTTTGTAAGTGCATGTTTTTTGTTAATGTTTCTTCCACCATATTTTGCAACTTTTTATTCATTTCTTTTAGTTCACTGTCCTCTCCTTTATTAACAAGATCTAATACTTTCTTCAGTGATAATTTCTCATCATGGTGGTGGCCATGTTGATTATTGCTACGGTGATCTGTTAAAAACAAATCTCAATCATTTTTTAATTTACTTTAAATGAGATATTATTTCATTTAATGTATTGTCTGATGAATCAATGAATCAATTAGTAAACATATTGAAAACCTTGTTATGATTAAATAAATCTATATATTACCAGGTCTACTTTCCATTACATAATGTTCTATTATAGCTGTCTTTCTTAACAAATCTTCAGCCATACAAGCATTACTCATTTCTAGATGAGCAACCTGAAATTCAGATGAATTTTGTTACAATCTGAGCAGAGAATAATTTCAGATTTTAATTCATTTTGCAAACATGCAATACTGACACATAAAAATCACACTAAACATTCTCTTTGGGTCAGAATGAATCCAAAGAAAGACAGGGTTTGACATACTAACTTTTTCTTCCAATTCCCAGGAAGTTTGCTGCATTCCTCCCATTTTGGTCAACAATTCACCATATTCTTGTTCAACATCTTCTGAGAAACTTTTGTTAGTATTAGTTGGTGACTGGAAGGGAACAGTTTAGAACATAGAAATAATTTCTAGTAATATTTGCTTAGTTTCTGTGCCTGATTTTCAAATTTTATCAGAAGTCTCTTATAATTGACCCAAAAAGCATTTATGAATGTCTAGTGTATATTACAGATGTTATACAGAAAGTTGGAATGATGCAAATTGAAGCTTAGAGTGTCAAAAAGGTTAAAAACCTGCATAATCCCTATGGAATTTGTCTGAAAGATATAGGTATTAAATAAAACATCATTGAGCCGTCATAACGCAATGAGTTGTCTACCCTGATTATCTGCTGTCAAGTAAAGTATTCAGAATAGTAATACAATAATTTACCTGAGGTCCACTATTATTAGACTCTCTATTACCTCCACTAGCACTCCAGGATGACACAGAACTATAATAGACAATAACTTTATTAGAAGTCAAAGAAGAAATTTGTCAGTTAAAGCTAAATGTAGTTCTATAATTTTACTATCGCTTTGATATTGGTTATTGTACTAGCTGCTATTACCTGGACACAAATAAGTATTATTATAAATGTATTTGACAATATCTTTTAAAATTTTGGAATAAAAAGTGGGCTTTTAACACATCTTATATGAAAAATGACGCGAAAAAAAATCGCAGTGCTAAAAAAATGAAATTTTTACTTCAATTTTTAGTAAAACATGTTTTGCATGGCATCTAAACTTATTAAATTGAATAGACAAGACTGACAAATTTTTGCTCTCATGTACGGTCAGAAAAGTTGTTCATGGTTGATAAAAAGCCATCGTGAATGTCTTCATGTTATTTCACCAATTTTTCATAATGCTGATATATCTGAGTCGTTATGAATGTGGAATAATATATCATGAGCAGTCTAGTTCTAAAAAAAAAATCACTAAATGTCAAACTTTTTTTCTTCTCAAATTCATAGACTATTTTATATGATATTTCTATCTAGAGAGTAATCTTATAAATAATTGAGTAAGATGTTGAAATGAGTTAGCCGTTAATTGGGAGGCAAACTTCCAAGGTCAACTATCATATCTCTTAATTTAACGTTTGAGTGACAGGTGATGTCACCTTAATTCTAAATGGTATTGATTGATGACTATGTCAACTGCCAATAATTCAAATACTTATCCAGTTAGTACTGTTATTAATGTTTGAGAAAATATGCTGACCTGAGTGGGTGTTGTTCTGGTTTTGTCATTCTAGAATGTTATGTTATGATAAAATTTCATAAGTATATATATCATTTTTTGGGATGCCTTCTTGTTTTCACTGGTGGATATTCTTATTTCATATTGATTGAAATTGTTACTTTTTATATGTTAGTATCAATATCTCTGATAAATATAAATTAACATGTGTTTTTTGCATTTGTCAAAATTGTTATTTTATTTTAGTGTTATGGGTTTTTGTTTCAGTTTTATTTAATGGCAGACTGCATTTTGATGTATGTAGCAAGATACATAGATTATTTTATTTCCTGCTTAGACTGCTTCCTACAATCTGTACAGGAATCTTTAATAATCAGCAATTTTCAATAGCTTCGATATATATAGAAACCACTTAATATCTTTTCAAAATGCTCAAACTTCTACTACTTTCTCTAGGTTTGGAGAGAATAATTGGAAATTTGTCCTCTCCAAATCAATTGGTTGTTGGCACTTGAAATCATCAATGTCAAATCGGTCAGTCAGTAACAAGAATTGAGAGTGAAGGGAGGTCAGAGTTGTTTTGAAGCTTAATTAACGAGACTGGTTCATCCATCAATAGTTAGTCAAATGACATGTTTACTCACAGCATTAACCAATATTGAAAGAGAGAAGTGTGAAGTAGAGCATAATTAATACCCAGACAATCTGCTCCAATCATCCATGTGCTGATACAATCATACACACAAGTGTTGTTACTGCTATGTTTTTATGAGTTTACTGATTAAACTCACAAACCTTCACACAGACTATCTTAATTGGGATATAAAAAAACTGCAGGTGCTCCCTTAAGAAAGTATCAGTCCTAATTCTTATCACAATTTTAGCAAATTTTTTGTTCAACGTGTGACCCTGGGTCATGTCAATCATGAAACAACAGATTTTGCATGGAGAAACTGACTAAAACATGTATAAATGATGAGCAAATATGATTGAGACCTGTCATTAAGGGATATCATGGTTAAAACTGTGAAAAAGTGACACATTGTCTGTATGGAAGAGATATTTTCTTGAATATTTCTATTCCTAATCATAACTAATATCTGTTAGGATTCAATTAACACTGTATCAATATTAATATAACCTTACTAGTCTTATTTACATTCTTCAACCTTGAATTTCCAAATCAATCATAACTAACCTACGACTTGATAAACATTGACCTTCAGTATGGTTTGTTGTTATCAAATTTATTTTACTTCATGATGTCTTTGCTTACATTGGTTTTAAGTCTGTCCTCAAGGTCATTCTTCACATTGGTTTTAAATCTATCCCAGAGGTCATTCTTTATTTAGGTTTAGATCTACCCTTAAGTTGTACTTCACATTGGTTTGCCCAAAAGGTATCCTTCATATTGGTTTTAAATATGACAACAGATTATTCTTTAAATTTGTTGTAAGTCTGTTCCCCACGGTCATTCTTCTCATTGGCTTTAAGTCTTATCCCCAAGGTCATTCTTCAAATTAGTTTTCTTCACATTGGTAATAAATCTGTCCCCAAAGTCATTCTTTGTATTGGTTTTAAGTCTGTCCTCAAGGTCATTCTTCATATTGGCTTTAAATCTGAAAACAGGTCCTTCTTCACATTGGTTTTAAGTCTGTCCCCATGTCATTCTTCACATTAGGTGAAGGCAATCTGCCTGACAGGTCAATCTTCAAATCTGTTAGTCTTAAGTATGATCACATACCAAAAGATTAATCAACATGACATTATTTCTGGAACTTTCAACACTTTTATTCTTGTCTGTGAAAACCTATGATCCATACCAATTTTTTTGAACAGTGTATATATATATCGCAAATTACCAAGAGACTTTTTATTATGTTTTACTGTCTTGTATGAGAGAAACTTCTAGATCTTTAATTGGATGGTACATGAATAAGATAATGAAAACTATGTCAAATCTGTCTGAACACAATTAGATTCTTCCTCTCATGTCTGAGGAATGGTAACAATTGGAAGCATTAGTGCTATTGATTGTTGTGCTCTTTCTTGGATTGCAAAAATTACATTTTCACTCCATTACATGTATGTCAGAATACCCATGGTAAGAATTCAGGCATAACGTTAACAAAAACGCCATGCAGGGTGTTGGGAGGGAAAGTTTGCCAGGATAGCAGCATTAGCCTGCTCTTTTTCAAATTTCAAACTGTCGAGGGATCTTTAACATGCACAGCCTGTTGCACACAGTGCATCGGTTTATTGTCCCAATTGAACGACTAGACACTTTTTCAATGTCAGCCCCTCTTACCTGCATCATTGACAGGGGGACCTTCAAGTTTGCGAGCGAGCATCTAACTCACTGAGCCACCACAGCTCCCCAAGAGCTACCTTTGATGTTATACATATACAAAATAAATGGTAGGAAGCTCACCTATTATCACAGCGAAACATATCATTAGAATCAGAAGATCTGAATAATTCTTCCATACCTGAAATAATACAAATATCATTAGAATCAGAAGATCTGAATAACTCTTCCATACCTGAAATAATACAAATATCATTAGAATCAGAAGATCTGAATAATTCTTCCATATCTGAAATAATACAAATATCATTAGAATCAGAAGATCTAAATAACTCTTCCATACCTGAAATAATACAAATATCATTAGAATCAGAAGATCTGAATAATTCTTCCATATCTGAAATAATACAAATATCATTAGAATCAGAAGATCTGAATAATTCTTCCATACCTGAAATAATACAAATATCATTAGAATCAGAAGATCTGAATAATTCTTCCATACCTGAAATAATACAAATATCATTAGAATCAGAAGATCTGAATAACTCTTTCATATCTGATATAATACAAATATCATTAGAATCAGAAGATCTGAATAATTCTTCCATATCTGATATAATACAAATATCATTAGAATCAGAAGATCTGAAAAATTCTTCCATACCTGAAATAATACAAATATCATGAGAATCAGAAAATCTGAATGACTCTTCCATACCTGAAATATAACAAATATCATAAGGCCACACCAAATGGAACAATTGGTCTACATTTTTCAGCTGAAAAAATGGAGCGAGCAAATCTTTTTAAATTTTTGTTTATGGAAAATATTTTTGTTCTGTGGAGTATTTTGTGTCAAAATACAAACAATTTTTTTTTTTTTTTTAATCTTTTTGTTCTGCAGATTTTAGTTACAAATAAGATGAAAAAATATCTAGGCATATCATATGCACTATCCAATAAATAAAATTTTGGTTGTTTTTCAATGCAACATCCGTAATACATTGAGTTCTCAAACAAAAAAACATTATTTGAATCGGTAAAAGAACAGGCTCGGGTCAGGAGCAAGTAAGCGCGTAACGAGTAAACGACGTGCAACTTATATGGGAGATAACTCATTTTTAGCTTATTCGATTTACCAGACTCAATCGACTTGGTTACTTGCTTTGTTACGACAGAAATTTTGTTTCTTTGTTTAAATTTGATATTTTAAAAGCAGAATTTTTGAATTTCTCAAGCATTAAAATTAGAATAGCCAGTTTCGATTAATTTCAAATATATTATGCAGGTGGTCAAGCATTTGGCAATTTCCGTGATCTCCATCCCGTCAGTCATTGTGTAGCATTTGGCACCCGACCACCGTTTGTCGCAATGCCATGTGATATTGTGATTGTAACACTGCTATTAGTATCTATAAGACAAAAATATAGTCAATGCTTTAGAATCTTTTACGGAAAATTGATCATAAAAATGATGACATGACTATTCTGTTCAACGGGACTAGGTTTAAGGTGGGCGATTTGACTTGTTAATCCACGTGAGAGGAAACATCATAAAATAACATGGTAGGTAGCGCTGTCGCTGACTCTGTTTTGCCGTTTGGACTATAACAACTTTATATTTTTATGAACCGACACGAAAAAAAAAAAAACAATTGTATGAAATTTTTCTGTCAACGGATTTTGATACGAATATGACGAGCGGCGATTTTTTTAAATCAAAAAATAATAATTTTTTTTTGCATTATTTACATGCGGCGAATCCGTCGACCAATCAATCCATTTGATGTGGCCTAAGGATCAGAAAATCTGAATTACCCTTCCATATCTGAAATATTATAAATATCATAAGAATCAGAAGCTCTGATTAACTGTTCCACATATGAAATATTACAAATATAGATAGTAAATGTAAAAAAAATGACCTACTTTGTTTATCTTTGGAATCAGTGAGTATTTCTTGTAATCTTTCTTGTAATTTTTCAGCTCTTTTCCTCTCTGATTGCAACTGTCTTTTCAGATCTTTAATCTAAGTTAAACAAATCATTGGGTAATTCGACTATAAGGAAGATTTGTAAGATGTTCTAACAAAGAAGTTGACATCACTTTGGATATGTAGTTTAGATATTGATATAATAAATATATCTTACCATAGTCTGTCCTTTCTTTTCATGGATTTTTTTATTTCCAACACTATCTTTCAGTTCCTGAAAATATTAAATGTTTAAAGAGTTTGTATAGCATACCTTTACAGAGTTATTTCATAGAAAAATTTCATTATATGATACTACAAAAATACTACTACTACTGTTATAACTATTTAGTACCACATGGCCAAGAGGACAAAGAATTTATGGTTTGAGACATAACCAATGAACTGAAATTATAATATGATAATTGAATATATGTTTATACTTGACGTAAAGATGTTATTGTTGATGTTAAAATTTCTATTTCATTTTCTAATTTCTTTTCCTTTTCTTTCCATTCCTGTAAATACAAAATTATCTCAAATTACAACATTATTCATTGTTACAAGTTAATAGACTATCATTCTATCTAACAAGGACAACAATTTTAACATCATTCCTTAAGTATCATCTAAATCTCAGATATATGAAAGTTTTATGAAAAATGGGATGAAAATTCTTGCCTCTATCTTTCTGCTTATCTACTACTGCCTGCAACTTGATAGACAAGCTTATTTCCCACAATTGTTTTTTAGAATACACACCTTTTTAGAGGATTCATGATCCTCCAATAGTTTTTGGGTTTTAATCTCATATTGATCAACTAATTCTCTCAGTTCACTTTCATGACTAGATTTCATTTCCTTTATTGCTTCTTCCTGATCATTGTTACACTGTTCTAGATTCTCCTGAAGTTAAAAAGTTGAAATGATTTTTGCTTTTGAAACCACTCTTGACTAGTAAAAATGGATTATGTTTTAAACAGAAATCAATAAATATCAAACGAAACCAAAGTGTGCTCTGTCTATACATCTAGATAATTTAAGGTCGTCAAAAAATCCTACCGCTAGGTGTTAAAAGATCAGACAGTATGCACCAGGCTTAAGACCTTGTGTTTTGAACTGTACATGACTAGAATAAAGTAGTATGACCTCTTTTAATAATACCACCTGTGCCAATATCAATATGAAGTGATGGAGGAATACAAATATATAACTTACTTCAGTTTCTTTTAATCTTCTTTCTAACCAACATTTACTATCATTAATAGATTTATGTGTTGTCTGTAATTCTTCATATAATATCTTCATTTTTTCTAATTCTACCAATTCATCCTATCAAATTACAAAATGTGATAAGCAGTTAAGAAAATCTCCTAAGCACTAGGCAAATATGATAAAATATATATATATATATATCTAATAAAATATATGTTTTACACTGTTTGTAATAAATATCAAACAATACAATGAATCAGCATTATTTCACTGTAGAAATTATTATTATCTTATTAACAAAGATATGATGAAACATAAAGAAAAATGATCAGATAAGTTTGAATTGTGATTAGTTACGAATGCTACCATTGACCCACCTGTAATTTGGTGATTTGTTGTGTAAGGGAGGTAACTACTTCATTATGTTTTTCCTCCTGTTTATTAATAGAGTCTCTATGGTTGTCTATTTCTTTTTGGTATTTAATAGCTAATTCATCTAATATAGACTTTCTTTTCTCTGCAACCTACAATCAAAAATCAAAATATAAATTTGTAGACTTGGTTTACATTGGAAGCTATTCTTCACAGTTATTTATAATTCTGATCTCTCATTTTGGATTAAATCCTGAACCTTACGTCAAAGGCTTCTGAGAAAATGCTCATGACTGCTTCAAAATAACGTCCAGGGATATTACTTTGGCTCTATGACTGAAACAGAGCCCATGTTTTTGTTGTCTTGTTTGGAGACAATGAGAGAAATTAAATAGAATTGAAATCGTACTCACAAGACTTAATGATAAAATATAAAATACCTTGGTTATTTCTTGTACAGACTGTATTTGAGTATCTCGTTCATGTTGAGAAGCGTGTAGTTGTTCTATAGTTTCATTAGCAGCTTTCTGACTTTCCTATAACATATTTAACATTCTATGAAGATGGCATTGAGATAACATTGAGATAATCATAAGAAAGAAAAACAAACAACCAATTCTACAAAGATTCACGAGGATCCTGTCCACAAGCTATTCCTTGGCTAAACCTCTTGACATTGAACATTATCAGATTATCTGTACCTATTAACACCTTTTTGAAATAATGAGGAAAGATGACTGCCAACATAGTTTCTTTAACCAAACAATCAAATAATACTCTGCTTCTAGCCTGCAATCTACATTTATATTTTTCATATAGGGCTTCTATATTTATCAATTTGAAAACCTTGATTATTCATCATAAATAAATGATCTTGGACATGACCAGGTTAATAATACTGTAAAACAGTAACTTACAGTTAACTGAACTTTTAGATCATCTATTAGTTGAGTAGATTTAGTTAACTTATTTCTTAAATCAACTATTTCAGTCCGTAATTTAGTAGTTTGTTCAGTCAACTGTTGATTACCTACAATATTAGCTGCATCAAGCTGGAAAAAATATAACATAGGATAAAATCTATATAAATAAATAAGATAGCTCCCTTAAAATACATATCAAACTTCCAATATTTGATTTATTTCCTGAATTATTCCTTTATTTGACCATTCTTTGTAATTATCTAATTTTTATTTCAAAGTAGCAATCTGGGGCCTTATTCTTTAAAACTTAAATAAGATAAAAATCCAGATTTTAAAGGAAAACACTAGGATCTGATAGGATAATAATACTAAATTTTGTCTGAACAAACTGATCATGTGCATCAGATTGTTTATATCATTGATTAGTTCTTCTCTTTCATTATTCTTCTATTCTCTAAATGTCCTTTTTCCATTTCTTCCTTACAATGAATTTCTAGCCGGACCATAAAAAACACACTTAATAGCATTCTGGACAATCAAAATGGCGTCACAATTCAGAAAAACTGTGCCAATAGCCAGTGTGTTCAGGATAAAACTAGATCAAATGTAAAACAAACCTGTGATTGTAGTGCAACTATTGTTTGTTCTAATTCTTGTATCTTCTGACCAGCAGCATTATTCTCTTCAGCCTTAAATAAAATAAAACAAACAATACACAATCATACAGCTTAAATAACAAGTACAATACACATACAGCAGTAGTTCAATGAGTTGGGGCCAATGATTGGCAAACTTCTGTGAAGAAAAATGAAGACAGACAGTGCTCCTACATCCCCTTTTTGTCTCATGAACTTAAAGCACCAAATCATCATACACAAGATAATCCACCAGCCAACCATCAGGTCTTTGTCACAGCCTGTGATATTCCATCAGCCATTGAGAATATTACTGAGTTTACTCAGTTTGATCACAGTTTAAACATACATAATGTTTTGCTTTCAAAAATTGGTAACTTCCTTGAAAACTGAAAGAGAAGACCTTGTGGTCGTCAATGCATTTATTTTGTCCAGAGTTTTAACAACCATAACAATCTGAGGCTTTCTATATTTCAATGGTCAACTTACAGATTTCAGTTTGTCTATTTCTTTTTGTAATTTATTTTGTATGTCTTGATAATATTTCTGATCTCTGTCTCTTCCAGCCTGTATATCTTCCACTTTTTTACTGAAAAATATTAACATAGGTTGAGAAATCTTTATGAAACTTACATTTAATGAATTACATTATATAAAAAGAAAGCAATATTCCGATTAAATTCTACTGTTAATATTTAGGATTGTCAAAATATTCAAAAGATATTCTTGTTGGATGGTCATTTATACGGAGCCCCTTAAGCGTAATTTATGATGATGTTATTTCGTTTAAATAATAAATAAATATGTTTACAATTGCGTCTTAGGGGCTCAGTACATTTATATCTTAAATGAAAGAATTTTTATCCCCACAAATATATACAACTGAGTATGGTGAAGTTAAATGAAGAAACATATTTATAAAAATGTTTTAAACCAAACCAACCTGCTTTCTGCAAACATTTCTTCTTTTTCCTTCTGTATTGCCATATAACTAGAAAATTATACATTAGCTATTTGTAGGTTATACAAAAGATATAGAAAATAAGACTCATCTTATCCTAACAAATCAGTTGACAGAAAGAGTGATAACAAATCATAAAATAATTATTTCTGTATGCTAGTTTAGTAATGGGAATCCTTAAATGATTTTAATATTTACCTTTCTTGTTTCCTTTTAAATTTCTCATTAAGCTGGAAAGACAAACACTCAATAAAAATTTGATTTAAAAATCAGATTTGTTAGTTGACACCAAAATCAAATCAAAATATGTCTACACATGAATGACAGCCTTCCTATTCTGCTAAATCTAAACATTATCCTTCTGTATGGTAGGATTTATGTTTAACATGAAATTATTCATTTGGAATGAAAATGTCCTCAAATCTATAACTTAGAAAACAATATCTAAATTTACAAACCTTTTCATTTTCATTCTGTAAGGATGCAACATCTTCTTTGAGTTTTTTCTATGGAATAAAAATAAACATGTTTATGTTATAGATTATGATAATCATTCTTCCATCAATATGTTAATGAAACTTATATTTTATTTAAAGTATATTCCAAAGAAAATAATAACACACCTCTAAAGTAGTTAATTCATCTTTCATAATCTTCTTTTCTTCTTTTTCTGTTTCTAAACTGATGTTTAACCCTAGTTACAAACAGAGTAACATAAATTAGCAATAATCAACAAAACTGTATACTAAATTCAATTTTTTTTTATATAGATTCTCATGAATACAAAATTCTCAAAAATTTCCTGGTCTTCTCGGTATGCATATAGAGCTGGGTCAACCTATTAACTATAACTATTTTTTTAATTTGCTTCAATTGATGTAAACAAATTGTCAACTTACTGTTTATTTCTTCTGTTAATTTGTCAACATTCCCATCATTTTCTACAAAAAAAAAAACATAATAAAAAAAATCTATACTCATAATAAATTCTTGGAAAATATAGAAATCCACTAATTCACATAATCAACATAAATATGCAATTGAAGATGCATGCAAAAATCACAAACAGAATGATTAACTTTTCAATCATACATACCTGTAATAGTATCCTCAACTTTATCTGATCCCTCTACTTTTCTTTCCTCTAATCCAGGTGGAGGCTCTCTCTCAATCATTGGTGGACCATCTCTTTCATTTCGAACTTCTTTTTCATACTTGTCTTTTATAGCTGTAATATCAAAACTAGCTAACATATGGTGAATTCACTTTACAGACTATGACTGTTCCAACAATGTCTAAGAATGTCGTCTTGGGTCATAGCTAACTATTCTGCAGTCTATATTCTCTTGCTGCTCACATGTGTTGTGAATGCAAAATCATCTGCCAGACAGATAATTTTGAAAGTAAAGGTCAACTTTCCGAAAAAGGATGTCACTTTCAGGAGCAAGAAATAAATAACATGTTTACAATGCCCTTAATTTCAAATATTCCGTGAATTCCGTCACTAAAGCACCCAAAACCATCCAAAAGAAATACTATAAACACAAACTCTTTAGATATGAGAAATTTACCAGTCAGGTCTTACAATTATAAAAAATCTAATATTTTCTAAAAAAAATATTTCCTTACCATTTAAATTCTTTGTTAAAACTGAATTTTCAGCTTGCAGTCTTCTGACTTCATCTTCTAGTTCAGAGTTACCGCCCTTGCCATTATCCTGATCCCCTTTTATTTCAGACAATTCTTTTTCAAATTGTTCATTTGATGCTACCAACTATAATACACAGATAATAAACAAAACAGATTTTATTAATGGAAAAATGGCATTAAGCTGTTTATTCAGGAGGCATTTTTTGGATTTGCACAATATAAATTGTCCCTTGGAAAACTGAAATCCAAAGCATTCATGCAAGAAGTAGTATTTCAAAGAATGAAACTTACAGTTGATAATTCTTGCATCAATGTTTGATTTTGTAGTCTAAATTCTTCTTCTTGACTATGTAATTTACTCTGCAATCCATCATTTTCTTGTATCAATAGCTCTACTTCCTACAAAAATATAAAAATCTATAAAATATCATAGTTTACAAAACATGAAAACAATTAATGTGACAATTTCCTGTTTTTTGTATGTTTTTCAATCAGAGACTTTGCTCGCCTGCAACTTACCTTAGTTTTCTTACTCTTGTTTATTGCCTAAAATAAAAAAATAAAAAATTACAGCATTACAATTATCTAACCACAAATCGAAAATTACAAATTTTCAGATAGAATTGGTCCAATAGTTTAAAAGCATCTCAGAACCCAAATATTGTATTTCCTAAAAAAATAAGTTAAATTATCATGACATAACATGTAATCATACAACTTTCTGTTGTTTTGTTGGTAATTCATTAGAATAAAAAGAATTCATACAAAACAGTGGAAAAGTGACAAAATAATAATAAGTAATGATAGAACTCTACCTTGTTTGCCTTGGCCAACTCTTTATCAAGGTGTTCACATCTCTCTTGACTCAGGGTTAATTCTGAAATTAAAATTGTTTATATTGGATTAGTCTGAAATAAATAAAAAATCATCTTCTTTGCTTCACTGCCTTCAACTTCCATACTGTGTGCACCTAATACATTCTTAATCAGAAAATTTAAAAGCACCAGCCACGTTAGTTTTAAAAACTAAATTATTAAAACAGAATTATGGTGTGGTATTTTTTTGAAAAGTGGTAACATACCTCTCTCAAGCTTTTTAGATTTACCATCTAATTCATAATTTCCAGTTCTTAACTCTAATAGCTGAAGCTGAAAAATAAAAAAACAATTCTGGAGCTTGGCTGATTCGTTGGCTGAATCAAGAGAATATTGTCAAAAAAGACCTATTTAATATATATAAGCTTACTGTACTGATAATGGTAAAGGAACAGGCATGAGAAAAGAAATCTGTCTACAATCTTTTGTGACAATATTGTGGTGTTTCCAATATAGCATAGCATATATCTAAATATATTTTACTGCAGACAGTACTGTTTCGGCCTTCTGGAAAGTATTTTTAACATTTCATTTAAATTCATTCAATTTCTTTGATGTTCCATGTGCTGTATTATTCAGATACAAATGTTTCATACAATATCTTTTTGAAACAACTGTATAGAATATTCAAAATATTAGTACAGTCGAGTAACCTAATTTCATGCTAACCTATTTTTCGTGCATCTCAGGAAATGATTAATAATTGACATGTGCGACATCGTGTGACCTCCGCATTAGTTTGTTTTAATAAACATGGGTTTTCTGTACAATATCAGCTAGTAGAATGAATCCAGTAGTTTCAAGCAAGGTAAAATGTATTAATGTATACTTTGACAAATACAAAATGGCGGATTTCACTTATTACCAAACGTCCCCATTTTTTGATCGGCCGAATTTCCTTATAATCCCAAGCGGTAATCGGAATTCCAAGTGTCGTCTGCTAGAATATAGTCCAATGAACAAAGTCATGTGATAAACTAGCGGATTCTGTGTCAGCAGAAAACACAATGTGGGCCATATTCTTATGTTGTTTCAATGACTTTTAGCAATAAATCACACTACGTATCTTATTTTGTCAGTCACTATTTTTTTCTAAATCATTATTCTTTGAAGGAATTGTCATTAGTTATAATGAAATATTATTAAAGATAAATACTAAGAGAAGTTAATTATACCACCAAGTATCTATACAACGTGTTTTTCTCAACTTATTTATAGATAGAACATTGTACACGAAAATAGGTGACACATTTAGCAGCCATTGTCGAGTAGGTTACTCATGAAATATGGATCAAGGTGAGGGATTCATTAAGAAAATCGAAAATAAAAAAATTAAAATCATATTGTAGAATATTTGAAGAAACTTCTAAGACATAAAAAAGAAAATTTGCTTTTTTTCATTTTGACGAAATTCAATGTACGAAAATAGGTTACACCACTGTATTGGAAGTCTTAAGTAGTTCTGTCACTACTGCAGACCCAATAATAATTGAGTAAAATGAAGGAAAATGAATGGATTTAATGGAGTTTTACATCCTGCATGCTTTGAGCAATGAGCGGAAATTTTGCCAGAATAGCAACATTATCCTATACTATTTCTACTGAATGTTTTTATAATGCATTATGTCCGTTCAGTGATTCTGAATGGCACCGCCCCTTTTTGACATTTCAACAGTCTGTTCAATCTAAGTTATGCATTACAATCATGACAGTTGCAGATATCAAAAGAACAGTCGATACATCCAAAAAACAGGTCAACCATGTAAGTATGTGGATATATATAAGAAAATATACCTGTAAACGATGAAATTCGTCCTCTGATAAGGCTGACGCCATTTTTAGTTTATGTTTACGTTTGAAAGAGAGGCTTCATTGAAATACAAATTTCGGAATGTAAATTATATGTTTATGATGCGAAATATAAAATCAGCTTTGAAGTTGTACATGATATGAAGATTTTCTGAACAAGATCTTATTATACTATAAAATAACTTTTGTTCATTTAATGGTAATAATGATTGTCGCTTTTTATTTGCTACATAATCTCATTTCACACTACTACTTCACTCCATAACATTCCCTTTTTCTCAATTTTAATTTCAAAATGGCTGCGCCCATTAATTAGAAAAAAAGAAAATGAAATATAACCCAGTTGATATGAAACTGTTTGTGAATTAAGTAACAAATTACTCCAACTGTCTTCCATTGAGATATAGGTCTGTATCTAATTCACCTCAGAGAGGTTAGGCATGTAGGGTAGGCTATGACACAGACACTATCTCCTGTGGCTACAAGAAATGAGAAGGGAGCTTCTACTAGAAGTTCTACACTCTACTCAACTCTCAGACCTGTATTATGCTTAAAACTTGAAAAATCTGTTTCCACAGGCACAGGTATCTAGCATATTTGAAAATATTGTGTGTCTTTAATTCATCATTGTTATTATTTCAGCTGATCAGGCTACAATAAAATTATAGTTCAAAATGAGTGTTTATCTTGAGTTAAGTGTAATAGCTGTCATGGTAATACATATTCTAGTCTGTCCATATACTAAAGTTGAAGAAAGCTTTAATCTACAGGCTATACATGATGTAATTTATCATAATCTCGATATAGAACAGGTGAATATTCTATTTTATTATATATTACCTGTGCACTAGTGGACGATGCATTACAATAATTACGTTACATTTGGCTACACTAGCTGTATCATTTTGAACTGTCAGGTTTTCCCAATTTATATTATTTTGGGACTATCATCCTATAAATTAAAATATTAAATTGATCATATGTTCTAACATACTTTAGGCACATAATCATATTCATCTTTAAATGACATTTAGAAGTATAAAGAACATTATATAAATAAGAACACTATTATGTATATACTACTCCTTTCTTTAGTTTCTGCAACATTTCAATTCACATACAGGAATCTTTATCAAACAGTTATAGATTCAGCTTTTAGCCTTTTACTGTATACATACTTGTTCTGTTGTCTATCATTATTATTTTGTACTTGATAAAGATTCCTGTATGTGAATTGAAATGTTGCAGAAATTAAAGAAAGGAGTAGTATATCCATGATAGTGCTCTTAGATAATCACTGTTCCTTGATATTGTTTTTTTATTTCAGTATGATCATTTAGAGTTTCCTGGTGTTGTACCTAGAAGTTTTATAGGACCTGTTGTCATTGCCTTTCTCTCAATGCCTATGATTAGCTTATCACAGTTACTCAATCTAGACAAGATGGCTTCACAATATATTGGTAGGTTTAATTAATTAAAAGATCATTGTTAGCTCACTGTTAGCTATTTCTTTAAGTACAAATGGGGGACAAAACTTAGTCAGCCTCAATTCTTAGGCGTCTATGCATGCATTGGTTATTTACCAAGTTCTAATTTTTATTTAAAAGACTTTTTGAATTTATTTTACAGTAAGATTTTGGTTGGGATTAATGGTAGCTATAAGTTTTATATCATTTTCAAGATCAGTGGGTACAAACTTTGGTAAAGAAGTTAAAACATGGTTAATAATAACATGTCTCACACAGTTTCATTTCATGTTTTATATGTCTCGACCACTACCAAATATATTCGCTCTTGTTCTAGGTAATGTTATATTGAAATTAAAGTCAAGCAATAATATTTCAGTGTTCTGTAATTTTTTGTTCCATGGATATTAAGGCAATTTGAAACTGAATAAGAATTGTAATTCAGCTTTAAATTGTTTGAGAACACATTAGATAAATGTAATTTATGATTTTCTTCCCAGATGCTTAGATTTGTCATTCATTACCATCTTGAATGATCCAAGATGGCTAGCTGGACTCATTTCATGTCTATTTCGTTGATGGGTCAACTAGTTGTATTTGGTTCATGAATTGCTATACAAATAATACATGATGTTTTTCTCTGTGGGGGTTGTTCTTACAATATAAATCTTGAGCCTTATTGAATTCTGTTCAAGCAGTTGTTTATTTTTTTTAGTATTGTTTGCCCTGTCTATGGTGTTAAGTGAAGATTTTGTCAGGTATATATGGTTATCTGGAGCAGCAGTTATAATTTATAGGACAGAATTAGTCTTATTACTGGGTCCTTTATTAGTGTTTGGTTTGTTGAAACAGAAACCTTCATACCAAATGTTACAGTATTATATTTTACATGGAATTTTAGCTGCAATATCTTTATTAGGTGAGTATGGGTTTGTTTATTCAAGAAAGTTTGAATTGTAATTTAAGGCGATTGTTCAGATAGAAAAGACTGCAATTTTAAGACTTTGTTTGCAGAACATTAGGGTCTGTTGTTTATATTTCAGCTTTAACAATAATAGTAGATTCAGTATTCTGGAAGAGGTGGTTATGGCCAGAAGGAGAAGTTTGGTGGTATAATATTGTTTTAAATAAAAGTTCCAATTGGGGTGTATCCTTTAAATTTGATTCTATTCATTTGAAACTTCTTGCTTGGCTTTTGGAAGAGACATTTTCCAAGCAACTATGAATATTTTAGTTTGTTTGTGGTGTTGCAGACATTGATAATATATTCAAGATCAGAGTAAAGACACCAGAGCAAGTATCAACTGATGAAAAAGAAACAAAGTCTTAAGTTGTTTTTCAAGTAAAAAATAAACACATTGTATTTCTTGAATAATGCAATATTCACAAAATGTTTAATTTTCTTAACTTTAGTGTAGACAGAACCATTTTTCTGGTATTTCTACAGTGCTCTTGTTCGTGCTATATCATTTAGTATTGTATTGTTACCAATAGGTGTCTACATAGACAGAAGAATAATACCATTACTTTCATCAGCTGTTATATTTATCATATTATTTTCATTTTTACCACATAAAGAATTGAGGTTTATAATCTACACTTTTCCTGTGGTGAACTTAGCCATTGCCAGTGCACTAAAATATTTGTAAGTATAGTAATTTGAATTTGATATTTCATGAAAAGTAGTGAAAATTGAATGTCATTAGTAATGTTTTTAAGGATTATTGCTATATTTTCTTTTGATGCAAATTCAAAATTGTTTACTGCTTGCTCATGCACATTTTGCTAAAAACAAAAAATTTTATTCAAAGGTTACCATATGATGTATTGTCAAAGCTTTCTACGATATTTTGTAAATATTTCAGATGGATAAATCGTAATAAATCAATCAAGCGGTATTTATCATGTTTGATTGGTAGTGGTTTATTAGCTGGTAATTTATTGTCTACGGCAGGATTTTTATATATCTCACATCATAACTACCCTGGTGGTCAGGCCATACAGATATTACATAGTTTAAACAACAGAACAGGTATTGTTATATTGTACTCCATATTTGGACTGAATATGCTAGAACCTAGCCACAACACCATATATAATATTATGTGAACATGTGTAACTGAATTCTTTTTCAAGCACGGGTCCATCAATTTGCTTGGTACTAATCTTTCTATGGAAATGTATCATGATGTTATTTATTTCTTGTACAAACAGGCACATTTTTCCCCTGCTCCAGAAAAAAACATCAGTGAAACCCTGGTTGTAATGGATGACAACATCTTTTATCTTTACTACTTTTTTCTGTTTTTTTTATTTAAGAAGAAAAAATAAAATTTTTGTTTATTTGTATTATAATATTGTATTTGTAGATTTTGTTGATGTTCATATTGATGTGTATTCAGCACAAACTGGTATCTCTAGATTTACACAGCTCCATTCACATTGGAGGTATGTTTTACTAATTGTGTATGAATTAATTCTAAATTAAAGAATAAAGGGTTGTTTTATTATTCTATTGATGGAGTGAGAACTGCACCTGAATTTGGATGGTAGCGAGATAATAGGTAATCAACTCCTATTACCTTTATATTGGTTTTAGATGAGTGTGTATGTTTGTTTTCTTTGTAGGTATGATAAAACAGAAGATATATCTCCAAATGGACAGGAAATTCAGAAATTCACACATCTCTTATTGGAAGCTACACTTGCAAATTTTAGTGACAGTGAACTTTATACACACTCACATGAACTACAAGCCACCATTCCTGGTTTTACAGGAATATCATTAAATCCAAAAAATATGCCACCTGTAAAATTAAAGTTTGAACCAAAAATATGGATTCTGAAGAAAAAGTTTCTCTCAAGAATAAAAAACATGTAAACAGAAAGAGATGTGTTTTTTTTTATCCATTTTTATATGCCAACATCTCTCTATGTGGACGTATATTGTCGGCACCCCTGTCCGTCAGTCGGTCGGTCAAAATTTGCTTGTAAACGCTCTAAAAACTAGATTTTTGATGGAATGAAATGAAATTCAGTTTGTCTAGACATGTTCATAAAACAAAGATCAAGTTCGAATTTGAGCTATTTTTGACGGTTAGAAGCAGAGTTATTGCCCTTGTCCCTAAATCTTGAATATTTACCACCCGCATGCCATGGTGGGCGTATATGGCTATGGTCCACTATCTTCTCTTCTAGGTTTGGTCTCTAGTCTTAGAGACTGAACTACACAGAAAACCAGGTGACATTTTAATAGATTGAAGCAAGCTTTCTGTACAGTTATATCATTAATAGCAACAAACTTTGCTACCTTGTATCGACAGGTCAGATGTGTTGGTCTGTTTACTATTAGTTTAAATGCGAAAGCTGACTATATGATATTCATGGGGCTGTATTAACAATCTAATAAAATACATTTTGTCAGGATATGAATAATCATATTGTGTGATAAAAAAAATCCAAAATACTAAGATATCTTTATATTACCAACTAATAATTGGTGAAACAAAGTTTATAATATAAATTCACTATTATTCACAAATCACAAATTATGAAGTTTATTTCTTACAGTCTCAGTTTCAGTTCCATGAATACAGCATCCCAGGACCAATCCTCAAATCAATAAATTTTAGAGAATTCTAATCTGTAATAAGATTTAAGATTGATTTGGAGACCAAGACTGAATTTTAGGTTTAACAGTGCTGTATGGTACGTAGGCTTTAGATGTTGCCGTTCGATTTTCATAGTAGTCTGCCATCCATTTAGCTCTTGGTGGGGCTCCATCCCCTACTGGTGGTACATCAGAAATATATTGTAGCCATCTATGCCTGGAAAATATAAATGATTAACCTTAAAGACATTTTGTACTGAAATCTGAGAATTAGTGGAAAGATATGTTCACATTAAGAGGCATGAATACAAATAGTCTACTATATTTTGAGACAATGTAGTTTAATTGGTAATAATTAACAGAATCATTAATTGTCCTTCAATTATTACCTTTCCATCAATGATATCTTTATAACCTAGGTATCTATTGCATGATAAGGGGTTTCTTGAGGTTGATGTATGCAAAAGATCCCTTCCTGAAACGAATATCTGATTCTCAAGGAATATCAGCTGATTAGCTAATCACATTCCAAATGAGAAGGTAAATGTTCCCCAGTGCAGTTAATTTTAACCACTTACCATTCTGGTGGTATCTGACTGGCATCATAATCTAAATGTTTCTCAGGACTGTAGATTGCCCATCTATTTCTACCTACAAGTGTGATAATAATAGGCAGTCAAAACTTTAGTATTAGATTGAAAATGCTATTTGTATCAATACCATGAATAGTAGTATTACCTTACCCATGCATCAAGCACAATAATATGCACATCTGAATCTGAATTTAAAACAAAGCCGACTTACTCAATTTTTAGCAACAAGTAGGTTTTATTTTTATCATAAAAATAAATTCTATGAATAAAGTAGACCGTGCATGTTTTTGGACCCAGATGAGCACAAATATCTTTTCTCTACCAAATAGCCTTCTGTACAGATATCATATCATACTTACTCATTAGGCCCAAGGAGTTGGCAAGGTATGTTATGTGATCGTTAAAAACAAACAATTTATGAATTAAAAATTACCGAAAAAATAGTAATTATTCTGGTAGTATTTGTTTCCAAACTTGTCTTCACCAACTAAATCTCCTGTCTTCATATCATCCGTTCTAGAAAAAATAAATAAAAAATATTTTAGAGGAAAATGAAGTCATAGACCTCAGCTCGTCCTATTTCTTAAGCATCTTGCGGCTTGAAGACGAGAAATCAGTAATAGGTTTGCAGGAGCACTGGGACATAATTCAACCTACTTGTACCAGACATAAATGGACTTCCCTAAACCACCATTATCTTTAATAATCTGCCGAAAGACATTCAATTTGTCCAAAATACCAGTTTTCGACATCTTGAAATGACCTCAGGCCAGTTCGCTTTATCGACAATACTGTCGAGGTTCAGACCACAACGTACATTTTCAGAAAACCAATTAAATCCTATTTTATCAACGATTATAAACTATAATTCATAATATTTTTATGCTAGTTTTATTTTTGAAATGACTGTATCGTTGAAATATTGAAGAAGGTAGCACTACTTGTACCAGAGAGTACATAATATCTGAATAAAACGAATGCACCAAGATGTCAATTCGTCCATATACCAACAATATACCGACAATATTGCAGTCAATGCGACCATCTTTACACAAACCACCAGGATCTATCTGATAATTTTCCAAGCAATTTAATTGATCTGTCGAAGATAGGGTCAGTGTTTTCGGACTATATTGATAAAACAGTAGTACAATAGACATTAAATACAGATAACATTTAGTATGTAATTGATAAGTAGGCTATAAAATGGCGAAGTTATTATCAATAGTTTTAATTATATTCATACAAAATCAAGCGACAACCTCCAAAAAACCTCACATTCTTTTTATTGTTGCTGATGACTTGGGTAAGCGTCTTCCTGTTTCCAGATTGTGTCTTTGTGTTGCTCTTTTAGCAAACACGTTTACTCGAATTACATTATATTTTAGGATGGAATGATATTGGTTTTAGAAATCTCGATATCTTAACACCTACCATAGATAAATTGGCTAGTCAAGGTGTTATTTTTAACTCATCATATGTTTTACCAGTATGTAGCCCGTAAGTTTATATTCGGCTTTATTTAAAGAATATTATTGCATGTTGCGTTAGCGTTCAAACAAGCTGATTTTGAAAAGTTATCTCAAAGGAAATTAACTGAATGCTGAAAATGATGACAGAATGGTAGATTTATTAGTAAAGGAAAAAAGTTTATACATCCATCATGGTCCTCTCACAAGGTCCCTATCAGGTAAAATTGTACATAACAATTAACATAATATGAAACATTAAATGCTTAATACAAACCAAATAACCACAGAATATCCCCCATAAAAAATAAGTCAACACATAAAATAATGTTTGACACCATTTACATTGCCAGAACTTTTAATTTGCAATTAATGTCGTTCACGAATATTATATTTTAGTTCAAGATCTGCCTTCCTGTCTGGTTACTATCCATTTAAAACGGGCTTCCAGGTAAATGATTAGGCTTAATATCATTTGCATAGGCCTACATGAAGCCTAATATAATTTTCAAGAGGCAGAATGATGCCGCCATCTATTCTTTGGAAGACGCTTATTGTTCTTGCGTGCAGCTCACTGACCTGAATGTCCACGGTTCAATCGTGGAATAAGTCCCGTTATACCTTCAGTTACCCAGCTCTTATTAGCTCACTTAGGTGCAAATCTAAGACGTAAAATTCAATTTCGTTTAATTTTAATTTCATACTGTTACCACCTTACCACATGTCATCCAAGTTCTTTGTTTTAATTGGCACAGTGAATATTCTCCTTCTCTAAGCCTGTATTGTTCTATTGTTGAAAATGGCAAAATATTTTACTACTGAAGATTTCCTTGAATAAAACTTGTGTTGATCCTGGGTTTCCAATTTTTGTAGCACTTTGTCTTGGGTGCGTATCAGAATGTATGTTTACCATTGGACCTTACTCTGTTACCCCAACAAATGAAGAAAGCTGGATATGCAACACATGCTGTTGGCAAGTAAGGGGTTCTTTTTTTTTTTTTATATAATTTCACTCTTAATATGATGTACGATAGCTTCTTACGACGTCGTGTTGTTATAATGATACATCAAATAGATAAATGCAATTAAATGCTACTTGACACCCACTAATAACCTGGGCCCGGGCCTGATTTAGAAACTGCTTTATTTAAACACGTATATAGTTTTTGTGTCAATATGTTGCAAAAGTTTGGATAGCTTTTCCATTTTCACCAATTTAGTTTTAATCGTTGACTACAAAAGTAACGTGGTAACCACAGAAGTACTGGTTCTGGTGTATTCACACTGATTGGTTATTGCAGGTGGCATCTAGGATTTTGTAACTGGAATTGTACACCGACATACAGAGGTTTTGATTCCTATTTGGGATATTATAATGCTGCTACAGATCATTATACTCATAAACTAGGTAATACATCGTAATCAATATGGGAAGTCTAATGGTAGTTGCGGTACATAATAGATCGAACAAAAGAAACAATCTCCATTAATTTAGATGGCAAATAAAAACTCAGTATGTAATGTAACTAAAATTGTAAATTTGCAGTTAACTCATGTATTAACATATGCAGATTTGAGATTGGAAAATCTGAAAAAAATATTTTAGAGAATAATTCATTGTTTCTACCTTTTAATTTACAGTGAATTACTATGATATGCACGACAATGAAAAACCAGCATGGAAATACTATGGACAATACGCAGGAGTAAGCAAAACTTTTCATTATAAATATTTATACAAATTACGCACTAACAATGCGGAGGACATCCGCGAATCCAATATATTTTATACTATACGAAACATCTAGTATCTCGTAGTTTTGAGTTTTGCTTATCAAGGAACATTTGGACAATTTTGCGCAGGTGGATGCAAAACATCACTACAAATCACGCTTTTGTTGTAACTGACTTTTGTTATCCCGTTGCCCATGTATGAATTAACTGAAAGAACTCGCGTCGATTGCATATTGATTTAATTCCACTAAATTTATTAAAAAGAACATAGACCACGAGCATTCTTTGAAAGATTTTTGTCTATTGACATCCCTTTCCTAGAGTCTCCTTAACTAATTGTATTGAGATGTTTTAATATACATATACTTCATTTTAATATTTCAGTATTTTTTCACCGATAGATCACTGGAAATAATCAGATCACATGATACAGATATACCACTGTTTCTTTATCTTCCTTTTCAAAATGTTCATGAACCAATTCAGGTAAGAATAATTGCTATAGTTGCTATTACGTTTGATTATTTCTATTTCATAAATGATTTCACTCGAATCATTCAATGACTTTTGGTCTAGCAATGCCAAGATACCAAACTGTATATCAATTGTATCATTTCTTGATTTTCAATAAAAAGTCGTTCTAAGAGCCTACTTGCGTTGAATATTCAGGTTCCAGAAGAATACGCCGATCTTTATCCTCATGTTGGTAATTATGGAAGGAAACATTTCTCAGGTAGGTGAAGTAACTAATATGATGGGAAATGATATGAAGCTTTACGTTTCATTGATAAAATAGGAGATAGAAACAGTAGGCTAAGTGTCAGAATGGACAATGAAAAGAAAATTTACGAGTAGAAGAAGAGGTTCTGATTTTGTTTTGTTTTTAAAACTAGCGAGAATTCATACAAAGGTGAGGGGGCCCAACATGGTCCACAATATTACACAACTATGTAAAGTAATAAAAAAAGAAAGTGGTAACGCCACTGAATTCATAACAATAACTTTTTTTTAGGAATGGTCAGCTTCCTAGATGAGTCCATCAAAAATATTACATATGCTTTGAGAGATAAAAACATGTTGAACGATACATTAATCTTATTTACAGCAGACGTAAGTACACTATTACTGAAAACCGTTACTGATACAGAGGTTTTATGAAGGTCACTTGATCTGAAATAGTTTTGTTCATGAAGTTACTGCAGCTGAAGTCATCAGTGCAAATTGTGCAAATATATAAATAAGTAAAGTTAAGGTAATGATACAAAGTTTTACAGAACGGTGCCGAACTGTTATATTATGGTAATAATTACCCACTACGTGGTGGTAAACATACATTATGGGAAGGTGGAACTCGAGCAACTGCTTTCATGACCGGCTATGGTTTACAACATACTGGTATTCATTATGATGGGTAATGTATAGATACATGTTTATAGAATATAAATAGGAAAGACATTTAAAAAAGTTTAAATTCCATTGATTCTTGAGTAATATATCATTCTTATTTTAATGCAAACCAAAACTTTCAGAAAGAAACATACCAACAATCAATACGGAATGTTTTATTTTAGTTTGATCCATGCTGTTGATTGGATGCCAACATTGATAGGAGCTGCTGGGGCAGAACAAGGTAGGTTGATATTTCATGTTCAGTCCAGTTTACAATTTAATCCATATTAGATAACCGTACACTATAAACCACATCTCCTGTAAATCAGCATCCCTCTAAACCGACAAGAATCAAGAAAAAAAAAACATCAATTAACCAGCGTTAATGAAATAAATTATATTTTACAGTACCTGGTATTGATGGTATAAATCAATAAGGTTCTATCATAATAAATTTATATTTTACAGTACCTGGTATTGATGGTATAAATCATTAAGGTTCTATCATAATAAATTTATATTTTACAGTACCTGGTATTGATGGTATAAAACATTAAGGTTCTATCATAATAAATTTATATTTTACAGTACCTGGTATTGATGGTATAAATTAATAAGGTTGTATCATAATAAATTCATATTTTACAGTACCTGGTATTGATGGTATAAATCATTAAGGTTCTATCATAATAAATTTATATTTTGCAGTACCTGGTATTGATGGTATAAATCATTAAGGTTCTATCATAATAAATTTATATTTTACAGTACTTGGTATTGATGGTATAAATCATTAAGTTTCTATAATAATAAATTTATATTTTACAGTACCTGGTATTGATGGTATAAATCAATAAGTTTCTATCATAATAAATTTATATTCTACAGTACCTGGTATTGATGGTATAAATCAATAAGGTTCTATCATAATAAATTTATATTCTACAGTACCTGGTATTGATGGTATAAATCATTAAGTTTCTATAATAATAAATTTATATTTTCCAGTACCTGGTATTGATGTAATAAATCAATAAGGTTCTATTATAATAAATTTATATTCTACAGTACCTGGTATTGATGGTATAAATCAACAAGGTTCTATCATAATAAATTTATATTTTACAGTACCTGGTATTGATGGTATAAATCAACAAGGTTCTATTATAATAAATTTATATTCTACAGTACCTGGTATTGATGGTATAAATCAACAAGGTTCTATTATGATAAATTTATATTTTACAGTACCTGTTATTGATGGTATAAATCAACAAGGTTCTATTATAATAAATTTATATTCTACAGTACCTGGTATTGATGGTATAAATCAACAAGGTTCTATTATGATAAATTTATATTTTACAGTACCTGGTATTGATGGTATAAATCAACAAGGTTCTATCATAATAAATTTATATTTTACGGTACCTGGTATTGATGGTATAAATCAACAAGGTTCTATCATAACAAATTTATATTTTACAGTACCTGTTATTGATGGTATTAATCAACAAGGTTCTATTATAATAAATTTACATTTTACAGTACCTGGTATTGATGGTATAAATCAACAAGGTTCTATAATAATAAATTTATATTTTACAGTACCTGTTATTGATGGTATAAATCAACAAGGTTCTATCATAATAAATTGATATTTTACAGTACCTGGTATTGATGGTATAAATCATTAAGTTTCTGTAATAATAAATTTATATTTTACAGTACCTGGTATTGATGGTATAAATCAACAAGGTTCTATAATAATAAATTTATATTTTACAGTACCTGGTATTGATGGTATAAATCATTAAGGTTCTATCATAATAAATTTATATTTTACAGTACCTGGTATTGATGGTATAAATCAATAAGGTTCTATAATAATAAATTTATATTCTACAGTACCTGGTATTGATGGTATAAATCAACAAGGTTCTATAATAATAAATTTATATTTTACAGTACCTGGTATTGATGGTATAAAACATTAAGGTTCTATAATAATAAATTTATATTCTACAGTACCTGGTATTGATGGTATAAATCAACAAGGTTCTATAATAATAAATTTATATTTTACAGTACCTGGTATTGATGGTATAAAACATTAAGGTTCTATAATAATAAATTTATATTCTACAGTACCTGGTATTGATGGTATAAATCAACAAGGTTCTATAATAATAAATTTATATTTTACAGTACCTGGTATTGATGGTATAAAACATTAAGGTTCTATAATAATAAATTTATATTTTACAGTACCTGGTATTGTTGGTATAAAACATTAAGGTTCTATAATAATAAATTTATATTCTACAGTACCTGGTATTGATGGTATAAATCAACAAGGTTCTATAATAATAAATTTATATTTTACAGTACCTGGTATTGATGGTATAAATCATTAAGGTTCTATCATAATAAATTTATATTTTACAGTACCTGGTATTGATGTAATAAATCAATAAGGTTCTATTATAATAAATTTATATTTTACAGTACCTGGTATTGATGGTATAAATTAATAAGGTTGTATCAGAATAAATTTATATTTTACAGTACTTGGTATTGATGTTATAAATTAATAAGGTTGTATCAGAATAAATTTATATTTTACAGTACTTGGTATTGATGTTATAAATTAATAAGGTTGTATCATAATAAATTTATATTTTACAGTACTTGGTATTGATGGTATAAATTAATAAGGTTGTATCAGAATAAATTTATATTTTACAGTACTTGGTATTGATGTTATAAATTAATAAGGTTGTATCAGAATAAATTTATATTTTACAGTACTTGGTATTGATGTTATAAATTAATAAGGTTGTATCATAATAAATTTATATTTTGCAGTACCTGGTATTGATGTTATAAATTAATAAGGTTGTATCATAATAAATTTATATTTTACAGTACCTGTTATTGATGGTATAAATCAACAAGGTTCTATAATAATAAATTTATATTTTACAGTACCTGGTATTGATGGTATAAATCAACAAGGTTCTATAATAATAAATTTATATTTTACAGTACCTGGTATTGATGTTATAAATTAATAAGGTTGTATCAGAATAAATTTATATTTTACAGTACCTGGTATTGATGGTATAAATTAATAAGGTTGTATCAGAATAAATTTATATTTTACAGTACCTGGTATTGATGTTATAAATTAATAAGGTTGTATCATAATAAATTTATATTTTGCAGTACCTGGTATTGATGTTATAAATTAATAAGGTTGTATCATAATAAATTTATATTTCACAGTACCTGGTATTGATGGTATAAATCAATGGGATTCTATCAGAATGAATCAACCTTCAAAAAGAACAGAATTTATTTATAACTTAGATGATTTCTTTATTCCTTCTCAGGGACAAGCTGCAATCAGGTAAACCCATCTTTGTTTTCATTTTTTGCTCTGTGGGGATATTTGACACCATATGTTTGGTAGTAAATGTCTGGTGATCATGGGACATTTGTGTCTTTCCATGTCGTCTATATTAGACATTGACAATGTACAGAAGCGATTCACTTCTGGATTCGAAGATCTTGTGCTTTAGAATAATATGATTGAAATATCAGAATATATCTTGTATCTTATCTAGAGATGGTGATTGGAAATTGATATTAGGTTATCCAGGTCTCTATGATGGTTGGTATAAACCAATGAATGATACTAAAGATACTCCACTGTATGATTTTATTTATACTCCTGGTGATAAACCAGCTAGACTCTTTAATATAAAAGGTAAGAATTCTTTCCCAACGATAGTGACGTACCTAATATGAAGGACCAACTTATACCAATTTGGAAATATATTTTTGCATATACATACCTCTATGGACAATCGAGGGATGCACTTTTATAGAAGCGGAAGTTCTTATACTGCAAGCATGCAAGCTAGTAAATTTCTTATATTTTCAGATGACCCCAATGAGTATAATGATGTGTCTAAAGAACAACCTGAAATTGTCCAGAAATTAACTGCCAAGATCAGTGAATACAGAAAATCAATGGTACCAGCACTCTATCCAAAGAGTGATCCTGAAGCCAATACTGTTGCGCGAAGAAATGGAGGAGTGTGGACCCCTGGTTGGTGTTAATATCATTATAATGTCATGAATAATAATAGTCCACATAATTCTTTGTCAAATTGGTTTTTTCTTTAAGCTGTTCATCATAATTCTATTGAAGGCGGAATGGCTTTTTATTCAATGTTCTTCATTGCTATTTCTTAATTCTTAATTTAAAATTCTTATCTCTTCATTTGCACGCTTAATGCAACATTTTTGTTGAGCGAGAATTGTTATTGAACATTTGTATTTGAACATAATTATGTTGGTAGAGTTTTGTGTTTGACGTTTTGCATTTGAACATATGTTGAGCTAGATTTGTATTTTATAACAATAAATTTCATGGAAGCTTTCAATATAGAAGGGATTGCAAAAGACTGTCCCATCTGTAGCACTCGAGGTCACCCTTTGGGACCGAAGAAGCAATGAGCTCACCTTTAAGAAAAATTAGGAAAAAAACTATCGCATGCTATATTTCAGGCACCAACCGTATTAATGTGTGAACAGGTTTTTTAACCCTTGTTTTAAAATATTGGACTGCTGCGCCTGTTTGCACCTTTCTGGTTTCAAATCGCTGGAGGCTTATGTTATTCTAGAGGAAAACACCACTTTAATATTCTGACCAAACCTTCAGTCGGACGAACGGAAAACTCAATGTTTGGACGTGTAATTGCCATCGATTATTATACAAATGCATGACAAACTCTTAAGAGAAATAAGATCAATTTATAACATTAATAATGTCGGGGAGTAACATCAACAAGACCTTTCCGGTGTCTTCTCGGGTAGTCCATATACGTGTGGGAGTTTAAACGCTAATATTATTCATGTATTAAAGTAACATATTCTGTAGTATTTTTTTCAGTTGGATGCTAACAAATTCAAATTGATACAGTTTGCAATCTTAGGAAATAATAAACATTGTACAAGAAATAAAATCAAAATGTTTCAAAATTTTATTTTCAATATTAGTTGTTAACAATAACATATAAGCTATAGTACATGTATAACAAAATTGAGTCGGAATGTTTTAAAAAAACAAACATTGTTTGTAAACACATACTAAAAAGGTCAAGTGAAAAACATTTTGATGTCAATTTAGTGTTAGTTTTAACATCAACACCATCCTGGTGACCAAGCACCCCCATTTCGTTTAGCTACTGTATGTGCCATTGGATCAGGTGTCGGAAAGTTGGCAGGCACCATTGATTTTCTATATACGTTTATTTTACCAATCAATCGGTCCACAATGTCTGGATGCAAGGCTGAAATCTCATTTCTTTCTAGTGGATCATCTGAAGCAAAATGTACAATAATTATAACCTAAAAAAATGCTATTACTTTCCTGTTTATTTTAAAGGGACAAGCGATATTTTTAACCAATCGTAACTTAGTCTTAAAAACTTGAATTCTTTAGCTTGAGACATTGTAAAGACACCTTTAGAAATACGAAAATAAATCCGTAGTTTGAGATATTTTTGAAAAAATTATGCGATTTACAGCACTTCTGAAGACTATTTAAATTAAAATTCATGTAAAATAGTAAATTGAAGAGATTTCTTATTCCTTTTCTAAAAGGCACCAAGCGCGAATAATTGGACAACATCGGTAGATTAGGCCCTACACATGTATGCGAATTAAGTTAGCAATTGACTGGATCTGGATTTGAGCTCCATTATTTACGAGAAAACTCATGGGTTGTTGTCTTCTCCCTATACAGAACCATTATCAAAATCAGGACACGCCAAAGTTTAAAACCATTTAATTCATATAAAATACGAAACTTCTAGAAATAAATGCAATAAATACCTTTTATATTAAAGAGTCTAGCTGGTTTATCACCAGGAGTATAAATAAAATCATACAGTGGAGTATCTCTAGTATCATTCATTGGTTTATACCAACCATCATAGAGACCTGGATAACCTAATATCAATTTCCAATCACCATCTCTAGATAAGATACAAGATTTCCATGTTTTAAAATAAATGGAAAATGATATTACTACTTTACTGCTGTAGATTACGTTAATGAAGGCCGTTCCAACCATTTTCAAGTGCTGATGGATCTTTAGCGTGTACAGTGTGTGCTGTACATGGGCCTCCGTTTGCCCCCAACTTGTTTGGAACTTTAATCATGGTTTACTTCTCTGCTGATAATCGAGACTTATCTGGCATAAAGATCACATGTGGCCACAAAATTTAAACGGAAAGTAAATAGAATACCTGATTGCAGCATGGCCTTGAGAAGGAATAAAGAAATCATCTAAGTTATAAATAAATTCTGTTCTTTTTGAAGGCTGATTCATTCTGATAGAATCCCATTGATTTATACCATCAATACCAGGTACTGTAAAATATAAATTTATTCTTATAGAACCTTGATTTATACCATAAATACCAGGTACTGTAACATATAAATTTATTATGATAGAACCTTAATGATTTATACCATCAATACCAGGTACTGTAAAATATAAATTTATTATGATAGAACCTTAATGATTTATACCATAAATACCAGGTACTGCAAAATATAAATTTATTATGATAAAACCTTAATGATTTATACCATCAATACCAGGTACTGTAAAATATAAATTTATTATTATAGAACCTTGTTGATTTATACCATCAATAACAGGTACTGGAAAATATAAATTTATTATAATAGAAACTTAATGATTTATACCATCAATACCAGGTACTGTAAAATATAAATTTATTATTATAGAAACTTATTGATTTATACCATCAATACCAGGTACTGTAGAATATAAATTATTTCTTGTAGGACTTTGTTAAGTTATACCATTGATAACAGGTTAGCCTACGGAGAAGGCCTGTATTTACAAAAATGATAAACATATTTTCAAGACTCAAATCAACCCCCAAAATGGCACATCTGTCCCTTTAAGAATGAAATTACCTTGTTGTCCTCCAGCAATACCAATTAATGTCGGCATCCAATCTACAGCATGAATCATTCTACAAAGGAAATAAATTTTTACAAGACAAGATTCACTAAGAAGATTCTAAAGGCCAAAAGCGACACTTTTCAGTATTCAATATATGAAGCCATGTACATTAGTATTAATCAATTGAAGTTTCAGTTTGCTCTCTGAAAGGGGTTAGGTTTTCAAGCACTAAAATTCATATTATATTCCAAACATATAACGGTTACCCATTGTAGTGTGTTCCTGCATTCTGTATACCATATCCGCGCATAAAAGCAGTAACTCGAGTTCCACCTTCCCATAAAGTATGTTTACCACCACGTAGAGGCCAGTTGTTCGCGTAAGCAACCAATTCTCCACCATTCTATTATAAAGAAAAAAGAAAATACGCCCTAAAATGTACTTTTTGTCAATATTAAAAGCTTATAATTGTGTAGAAGATAATTGACATGCAAAGCGTGATAAAAAGGTGCAAGTCGGGCTCCAAGTTACTTTGATTAGTACAGATGCACTCTCACCCCCTAATTTTCAGCCACAAACTACATGTATACATCTTTACAATGGGTTTCAGTGGTTGAAAGCCGACACCGGGTTCTTCTGACTGTGAGGAGGATTCGAATCGCCCTGCAGTTTACAATTCAACTCCGCCATAAAAAGCCGGTGTGGTGACAGTACAAATTTGCTGTGAATAAAGGCTTATACGTACATCTGCAGTAAATAATATCAATGTATCTTCAAGCATTTTTCGATCTTGTAAGCTTTTAGTAATATTCCCGATAGCTTCATCTAAAGCTGTCACCATACCTTCAAATGTAAGATGGGTCAAATAAATGAAAAGCTCTGTGATTGTTGACACTTTCCCTAATAACCTGGCTACATTCTATTGAAGGTATCAATTGGCACATGTATGTTATTCCTTAAAGTGGTTTGCGAGGACTAGAAGCAGCAGTATTAATCCGATCAAACCAGCTTTAAAGGGAAGAAGTGTGACCAAGGACCAATATAAAGAGAACCTATGTTCTTATCCTTTTGTTATGTGAATAAATATTTTCCTACATGTACATTACCTACCGCTAAAATGTTTTCGACCGTAATTGACTACATGTGGATATAAATCTGAATATTTTGGCGGCACCTGTAAAAATCAAATATAAACAATAATTATCTAAGCCAATGTTTTGATAAAAGTGAATTGCATCAATATCAATCCGATGACTAATTGTCAACTCAATACCTGTACCAAATAAGTGTTCTTGTTTGTGCTATTCTAGAATATGTCCTACTCAACAAGGGTTATATTTACCTGAATTGGTGCATGAACATTTTGAAAAGGTAGGTACATAAATAACGGTTTCTGAGTGTCATGCTGTTTGATTATGTCTGAGGCTCTGTCTGCGAAAAATTGCTAGAAAATAGAAAGTTTTAGTATCATAATGTGAAGAAGAAAAAGTACAAAGAAAGAATAACAACTAAGGTTCACGGCGATCCTCCGTCTATCAGCTTGGATAAACATCTCTCACAGATTATGCTTACCCATTAAACTAGATTAATAAGGAAAGGTCAATACCTCCAATTTTGCACACGTCGACCTAGATTATTACCCACAACCACCATTTGTTTGGTTTAGGCTAGCGGTAATCAAGCAAATGTTATAGCTCTAACCGATTGTGCTACCGTAGGAGAAAACGATGAAGAAAATGTCGAAGATGATGATGCTGCTAGTGATAGTACTGATGCGCTTGAAAAGGGAATAGACAACGGCTGTGATGTGATCCTTACCGCCGAATATTTTCCTTTCTGATCCCATGCTATCTTTTCATTATCTCTCAGATCATAAAAGGGGCCTGAAAAAGTTAATATTTAGATAGTTGACAATTTTATTTTTGAACATATTGTAGATCTTAACCCATCTTTAATAATTATAACACTAGGAAGATGACAAGAAAAAGTAAAACAAACCTACCCATAGTATGTTGGAAATAGTCTTCAGCACCATTATAATAGCCAAAAAATGTATCAAACCCTTTATACGTCGGTGTACAGTTCCAGTTACAATAGCCCAGATGCCATCTGCAAACACAATGCATAATTTATGGTAGAGAGAATATCCGGACACACGCTGGCGCATACTATGACAATATTGTCGACTCGGCTGTCCCGGCTACTCCAACCCCGGCCTCCTGCACTCCCATCATTTCAATTTCTCATCAATATACATAAGTTTGAGCCCCAATGACAATTCTGAGGCACATTCTCGGTCCCTGATGCACATAAACTCTTATTGGACATTATAATTCCGTTTGGAGAAATGTGTACACGTTGAATATAATATTAATGAGTTTACAAATATTCTTACTTTCCAATGGCATGTGTTGAATAACCAGCTTTTTTCATTTGTTGAGGTAAAAGAGTAAGGTCATGTGGTAGACAAGTATTTTGAGAGTTTCCTACCACATAATGCTGAAATTGAAACAATTTATTTCATCATTCAATTTTCTTTGAGTCTGTCCTAGCTTGAGTCAGCATACAACTCAGTGACACTGCACACAAATCATAAGCATTGTATTGCATACAGTTCAAAGGCATTGTATTGCATATAATCCCATACAACATGTTGTATACATCTCTGTGGATGATTACTCTTATTATTCAGTATCAACTCGGAGATGATGTGTTGTCCAGAATATGCATAACAATGTTTGATAAGCTCATCCCAAGGCTATTCCCCGTGTGTAATATGAAATTTACCTGAAAGCCAGTTTTAAATGGATATAATCCTGACATAAAAGCTGATCTGGATCTAAAAATAACAATAATAGTTTTAAATATAGAGTTTTCATTCGACAAGACAAGACCTTCTTGCACCCATGAAGAGAGGGGCTTAAATCTTATTAGCCTACATATGCGTGTATAATAACGATTTTATTGTTTGTGTTTTGATTTAAAGGTTTGCACTTACGGACTACATACTGGCAACACATATGATGAGTTAAATATAACACCTTCATGTGCCAGCTTATTTATGTTGGGTGTTATCATATCAGGATTTCTAAAACCAACATCATTCCATCCTGTAATATAATTCAACACCCTGAATAACTACCGGCAATATATTTTCTAGAAAGGAATTTCAAAAAGGTTTGTATTTCAAAGTGGTTTTGTCACGAATTTAGTGAAAAGATGTTCAATATCTTTAAGATAAGATAAGATAAGATTTATTGTATATTATACGCCCATTGTGGCCGACATACAAATATAAAGCAGTGCAATAAAGTGAAAAGATATTATAGAATATAAATTTAGTATAGATAGGCCTATATGATGATACATGTAGAATAGACAAAATGACAATGGTACTTTATATATAAAACAATGTACAGGTATCATATTCCCTTGTAGGTGTTAAACACTGTGCTATACCGATACCGCAGGCTAAAAGCATCTCGTACTCTAAGGTTCTAGTTCCTATCGTATTGGAGCCCTTTTATCCCCAACCTCCAAACTATCTCCTGGTAGTCTAAGAAACTTCACAGATAGGCCTACAACCTAAGGTGTAGATACCCCTTGGGATAGGCCTACTAGTTTGACTTCCAATGTTTTGGAACCATGACTGAAAGGTGCAAAATATGTTATATATAATAGGCGGTTGTCACTGTCAGTATAAAACTTTTCCCTAACATTTGTATTTTACTCCTTCAAGATGACTGAATAGTCATTACAATTAAACAGTTGACTATTGACATAAGCTAAGCATACATAACGATAAATATAGGTCGATAACCTAGTTTATCAACGACAGCTTACAATGTATATAGATGACGAACGACACGGATATATTTTAAATTATACCCATACCTAAATCATCAGCCACAATAAACAATATATGAGGCTGTTTTGTTGTCATACATGGAAATAAACAACATATTATCAACAATAATATTCCTTTCCTATCCATTCTGTTCTTATCTAATAATGTGATATCAAAAAATGTCTATGTGATAACATCATCTAGGTCATATATTCACAATATTGCACACGTACTGCCAATCAATGACTACTGGTTAACCGCATAATATGATTTCTATGATATTGGCCCTTACAGGATGGAAACTTCGGGAAGGGAATTAAAGACAGTGGGAAAAATTTTTCATTGGGAGGGGGGGGGGAGTGAATCCGTCGTGGAAGAATGAAGACGGGCAATGTCATGCAGTGTGGAAAGAAGGAACTCGTGTCAGGATGAAACATAAGACAACCCCTTTTCGATTTTCAATGCCTGTGGATCTTTAAAAATGCATTCAGATCGAACTTATGACTATATCAAACTGAATCTGGTATTCAATCTGCTACCATCCAATTAACTGCAATTCCTAGGATAGTGTTCGATAAACTTCTCGCTGTGAGCGCTTAGCTAGGCGATCTGAGCCCGCGTGGACTGCCTGTTGTATACTTGCGCTTTGAGTCATGGATTATTGGCGCATCTGAACGTACACCTCTAATTATTAATGTTTGTATTGAATACTGGACCTCTTAAATAACATTTTTCAACAAAACTATGCATATGCATACAAAATTTTGACCCAAGAAGTAGGTTTCTATGCATCCAAGGTTAGCCTATATTTGGCCTGGAATATGTTTCGGTCCAGGCGTCATTTGAAAAGAAGGTATTGTAGAGAAGCCATAAGTTTCCGGTGTAATCTCTCTCCCTCCCATGTCCTAAGAGAAGGTGTTCCTGGAACATATCTCAAGAAATTTCAAATCATAAGATGACTGTAGACATGGCAAAAAATGAAATAATGAACACCAACTGTAAATAATACCATATTTTTATTTTTATTTTAAATAATATTGAATAAAAATTACAAATCTAAAGGAAGGCATGTGTAAACAATCGGTCTAAAATATTTGTAAATGATTCCTGATTTTCTGTTTCCTGAATTTAAATTTAAAAACCCTCTACCCAATCCTAAAAACCATACCAAACATATACATCCATACACCAATATAAAATTTCATTCTAAAAACAATAGGTTATATCAGGAATATTATAAGGGGGTTGATAACTGACTCTAGCACTTGTCTGTAGAACTAACACAATAGAACTTAAATCTAACCAAACATGATACAAAATTTTACCAAGTCTTAGACATATGTATCGGAACTCAACAGCAGTAGTTAATTCTTTAATGAACCATACAAGATGATATCTTAATTTTTTGTTATTTGTATCTGAAATTCACAATTTGAATTGTATATCTGCAGTAGAAAATACTAAATTATATATCCTATTAGATAGATAGATAGATATATTTTCACAGATTTAGTGAAGAAATGTAAATAATACCATAAAATATGAGTTAAGATATCTGGTTTGAACAACAGCAGGGAAATGTAAATTATATCATAATAGAAGATTCCTGTCTAACAGCATGGCAACTTGACATGGATATATCCAGATTTAGACAATATTCATATCTAAATGAAATTTGAATGAAAATATCAGAAGTAGTTTTCAAGTGTGAACACTTCATTCAGATATGTGTTTAATAATTGAGAATTGAAAAGAATAAAGCTGACATGCCTTTATCTTAAAATCATATTTAATAAAGGTTCTCAAAAACAAATTATATTAAAAGGAAAAAAGACAGATTCTGTAAATCATTAGTCATATCTTTATCTGTAGTATTTCAAATTGAAAAGATAGCAAGATATTTCGAGAAAACCTATATTTGTGAAGTTTACCTATGAAAATAAATCTAAAATCTTGTAAAAACTATGAAACAGTTTCTTTCTTAATGTAAAAATAATTTAAAACCATCCAGAAAGTTATAGCTTTTATGCTGAACACTGCATAATAATATACATAGTAGGTAACTATAAAACTATAAGTTAATCTATGCCAAAATTAGAAATACATATCCAAAGCAAAGTAGATTAAATAGCATCCCCTGATACGGAAAATATAAAATAAATACCATATCCAACCCTTTACCTTTTTACATAATATTTGTATAAATTAGACTAGCATATTTTAAATATAAGTTGTTAACATTTTATAAGTTATAACATTGTAATATTTTAATGAGACAATGAACAATAGTTTGACATTAGTTTAAATAACTTGCTTTATAATACTGATATATTATAATATCCTCCACTCCAACACAATGGTCTAATCATTTAATTGCAGGCAAACCATACATGTAATTTGATAAGTGAAAAGTCATGCTTTGTCAGCTTGTAAAGGGAATAATAAGTCAACCAACTTCCTTTGCTGTTTTTTTAGAAATATCATATGCTGTTGATCTTTGATATCACACAACATTTTGTTGACTATTTCAATTAGTAAGCTTTTTACAAAATCAAAACAATGAAAAATTAGTATTAAAAGATAACAATTTAGAACATAAAATTAATATATATTGTCAAAATATAATTTAAAGATTAATAAGAACATCTGTGGTAGAATAAGTAGTGATATAAGGTGGGCTGAGACAAATAAGGGATTATTTACCACTTGTTTCACAAAACAAAATAACATGGTTTCAAAAGAGGTTTTTATATATAATGTCTGTGATTCCTGTATTCAGGCATACATGTCTACATTGTGATGTGACAATAGCAAACACTGTGGACTCAAAAGCCTTTTTAGAGTTCTTGAAATTATCATAGATATCATAGATAATTCATAACTTTGTGACCACTTATAACTACTATTTGATTACTTCAAACCATTGCAGAACGAGATTTAAATAACAAACAGATTGTAAATAAAAGTGCTGTATTTCATCTAGTTTTTAGTGGTTTACCTTTCAAAACACAGATATAAGTTATTAAACACAATAACCAACAATCAATAACAAATTGCATACTGATTAATAACAATAGTGATGAAATATTAACATAAAATATAATAGATGTAGGCTACGTTAACATAAAACAAAGCATTGAATATAAAAACAAAGCTATGAATTTATAACAAAGTTATGAATATAATAACAAAGCTATGAATTTACAACAAAGTTATGAATATAATAACAAAGTTATTTTTGTTTCACAGCAATCTGAAAAGCGAACATTTTTTTCTATTGTGTATTACAATGAAACTAGGTATTAATGTCAAAACAATAAATATCTATCAGTCAAATATTTCAGATCTCAAACAAAAAGAAAATTAAATGAAAGGATTGTTTTAAATGTGTGTTTGGAAATTATTATGATAAAAAATACTGAGGTGTGCAGTAAAAAAAAAAACATTTTAAGCTCATTGTATCAAGCACTATAAAACAGTGAAAATATTTCATTATTGTAAGAACAATTATGACTAGTAATAATAAATCAATGGTGGGCCAAAGGAGGACATGCATAGATGAAAATGTTTAATTTGTAAATTTAGTAAACAGACAAGTTGATATTGATTCACTGGGAAATTATGCATCATCTAGAAAAGTCTACACCTCAGTATTGGTCACAACAATTATTGTTCCCAATCTATTTAATGTATCCCCAAATTAGTTACATAATGTGTGATATATTATGAATGGTTTTCTACAGATTTCTTTGGTATATTTATTGAGAGACTTGATATGGAATGACTGCTTTGAAGGTAACAAGTCGATTTTCGAAGAGGATTTTATGATCAGCCCTATATACAATTCTGTTGAATGAGTGGTTCTTTCTTTAAGGTTCAAATTCTAGTAGATCACAATTATTGATACAACTAATCAAACAGTGATATAAAAGCATTGTTTATATTGGAGAGTTCAGGTATGAAGAAGATGAGACTTTCAAATCATTTTGAAATGCATACTGACTAGTCCTTGGATTTTTTATCCTCAGATTCTTCATACACCATTCCTAAACTAAAATTTGAGAACTGTTGAGGCTCAATCTTTTTACTGAGATCCGTTAATCTTTTTGAAATGTGTAGTTCCTCTAATGGTACACCAGTAGCCCAGGGAAGATTTGACAACATTCCTATTTCTTGGATCATATCAAAGGTATCATCTCTGTTTATTAACCCACCAAATATAAATGACTGAAACAATAATATCACAAACAATGTGAGACAAAGTCAGCTGGTTCGGGAGCAAAAAGGAGATGAAATATATCAATATTATCTTGAAACTGGCACAATGATTGTTACTAAAACCATCAAAACCATCTGATTCCTATATCTAGGTTGATTTTAGTTGCTGTTCCATCAGATGATTGTAACACTTAATGAGATAGCTTTTCAAAACATGGAATACATTTACAAAGCAAAAGCCTGTAGTGACAGCACAAGATACAATCCAACATCTCCAGCTTCTTTCCTTCAAATCCAACACCGTTATACAAAATTACCTCCAAAAAATATATATTATATAATCATATTGTAGACAGAAGAACATACCTTATCTGAATTGGCTAGAGTAACCTCTATGGACATTCCTCCTCCTGGTAACCATGGATATGGTTTTGCCTACAAACAAGGATTCAAAAATCAAAGAATAATTTCATAAGTTGCTATATCTTATATATTGTTATTACTATAAAGATGTTGAAAATATGTATATAAATTTCCATTTGTTATAATGAATGTTCTTACATGTTCCTGTAGGTACATGACAACTAATAACTAATTAATGTTGTATTATGGTATTTTGAATCCTACCTTTTCTAAAGCACCAATATTAGCCAATGGAATCACAAGATTTTTAGGTGATGGTGATTTACTTCGTTCAAAACATAGAAAACTGCAATAAAAAAATCAAAACGTTTTATTTCAGAATCAAATTAACACTGAGAACATACAGATATATCAGCTGTCTTCATTAGTATGTATTAAGATGGAAGTACATTTTTGATATTGACATAAGCTGAAAGCTTAAAGTATAAAAGTCTCAGACTTGCAGTAGCAACGATGAACTTAGCGTTTCAGATGTATCCATTTATTGTCAAAATCAAACATACCTTCTGGTAAGATATAACTTGCCACTTTTAAAAGCTGAAGCAAGCGATTTATCTCTATTGATCAATGTACACAGTCTTCCACCTTGCCAACCTAAAATACATGTATTACAATTAACTTACAGTGATTGCCAACAAAATGGAATTGAATTTACATTCTGCTTTTTGTCACCTTTGTGGATAGGAAGTGGCAAAGAAGACATTTTTGCTTTGCCATGACAGAACCATTAACCTCCTTGTTTACAATAACGAAGTAATGAGAATCTTGAACAACCTTTAGCAAACAGACGCTTTATTCCATGTAATACACTTGTTTGTGGATCACATAGAAAGGGGAAAGTGAATGAAAAATCTGAAGCTGCAACAATTCAATATGACCAATGAAAACATCTTTGTAGAGACATGAAGAGTTTCTGTGTCAACACAATATCATTCAGCAACTATACACAGTAAGTTTACCTGGTAAAGGACATTCTGTTTCAGGTAAGGAGAATAGTTGACAGAAAGCTTTATCTTCATTAGATAATTCATCATCATCATCATCATTATCTTTATCTTTATAGGCTTTCTTACCATGTTTTAATATAAACTGTAAGAAATAGAAAGACAACATAAGATATATGGATAATTTAAAAAATCAAAAATATTTGGGACAACATTGTACTTTTCATTCATATTATTTTGCCTTTCGGAGTGCTTGTGACCAAAATATTGGAGATGACTAATACAGCACATTTTTACAGTTTGATTAGTTTTTATTTTAAAATAAGTCAAATTAACAAAAAGAGCTCATTCTGTTATGTTTCAGATACAAAATGTATATTTATGACAACTTGAAAAGTTTGGTTACAGAGTGATGGTTCAGCAATGTAAATATTGCCTCAAAATTTGCACAGGTAATTGAAAATAGTTCATCTGATACCCATTACAGTTCATTGGTACTTACTTTATCAATCTGTGATGTCATATGTCTCTTTTCATACTGGCTGTCTGTAGGTAAAGACATCCAGATTCTATGACTTGTGTCGTATTTCTTTTTAAGTCGAGGATATTTTCGGTAAAGATTATCAATAATGAATAATTTAAAACCAATCATTGAACCTACATAAGAAAGAAAGAGTGGCTCAAAGAGGTGGCACAAATTTTCAAATTTTGGCAAGGATTGTTATCATTATGAGTTTTTTTTTCATTATGAATATGAGTGTCATTCAACAATATTGTACATAATATAGGAAAACTTGGATACTGTACTGATAGCCCAAATTGTGATGCTACTATGATGCTGTACCCAAAACATGATAAAAAAGGTAGCACCCTGTAAAGTCATGCATTTAAATTATAACAGTATTCACTCCCAAAGCAGAAAGAACCACAATTGAAAGGCTCCAGAATAATTAGTTTTGTGTAAAAATAATTTCTCTTTAAAATGTAAGACTAACCGATCAGTTCAAATAAATAAGGAAGAGGTAGTGTACAACTGGTTATAAAAAATGTAGAAATAGTAAGAAACAGCAGATTGGAAGCTTCTGGATGGCGCCATGAAAATAAACTGAAAATGATATGAGAAAATATGAGACATAAATGGTTATCAAAGGCTCACTCAACAACAGTAAATTTAAGACCTTTGATATAGTATGTTGAATTCATATGCCACATCATCGTGTCCAAACCCATTCGTCATTCTTCTTCAGGGCCATTGTAACACAAGTGAAAGCAACATGTCATTCAATGTTTTGATAAATATGAACGATACAGAATTAAGTAAAATGTTCGGTAAAGAACTGAAGTTGATAGAAAATCAAACCTTTGGAATATTTATTTTGGAAAGTGGAAAGGATGTATTCTCATATCTGCAAATGAGTGGTGGCAAATCGATTTTGTGTTTTATTTTTCCGACCTCATTTTCGTTCTATCAATTGGGATTTGGGATGCGATGATGCCACATGAAAATAGAAATAGCTGACTATAAACCCAAAATATTCAAACTGAAGCCATAAAATCATGCACCACACATTATCCATTTACAATTTTAACTTGTAGAAATATATCTTTTAACTTATTTGTTGTCAAAAATAAATTGACTTTATTCTGAAGTAATATAACATTTGCAATGAATCAAATTCTGATTTGAATAAATCAAAATATTTGTAACACAATACCTTTTGACCTTTTCTAGTCCATCCGCTGCATCACCCAAAGCATTCTAAAAATAAAAGAATTAAACAAGATCTTCATTTTGATCCACATAATAAATGTACATTTGTAAAAGAAAATGGAGTACCTTCATGGCAAGTGAAGGCAAGTGTTATAAATCATCTAAGGCATGCACAGTAGAGAATCAAACTATGCTTACCTGGACCTTAGTGGCAACTTCAATGACCAAGTTAAATTTCTCAGATATGCCTAAATCATCATCATTATCCTGTAATATAATACATTAATTCTTATCATTATCCTGTAATATAATACATTAATTCTCATCATTATCCTGTAATATAATACATTAATTCTCATCATTATCCTGTAATATAATACATCAATTCTCATCATTATCCTGTAATATAATACATTAATTCTCATCATTATCCTGTAATATAATACATTAATTATCATCATTATCCTGTAATATAATACATTAATTCTTATCATTATTCTGTAATATAATACATTAATACTCATCATTATCCTGTAATATAATACATTAATTCATCATCATTATCCTGTAATATAATACATCAATTCTCATCATTATCCTGTAATATAATACATTAATTCTCATCATTATCATGTAATATAATACATTAATTCTCATCATTATCCTGTAATATAATACATTAATTCTTATCATTATTCTGTAATATAATACATTAATTCTCATCATTATCCTGTAATATAATACATTAATTATCATCATTATCCTGTAATATAATACATCAATTCTCATCATTATCCTGTAATATAATACATTAATTCTCATCATTATCATGTAATGTAATACATTAATTCTCATCATTATCCTGTAATATAATACATTAATTCTCATTATTATCCTGTAATATAATACATTAATTCTCATCATTATCATGTAATATAATACATTAATTCTCATCATTAATTCTCATCATTATCATGTAATATTTTACATTAATTCTCATCATTATTCTGTAATATAATACATTAATTCTCATCATTATCCTGTAATATTTTACAAGTTTTCAATTATCATCATTATCCTGAGAAATAATATATCAACCATCATAATTATCATCATTATTCAGAAATATAACACCATTGTCCTGAACTATAAGACATCAATCATCATCATTATCCTGAACTACAATATATATCAATCAACATCATTATCCAGGACTACAATATATATCAATCAACATCATTATCCAGAACTACAATATATATCAATCAACATCATTATCCTGAACTTCGAAATATCAATCAACATCATTATCCTGAACTTCGAAATATCAATCAACATCATTATCCTGAACTTCGAAATATCAATCAACATCATTATATTGAACTACAATATATCAATCAACATCATTATCCTGAACTACGAAATATCAATCCACATCATTATCTTGAACTACAATATATCAATCAACATCATTATCCTGAACTACGAAATATCAATCAACATCATTATCTTGAACTACAATATATCAACCAGCATCATTATAATGAACTACAAAATATCAATCATCATCATTATCATCTACTACAAAATATCAATCAACATCATTATTTTAAACTACAACATATCAATCAACATCATTATCCTGAACTACGAAATATCAATCAACATCATTATCTTGAACTACAATATATCAATCAACATCATTATCCTGAACTACGAAATATCAATCAACATCATTATCTTGAACTACAATATATCAACCAGCATCATTATAATGAACTACAAAATATCAATCATCATCATTATCATGAACTACAAAATATCAATCAACATCATTATCCTGAACTACGAAATATCAATCAACATCATTATCCTGAACTTCGAAATATCAATCAACATCATTATCTTGAACTACAAAATATCAATCAACATCATTATCTTGAACTACAAAATATCAATCAACATCATTATCATCTACTACAAAATATCAGTACTCGTCAAGCCCTAAACTACAATATTTCACTCAACATCATTATCCCGAACTACAATACAACAATTATCATCATTATCCTAATATGTAATACATCGATGATCATCATTTTTCGGAAATATAATATTATTATTATGAACTACAGTTATCATGATTATCCTCAAATATAATATATTTTGTTATTGCCATTATTCTAAAATATATTGATATCATTATCATAACTACAGCATCGCATTATACATAAATTATCATCATTGACTAACTGACAGTAGTGACAAGGACAACTAAATATTAAAATTAAACAACAACTCACATTTTCTTCATCTTCTCCAGAATCCAGAAAATTAAACTTGATATTCCAGCATCTAAAAATTACAAAGGCAGACTCAAAACCTAATAAGATTCAATATAAAGATCACAATAAATATACATTCATGACAGGGTACATAAGAATTATGACTATAAGTCATATTAAATAATTATAAAATACAAGATGCTAATAGACATGGATAAATAATGGGAATTAAACAATCTTACCTATATTGTAAATATTGTATAAATAATCTAAAAAATATACAGCCTAAAATACTTTGTAAAACCCATCCTCTCCATACCATATATAAATAAACCTAAAAATACCCAACATAGATAAATAACCAATAGATAAATAACCAAAATATTATAGTCAACCATATTACTAATGCTACCTTTCTAGTCATTTCCAGAGTAGTGATGTCAATAATAAAGAATAGAAGAAATAATCTTTTTTTTCAAAAGGATAACAACCGAGGTTCACAAGGTCCCTGTCTATCAGCTGGTCCTTGGCCAAGCCACCTAGCATAAATCTTTATCTGTACCCATTTACAGTTGTGTGGACTATGAGGAATGAGTATGAATAATTAGGAAATATGAATAATTAAAGGCCACCCTACTTTTACATGCCAACAATGTTAACAATTCATGAATGCCATTTATTTGATATAACCAAGTGAATCATGTTCCAACAGTGCTACAGCACATATGAATTTCATTGATACAAATAATAAATGACGATTCATCTTAAATGACAAGTAACAAAGTTTGGCAATCTGCAGCATTTAAGCTATTCATGGACATAGCAAGGAAGTTAAAAAAACACATGCAAATTAAACTTACAGAAAAAACTGTGAGTGAATAGGACGGATTTTTCCAACTAATTAAATTATAAAATCCTTTTGCAGTATTATAGTATGGTTTAGCTGCTCTACCTAGAATGTTTTAAACAAAAATTTCATATAACTTAAAAATCATTCTTTAAAACAATTCTTCCAATTTCTCTTTTACTGTGTTTCATGTTTAAAGTTTTAATCTATAGAATGTTATCAAGGATTTGATTGAAGATTGGATGCTGTTGTTCTAACAAAAGAACAAAATAAATAGATGTCATTGATAATTTAAGCTTAACATTTATGAATGTTGACTTACCAAACCTTTTAATATTCTCTTTCAACCTGCAAAATATCATAAAAACATTACATACCAGATAAAGTTTATCATTTCAGAAAAAATTTCTCTTTTTGACAATATGTCTAATGAGTTGATAGTGCCAAGAGACCAATTTGACAAGAATTCAAACTGATGTCTCAAAGGCCTTAGCTCAAATTTCTGAAGTGTATGCACTAGTGGGGGGCTTTTGTCCACCCAGAAATATAGTTTGTACCACCAGTTATACCCCTTTAAAGTCAGTTGCCAAGCCAAGTGGATAGAGGCCCCAGTTTCAGGAGACTGTTGCAGTCGCTGAATAATTCTTTTTTCAAAATAAGTTTATCTTAAGAAATTAATTGCTTACTTTTTACCAGTGAGTGGTTCTGCTTCTACTTCTGGTTCAATGTGTACAAAATCCATTTCTTCATTAAAATCTTCTATTACATCATTTAATTTATGGGCAAATCTGTCAATAATACCTTTTCCAAATGATTTGTTATTTTCTGGTCTCTCACCACCATATTCCTCTACAGAAAAATTAACAAGAAAAGATATAACACAGCACATTAGTGTTAAAGAGACAAATGCACCATTTTTTGGATCAATCGTACATTAGTCTCAGAAATGTGAATTTTTATTTAGCTAAGCCCATCAGTAATACTGTTCTCAGCTCACCATCAAAATTTGAACCTTCAAATCACTGTGGGCCCAGAACTATCTGCGTTTGAACGATAAAATGATGACTTCTCATTTTAAGATACTCTGTGATATAAAGAGAAAAATAAAAATTTAAAATATTTTCATTGTTAAAATAGTGCTCAATATAACAATTGTAAAGTAATATAGAAATATTATTTCTATAGACATTTTTATAAGATAGTTTTAAAGGAATTATGCGAATTTCATACATTTCTAGTAATTTAATATTTTCAACAGTCAATTCAACCCCCCCAAAATTGTGTAACTGTTCCTTTAAATGTTAAAATTAGAGTCAAATATAGTAAATTTAGGCAGCCCTATTGCATAATGTATTTAAAATACTTTAAACTATGGTTTTCTACTTGTGACCTAGGTCAGTATTTAGGTATAAGAGTGTTTTTTAATATGCATACTGTGCCAGAATTTCTACGCTGACTCATTACATTTACAAAAGCATTTGACTAAGGTAAATCGCCAAGCTACTTTGCCCTCTAAATTGTAGTCCAAAATCAAAATTCATTCAATTTTTTTATCTCACCTGGAACACTAACAACTGGCTCGTCTTGAAGCTCTGAAGCAATATCAATAGCTGATTCTACATCTGACATCTTATCATTATTACTCTTTTTATTATTACTACCATCTTTCTTTTTAAAACTACCAGATCTACAATATTCATAACATCTTAATGGTAAAATACAAGCATTGTCAACTTGCTTTTTTCTAGTTTGGATTAAAAAATTGTTAATTGTTGTCTCAGTTGTCTCTCCTATACGGATGTAAAATGAATTTATATTGATCCATACAGGTATATAATGTTATTGAAGCCTAACTTTTTGGGAAGTAAATTCTTTAATTTTGTCTCCAATAAACTGTTACGTTTCTTGCTCTTTTCCAGCATTTCTTTCAATTCTTTATGATCTGTATCTTCTTTTTTAAATACTTTTACCTCACTTCCTACAAATATAGAAGAGATTTTTACTGCATTAATTTCAACAACGAATGAAAGCTAAAGTCTCTGGATAGTAAAAAATCAGTTTGAGTAATACATTTAACTGAGAATTTACTTACGGAGAGCTTCATTCTCAATCATAACATTGACTAGTTTCTCTTGTAACTGATTTAACTGTTCTTCAAATACTTCTTTCTCTTCTTCATCTTTAAAATTCCCACTATGTTCTAACTTTTCACGATTTTTCTCTTCATTTGTCTGAAAGAAAACCAGTTTCTATCAGTCTACTTCATATCTTTTGTTAATACTGTTTCATAAACACTATATCACTTAACTTTATAGTCAACCTAACTGACGAAACTTCCTGTTTATTTTTTATGACATTGGTTTTTATTGGGTCAAAATAATAACAAGAGTCTATTTATTCTTACATATAAAAACACAGTGGCATCACAATTGTGGAACTAAAATCATCAACTTCATTTAAACCTGTTAGTAGAAATTCAAAGATTGTTCATCTGCACTAAAAGATTTTCTAGAGTAGTTTACCTTGATATCCCCATCCTCTGATTTTCTGTTTAATTTTGGTGACTTTCCATCTCCTTTAAATCTTGCTCTTAACTCACTTAAATTCATTTTATAATCAAGTTATTTAGCTGCCATTTATAATAGAACTGAAAAATAACAATAATTCATCTATCTACATGAAAAGTACTAAAGTACAATTTAAAATGTATATGTCAAATGATCCTAAAACAGTGGTTGCAATTTGTTACTGAAGGTAATCAAACTGAGCAGCTATGAAGCAAACTATGCTGTAGATATGATAAATTATTCTTGGATTAGGCCACTGTCTTTCAACATTCTGTTGAATTTTTGTTTCTCATACTAAGATGATGCCTATTTATTTTCATGTAGGGTTGAGCTGAAACTGTTACACATGTGTCCATTTTTCTACCTACAATTCTTGGCAAAATATTTTCAATATTGACATGTAAGCCTATGTGTCAGAATTGAGATAAGGATGGAAACCTTTTAGAATTTTATGATATTTGAGAAAAAAAAAGTTAGCTGAAATGTATGTGGGTAATGAATCGTAAAGATTTAGGTTTAAACCTAAGATATTTCAGATTCCTCTTGATTTCAATTTCCAATCTAAGAACTTCTACAATCTAGAACTTGAAGATAGTGCCAGTGCCAGGCAGTTAATAAATTCCAGGGAAAGGTGGAAGGATCTGTAGGCTACAAATACAAAACATGATGCAGCACTGGCAACTGGGGATGTTTACCCCTTCTTGTTCTAATCTCTAATGTTGACACTATCAATTTATCAAAAAGCTAAGAAACCATAATAAAGTTAAGACCAGACAGCAGACTTACTTTATAGTATGTCAATGAATTGTATTGGCCCATAACCTATTTGTACTGAGAAGAACTGAGAAGGAACACTCGAAACACTCACAAATAGAATTGATAGAAAGTGGGACAAAATGAGAATGACATTAAGTCACTTAATATAGTTTTAAAGTAATCTTCCACAGACAGGTTTTAAGAATGGTGTGAGCTATATCAAATAAATCGTAATTATGAATTTTTTACCTCAAAATGTTACCCAGTCAAACAGTCCATCAAGTCAAACTGTAGTTGTAATGTGAATCGAAAGGTCACATGACTATTTGTTTACATCCTGTAGTGCGTTCGATTAGTGTTTAGTAACAGCGTTCGGGCGTATCGTTTGTTAAACTTCTTGAACAATGAGATTCGACATAAAATTCTGTAATATAAGCTTGCGTTCATACGGTCAAATTGCTCAAACGACATGGTAGTGTTAATCTACATGTACATGTATGATGTTGAGCTAATTTGATTAGATCTCACTCGCACTCAATAGTTAATCACTATTTTGTCCCGACAGTGGCGTAGCGATTATTTCATTGACTTGGGATATCCGATCGCTGACGAAGATGAAGAAATTACTGAGGAAGAGAGGACTGTCGAAATCGAAAGGAATCAAAGAAATTTAGAAAATTTAGAAAAGCAATTATAAAAGTTTGAAGAAAAAATGATGGAAAGGCGAAAAAGAAAAGATGAAAATTCTAGCGTAAACAAATGTTACGCCTACCATTTCGAAAATCTGGTCTGAAACTGACAGATCTGAGGAAAATATCACTATTTTATTGGATTAGTTGACTCCAACAGCAACTTGGATGTGATTATGAACGAAATCCAGTGACATGGTCGTTTTCCCACAACTTGGCCTCACGCTTCCCACCAATATCAACATGGAATATAATGATCACAACTCTGCTGATTTGCCTCTTAATCTTTTTGTGACAGAAAAATTGGAAATTTCCTCACTTTGCATTTTATTTTCAGCTAGTAAAGTCAGTTTCCCTCCGACCCAAGCCCTATTTTTACGGATTCGTGGGATTTGGAATATATTTTGAAATATTGCAAACATTAGCCTATCTATCTTATTTTACATTCCTCATTAATTTGTAATCACATTTGCATTAGAAAATAATTTGTATGATTTTGCTTCTTCTAATTTTCGTCCAAAGACTATAATATCTCATACGAAACTACGTGTGGTTCTTACATGGAAATAACACTATAATATTTCCATGTAAGAATCATACGTAATTTCGTATGTGTGAAATCTCACACTTCTGTCCTTTTTCTTGGTATGAATGAGAATTTCAGTTCAACATATAGATAATCTGAATAACTCTCTCGACCAACACCTTTAATTTCGTATTATGAACAGCTTACATTTTCCGTTAATTACCAATAACCAATAAAACCATTAAACCCAGCCATCGGTCAAAGACCAGAAATCAACGCTAAATCCTTCCATTAAGATAATAGTAGGCAGTAATAAAAATGTATTGATATTGGAGGTAAACAGGAAGACCTCTTAAAATAATCTCCACATTTCACAAGCTTTTACTTTTATTTTCAGTCTGATAAACACACCGGTTTCATTATTCTTATGATCAATAAAATTGCTTTTTAGGGTTGAATGGATTGGAAATTCTTGTTTTACCGTGTTTATGTTATTTTCAGAGTGCTATTTCATTAAATGCTTTGATGTCGATTACAAGACAGTTGATACCATGTACATTACAGAACTTCGACTGCACTATTAACGATTTGATCCCCTACACCCAAAATCGTGTTTGTAACCACTTTTGCGATATTTGTGCCTGTCTTGATCCATTCCGCCATTAGTCACCCGGTACTACCTGTTATCTTCCCGGTACAACCCAACTACCACCATTTAAACACTTGAACGCCGGGCAATGTTTGCAACTATGAATAACCCGAACCACTTGGTCCGCTTTTATACGGCAACAAAATGTAGCAGGTATTTCATATTTAGGTCCAAACTAAGTTATGCCCTTTCAGTAAATTCGATCACGAAATACCATTCATTACTTTAGTGGTATTTTATTTGTGGTTCGCATGGTGTCATAGAGTATCGATTCGATTAGTCGTTAAATAAAACACATTCTACAAAGGGGAAATGGTTATTGAAGAGGTTACAACTTTACCTTGTATAATCAATAGGTTGTCCTGGCAGGCTGATTATTTTGTTACCACTTACATTAATTAAGAATCACTTGAATTTTGTGTGTGCTGCGAAGAACAACAGGCTATATATACGCGTATCTGACTACCATGTGAATAGTTTGATTGTGTTTTTGTGGAAATACTGCTGGAGGTACTGGATTTTTGGCTTTAGGTATGCAGTTTGTTGAACTTGATATTGTTTTTGCAAAGTCGCTTTATAGGGAGAGTGGTTGGTAAACTCTTAACTACGATTGGCATATCAACAGCCCGAGAGAAAGAATTTTCTCATTCTGTTTTGTTCAAAAAAAAAAAAAAAACTCAACCCAAGAATAACATGGAATGGTTTTATGAAACAAGATGAAGTTTAACAACACCACCGCGTTTGTAGTTTTGATGATTATCAAATACACAGGTAAGTCCAAAAGAAATGGTCGACTAATTTGTTACAGCATCTCTTATTTTCGCCGAATTATAACATCTCCGATCAACTCACTAGTCGCCGCCATGCTTGTTAAGATATTGTGATTATTGATAATAAAACCTCAGAAAATGATTTCTTTGTCATTGGTGTATTTCTGTATTCTTTTTTCGTTTCAGCAGTGAATGGCAATCCTGGACAATATTTCCTTATTGCCTTCCCACAAAATTACCATGGAAAGGCGGAAGGTTTGGTAAATTTGATTATTATATCAGCTTCCAACCAGAATGTAGATGTCCAGTTAACATTTCATACACCAGTCTGGTTCGTACCACCACTTGATCTGTCATTTAAATTGAAAGCTGGAGAGCGTCGCCAGGTTGATGTTTTAGGAACGATCCGAATGCCGATAGGAACTAGTGTAGACTATCGTTCAGTAAGTATCAGATCGACTGGGAATATTATAGTCTTGGTGTACAACAAACAGGCCTCAAATGGAGATGCCTTTTTAGCAATTCCAGTATCTCAATTTGGACTAGAATACTTTTCGGTAAATTATGACATCACGAGGTCGATGGCCGCCTCGTTTATCCTGATAACCGCCCCTCAAAACGACACTATAGTAAAAGTACGGCTGCCAAAGCTGAAAAAAGTCGGATGGATTTCATATGATAATCGTGACTACCATTCTCTTGAAACAATGGTTATACATTTATCTGAACATCAAGCTTTTCAGTTTCAAGTTAAGGACGATTTGACTGGAAGCCATATTGTTTCCAACCGACCCGTCTCTGTGATAAGTGGTCTCAACAGAACAAGTGTTTACTACAATAGATGCATTTCACACGTGTCTGACTTGATGCCGCCAGTGGAACGAATGTCCACAACGTATGTTACTATATCGTTCCCACAACATATTAGACTGGATGTTTATCGTATACTAGCCGTCTCACCGGACACGATAGTTTCCGCTGGAAATATTACAGATATTATACTATCGGAACCAGGACAATATAAAGAAATTTATTTAGAACCGTACAAATATGTTTACATCGAAGCAACTAAACCAATACTTGTGGCGCAACTTAGTAGTTCACCCGTTGACACTTCCAACAGGTTTGGCGATCCATCAATGGTAGTGTTAAATCCAACAGATGCTGCTAAAGAACAGTATTACTTCTCAACTCCCAATTTACAATCATACCTTACCATCGTGATAGATAAAGACCATACAGCTGGATTAAGACTAGATGGGACGCCTATAGAAATAGAGTGGTTCAATGTAACCGGAAACGACAGCCTAGTTGTTGGTGAACTGGTGATATCTCAAGCTAAATTTCACAAAGTAAATCATGTGTCGGGAATCAAGTTTTTAGGTTATATCCAGGGAGGAAGTTCATGTGAAGCCTTTGCGTTTCCTCTTGGATATCGTGATTTTGTCACTAATTCAGTAAGTTTCTTTTATCTTTTATTTTCATCTGATGACGGCACGTGTAATTTGTGTTGAGACATTATGTGATTAATATTATATTAAAGAAGTGTGCTTATTCCATAATATTGTCTTGTGTTTGTTTGTGATATGTACACTTCACTTCTAAATATCATTCAAGTCTTATATCTTTTATGCTTCCGCTTGGAAATGTCAACACTTTGTCATCTGTCAACAATATTTCTGTAGACGCAACTGAAATAACAATATTTACAAAAAATCAGCTATGTTCGATTGGTACTGTTCAGATGAACTCTGCCCTTGAATTTACAAAATATGTTACTGTTTATTCCATGATAATAATTGGATAAATTCTGGGGATAACTCTTTTCTTGATATTTCAGTCTTGCAACGCCTTTCTTAAGGAAGACAGTTGTATGGAGAATTCGGATAACAATTCCAGTATCAACAATCAAGGTATACCAATGATAATATATATGAATTTTCATTAATTGCTCTCTGTGTTGAATACACTAATCGGAAATTGCCATTGCCGTCTCTTTCTCTGGAATAATTCAAAATCTGATCATCAAAAACCCTGCCCTTTCAATTAGTCATCTAAGAAATGTTAAAAGTATTTCTAAATCTGTTTTTTTTTTATTTATCTTTTTAGCAGCTATTCGGTCAGTAACCTCATCCTCTACTTTAAAATACCAATATTCCTTGAAATCAAAGCAGCTTCAGAGTAATAGCATCATCTCATGCCATATAGAGTGTGTTTATCTAGAAGGTTGCTGGGGATATAATTATAGAGCGCCATCTATTCGACCCGGAGAAACTAACTGTCATTTACTGTATGGTGAATCGGCTGGTAATGCAAAACTTGATGATTGGAAATTCTATGCTCAAGAAATTAAATGAAATAGCGTAATAACTTGAAAAGATATAATGTGATTAGCGATCCGAATGTAGAAATCCATTACTGAAGTTTACTTTTGTCCAATTTGAAGTAGAGCGTTACAAATATTGGCTTTCCAAGAGGCATTACTAATTGATATTGGAAACTACTTTTTAATTCGTTATGAATATTGACAACGTTCTTACAAAGACTAACATCATTATTGATACGCGATATTATTATTGATATGTTATAATTGAAATACAACATTGGACGGACCTGGTTGTATCTCATATTTGACCAATACAGTATTGGCGAATGTAAAAACCCGATAGTACTTCTCTTTGGAGGAGTCCGCTATTATACAACTTTTACTCCTGATTTTACCATTCTATGGAAGAGATTTTTTATTGACGGAATTATCTTGCTTGCTTGCTTTTATGGTTATCAAAGAAATCCCATTGTTATTTATAATCAGCTGTACCTCTCTTTAATTGAACTGTTAGTCCACTAACCAGTGGCGTTTCACCCCCCAGAAAAGAGGCTGGCCCGGCTTCGCCCCCTCCTCCTCAATTTCAAATTTTTGATCAATTTATATAGTGAAAGCATAGCCTGTGTCTCTCCTGGAAAATTGTGTGCCCCCCACCCCCACCCAACTATAGCTGTACATGTGTTCTAATGCTTCCTTGTTGGGGTTGTCAGAACAAAAATAATAGCAAGGATGAATGAAACAATTTATTTGAAAGAATAGTATTTGTATAAAACAGGCTTTTTATCGGAATTCTCTTGTTTATTTTAAATGTTGATAAGGAATAGTATGGTAGCAGTTTTAGTTCGGATTTAGGACGGCAGTGGATGAAATTAGCAAGGTATCTGAAACAGAAAAATTATGTTTGTTATCGAGATACCATCTACGGTTTACAATAAATTGTTTCTGTTGAATCGTACAGGATAAAGCATCAGATAAGATGCAATGATGGTAACATTAGTAAAAGGTTCTCTATATACTGAAGATTCTCAGGGCTGAAACATGTAATTTTGATGGAAAAACGCACCATAAATTACACCATGTATGTTTCAAAGCATACACCACTTATCAGCACGGAAACGGAGATAAGCTAAAATTACAACTGTTTGACGTGCCCCATGACTTACCATAATCTATTATCGTCGCTTTCCATAAGATCCATAGGATGGATATCCTCCATATCCATAATTAGATCCATATAAACCTGAGGAATAGTATGGATTATATCCGGAATATCCAGTACCGTATCCAGTATAACCGTTATAACCACCATAGCCACCACCGTAACCTCCTAATCCACCAAATAAATTGGCGTTAGATAAACCACCATACCTCGGTCTAATATCAGCAGAAACACTCATTATAACTGAAATAAGATATAATTTCCATCAGAGCACGACCGCTGCTGTAGGGAAAGGAATTCCACTGGCATAGCAAACTTAATATTACAATTTTCGTGTCCTAATTATTACTACCTAGTATTACTAAGATTACAACTAGCATTTATTAAATCACACGAATACTATTAGTCTCAAGTCTCGTAAAAGAAATTTCATCATCAAAATTTAAAATCTAAACGACTAAAAAAAAAGTTAAAAACCCACCTGCTACGAGGCAGAGTAAAGAAACTTTTCCGATCATCTTCTTAATTAGTGAAGAAAAAAAATCTCAACTGACTGATGATTAAAAAAAAACTCCAGCCAATTTAAAGAGATTATAACCAGGAAATTTGAGTGGACAATTCATTACAGCTATTAAAATGTGTGACTGTTTCACTACATGACGCCAAACCATTACCGGGTTCTAGTAGAATATTGTCATTGTCCGACATTTGTTTTCACAATAACTTCAAATGAAAGTAATGGACACTATATTTATACAGAGGGGCACGTTGTCAATTTGTTAAATAATGATGTTAATTAAAGCTTAATTACTGTTCGTCATCATCTCAAACCATAGGTAATATTTGAAAATTAAAATAATCCTGTGATATTGTGAAGTAAGGGCTACCGTCAGAGGTCTACACGATGTACGTCAAGAGGATAAATGTAGAAAAAACCTCAGATTTTGTCGAGGCCCGGTTTGATGTCTCATTCCGATGGCTGGAGGCTTTGTTTTATGTTAGTCCACCAATCTTCCATTGAGGACGGGGTTAGTTGGGGTTTGAACCGTTTTGATTATAATCTCTGATTTTGAAACCAATAGTGGGAACTCTAAAGCTGGCCAACGCGAGCTATCACCGCTGTTCTTTATCAACATTACTTGCGTAGAGAAGAGTATGAGGCGCCGTTACAGGCCTACGTTACTGTACTCTGACATGGATTCAGAAATTTACAAAAACTTCAATTCCTGTCAAGATACCTTGGCAACGGGCTTACGTCACCCGTTATCCCTAATCCCAGTCCGTACATTAGGTCTGTGAAAATTGGCAATCGAACCTTTGGTTTAACGAAAGTGAAAGCACGTCAAACCAGTTTATATACGGAAGTCATATTTTTAGTTATTAGTTATACAGAATTTTATGAAATGAAATATTTCTGGGTTGTTAGGTATTTGGTAGATTGTATTAGTGTTTGTGTGTACTATCATATGATGTTAGCTATTATTTTCCGATATCTTTCTTTAAACTCTTAGTCACCAAGGTTCTATAAAAGCACAGACTTGTATTTCACATTTGTCTTCTTCAAGAGACCCCGCGCTCTTCGTGTGTTGTACACTGAATTGAACTGAACGCAAAGATGTTTCTGTTTTAGACTGGTGAATAAATCGTATTTTCAGCATATATTGAAGCAATGTGAATTTTTAGCTTATTAGATTTAAAAAGATAGTGTTAGAGTCACTATTCATATTTTGATAGTTGACATGAAAACGGGCTGAATTTTATTCAACTGTTTCGCACGAACCTTATTCTCTAACCTTCTAGGGTTCCGAAGTTTAATCAAACAAAGGGATACTTTATGATCCCTCGACAGTAGGGTGATAATGAAGAGCATTTACGTTCTAAAAATTGAACGCGCTTTCAAGAACAAGGGCAATAACTCATACTAAATATTTTTTTATTCTTCTGATTTTCATTAGGATTCATCCTTGGGTGATAACAACACTCACAGCAAGATTCGTAAAATCTGCCAAGAAGTGTGTTTACGAGCAAAAAAAGAATGCGTTTTTAAGAACAAGGGCAATTACTCATACTAATTATTTTTCCATATTTCTTATTTCAATAGGGTTAAACCTTGGGTGATGAAAAACACTCACATTAAGTTTCATCTAAATCCGTCAAGAATTCTAAAGTGTTTACGAGCAATTGCGGACAGACGGGCGGACATTAGCGACGACCCGATTGGCCCCATTTCATGTGGGCGTATAAAAATTGCACTAATGTCCGAAATCTTATGATGTAATCACTATTTATAAAATAAACTATATGAACATGAAACAATTGTTTATTTTTTTACTACTATTTACAGATAAATACTTATTCAACTACGAACTACCTTATTTTTACAATTTTCTTATTATGATGATATCACGTTGTGACCTTTAACACGGTAAAATATTTTATATACATACACATTAATTTGTGTGGATTGGGCACCATCATTACAATTTTTGATGCAGAGCTCCAGATCTTAAGCTGATGAAGGTTGAGGATATTTGAATCTGATGACTCAATTTCTAAAATACTTGTAAAGATTTGGGGACAAAATTAACTAAGTCACTGAACTGATCAATCACATGCATTCTTGTGGCGTTTTTATCTAGAGAAAAAAAAATGGGCTACAAATGTGGGAATACAAGCCTTAATGATCATGACATACATGCAAACAATAGTTTTGAGAATGTCAACATGACTAATTCATGGAAAAAACAGGAGATGAAGTAAAGACATCCCAACTAATAAAGAGATAAGAAATAATGACAACATTTCCACAATATTTTGTCCAACTTGTATTTTCCGAGATTTGAACCTAAAAGAAAATATAATATTGAATAAGACAATAATCGATCTATAGTAAAAACCACAAGCTTTGCCTCATCTATACATAATGTTATATTCTGGTCTACAAAAACTATTTTTCAATTTTCATGGAATTTTCGCTGTTTAAATTTAAGTCTTGATTACAGTTGCATTGTGTTAACTAAAGAGCACAGGAGTTGGACTATTGATATGAAATGGACTACTTGCAACGGAAAAAGAGCTCGTCTCGTGAAAACATGGCCTGGAAAAGGGGGCTATTTGTTCATTAATACAGCACAAGGTAAACGGTTTCCTTCTGCAAGGATGCGAAAAGCCGGCAACGAAAACAAGTCTATTGGTATGTCCACTTACCACTTAACAAGCAATATCTATATTAGGAACAGCTATGGTGCAACCTAAAGAATCATTTCCACCAAATGACTCCAATAATTTAGTTAAATATTCATTTAATAAAAACTCTATGTCTTCACATTTATTTTTATCAATGCTCTGCGTAGCGGCGGCTGTAACTGGTATATTGACAGCAGGACCAGAACTCTTCACTACTGCACATGCTGCAACAAGAAGAAAAATATTAACAGCATATATCCTGACACAAGAACTGATGTTTCTCGCTTTGAGTAAAAGGCCACTGTTAGTACGACTAGAAAAGACATGTATTTTGCACTAGGGGAGACCAAGTGGCGTAATCCGTCTACTCTTTTATTACTCTAACTGCATTTACGTTGTTGAACACAATTTTGCGTACTGATCTTTGAAAGCTGATAGGCGCAAAATTTAATTTCATATCATAGAATGAATCATTGGTATATTCTTACTTGCTTGGCTGTTGGATGCTGGTGTGTTGCTATTTACAAACGGTGGAACAAGTGCAGACGTCAAACCACTGACTCCATTACCAAGAAGAGAGTTCATGAGAAAAAAGTCTCTAGCTGTTCTGGAAGTATTGTCACCACGTTTAATCTGAAGCTTTCGACATCCACCAGTACAGAAAGGATCCTCTTCAATGAATGGAGGAATAAATGGAGGCAGCATTGATGCAATGATAACAATATTTGGTAGATCAGCTAATGATGACGATGTTGTTGTAGGCATTGTCGTGGTTTCGCCCTTCATATTGCCAATTGGATACGGAACCATTATAGGACTCATACCCATTCCGTATTCACCCATCATGCCTTGCTGTCCCATCATACCTGGCTGTCCCATCATGCCATGACCCATCATTGCTGGTATCATTATACCCTTCTGGCCCTGTCCCATCATGCCATAGTTCATTCCCTTTTGTCCTATCATTCCATGGTTCATTCCCTTTTGGCCCATCATACCGTAGTTCATCCCCTTTTGGCCCATCATACCATAGTTCATTCCCTTTTGGCCCATCATTCCATAGTTCATTCCCTTTTGGCCCATCATTCCGTAGTTCATCCCCTTTTGACCCATCATACCGTAGTTCATTCCCTTTTGGCCCATCATTCCATAGTTCATCCCCTTTTGACCCATCATGCCATAGTTCATCCCCTTTTGACCCATCATGCCATAGTTCATCCCCTTTTGGCCCATCATTCCGTAATTCATTCCTTGGCCTCCCATGAAACCGGACAATAACCCACCGGCATACATCCCTTTGTTATTACCCTTGAAAAATGGTTTAAATGTCGGCGCTTTCATAAAGACGGGCATTTGCGGGAAGTAACCTCCCATCATTCCACCGCCTTTTCCATACCCACCTCCCATCATTCCACCACCTACACCCATATTGTAACCTGCACCAAACCCATATCCCCCACCTTTGCCATAACCTGAGGAACTGCCTCCGCCATATCCACCTCCGCCTTTACCCCATCCACCTCCACCCCACTGACCCCCGCCTTTTCCCCATCCACCTCCCCCTTTTCCCCATCCACCTCCACCCTTGCCCCATCCTCCTTTGCCCGATCCCCCTACACCTTTTCCCCATCCTCCCTTTCCCCATCCACCTCCTTTGCCACTGGAACCCCATAATCCACCTGAACTGTCACTTGACCCACCATAACTACTACCACCGCCTCCCATCCCATGACTGCCTCCTCCCATACCATACCCTCCACTCATACCCCATCCTCCTCCACCCGTACCCCATCCTCCTCCACCCATACCCCATCCTCCGCCTCCACTCATTCCATATCCCCCGCCACTCATTCCATATCCGCTGTCTCCTTTATGTGAATGTGCTCCCGATAATTCCATTCCACTTCCGCCTCCGCCGTGACTCTGTCCATAACTTCCAGAACTACCATGGCCTTTAGAGCTACCACTATCATAGTCATCAGAGTCTCCGCCATATCCACCGCCCTTGTTGCTACTCCCATATCCACCTTTACCTTTATTGTATCCACCTCCGCCGTATCCAGAATCTTCGTCAGATTCCGAATCACTATCACCACCACCACCACCGCCGCCTCCACCATAACTTGGTGTCTGTGCTTTAGCTTTAGAAACAGCGGCGTGGTAGCCTTTGCCAAATCCTGTATTATAACCTTGCCCATAACCTTGATTATATCCTCCACTGTAATCTCCATCTCCACCTTTATCATTTCCACCACCATCTCCCTTACTCCAGGCGTTACTACCTCCACTATCCCAACTTCCCTTATCACCACCATTATCAGCATATCCGCCCCCATAGCCATCGTAGGACCAATCTTGATCCCCACCATAATCATCACTTTCCCATGATCCACCCATAGACGCACCTCCTCCACTGTGCCCACCTCCACCATGTCCACCTCCGCCGCCAGCTCCACTGGAACTGCAGTCCACATCTTTAGGCCAATTACAGACGTTAAGTGTTGTATCAAACATCAGATTTCCAGGGCAGTTGAATCTGTAGGCTTTGTCATGGGCACATTGGTAAAAGACACTACAATCATCTGGATCTCTTCTAAAACCTTCAGAGCCACAGTCCACGGGTGGATTTAAAGCCTGTGAACCTCCTTGCCACGAATCTTCTTGCCATGATCCACATTGAACTTGTGAAACACCTGGAATTTTAGACATAAAAACTATTAGTATATCCATTAAAGTACATGAAAAAAGACGATTCCTTGAAGGAGAGCCTTGAATTGATAATTCAGAAGATAAAAGGAGTGGGCATACTTATCTTTTGGATTTCAAATCATTCCAATTAAACGCTTGAAAAAGGACTACATTTAAATTTAGACTGTAGTTTTGTAACAGTGATCAGCTTAAAAAAGATTACAAGATGTTTGAAAAAAAAATCACGCTTCTGTCGCCATTTTTAACTTTGACTATGAATTTGTAGACATAGCATAATACTTAACAGACTCGTGTCATAATCTGTTTTATCTACTGTATTGATGTTCCAATGTGTTTTAAAAATATCACAAGATTGTGTGACCAATACAACATTAACCTTCTCAGTCACTTGCAACACGTTTGGTTATATCTTTTTATTTATTTTTTGACAAAAGGGAGAAAGAGTTGCAGATTTTGCGCTTAAAAAAATCTATTTCGAAACTGGTGAGAAAAATAAATTCATCAATTAATGCTTCGATGTGGTATATATTTAATATGGTTAAACAAGTTATGCCCAGAAATTGATAATACTATGAACTAAAAGTACAATGCACTTTTTACTTCTATGAATTCCTATTGTGGCTATACTTGCTACCGGCGGAAAATATTTATTGTAAGGTACTCATATCATATCATGGAATGAAAACCGGTTTCAGAATAGTTTTCAATTAGGTAAAAATAGATCGACGAAAGTCATGACTCTTTATGTTTTCAGACTATTATCTTCAATCCTCGAAACAGGAAAAGACAGAATCAGTGTTAGTTGCACCGACAATCCTTCTCGTAAAACATATTGCAGGCGAATCAGAAGCTGGATTGTGATTTCGAAAAGGTTATACAACATCGAGTATTTAGGCGAATAAATTACATTCCTTTAAGATATCTTTTCCATGTGTATTCCAAACAAGAAAAAACTCCCAATACGTCAAATAATTCCAATGATTACGATTGTTCTTACCTACTAAAAAAGATATAATATATCCAAGACGTTCCCAAGACGTCATTTTAGTGTCCGAACTTTGTGCAAATAGTCCGTGGTATTTTTTTAAACCCCATTATATAGATTTTTTTGAAAAATGGCTGACATCCATCGCATAACGACAGAAACATGTTAAAAAACTTAACAGTTCACAAGGTCACGAATTATCCCCCCTCGTCAGCTCTCTTGTGTTGGGAAAAGGGATTAAGTATAAGATGTAACGTAATGGAGAGAAATAGTTTCTTTAAAGTCACGTGATCTACCAGCAAGTTGCGGTACCATCAGCAAGTTAGTATACTGGTACTAAAATCTTTGACCCACCTACCAATGGTCATAAATGAGGACATTAAAAATTCCTTAAGCCTATCGTCCACTGGTACATGACTGTTAAATTTTAGAAATCACGTGGTCGTGTGTACCTGTCACGTGATATTGTTAAAACTAACGTTAACTTGTTTAAACTAGCGTTTTAAATAGATGCAAAGTTTGTTTTGTTTTTAAGTCGGTCAAACGATAATATTACAGTTTCTCGGGATTAAAGGTTTAACAAGCAAGGATTGAACATATGCATATTGATGAATCGCTTTTAAAACCAATTAATTAAGACAATAAATACCGTAACGTAAATGAGTCATAAAAGGCACCTTGTACGTAATACTATCTTACAATATGGGGAAAATCATAGTCTCGATTTCAGATTGGGGGCAGATTTTGCATAATATATTCTTCAACTTGCTTCGAAATGGTGTACGTGTATGGGTATTAGGTGGGATTGGAAGGGGTACCAACATCCAAGGATAAAATGTAATCCGATCTTCTCATGTTAAATAGATCGAACTTATCATTTCTAACGGGTTCCTTAATTTGTTGAGAGGGTGAGAGGTGAACATATGTAGGACGCGATTGGTCAGTAGGAGAGATATATAAGAGTAAGAGATGACCGCTGTTCTGACCACACACTATGATGTAGACATCATATATATTTCTCTATAAGATGTAAGCCTCAGACGTTGCCACTTTTAAATAGATTTCAATGTAGATGTTTTACCTATATGTGATGTTAGATGTGCCCTGATATTTTAAATTCATATAGAAGTAATAGATTTGATAAGTGTGTTCGAGTCCTCACCATCTGTCATTCATATGCTATATTAATACAACATTAATATTGGTGCCATAACATTACAAGGAATACTTTGCTACCGTTTTTTGGATATTTTTAGATTCGGCTGTTTAAAAAACAAACATAAGTCATGATCACCCCCGTCCCAGCTTTCTAAAGATCCAAATCCACGAAATATTTTTCTTTCGTTGTGATGGGTTTTGTAGAATTCTCTTACTGTTTTGAGGTGAGAGAAAGTTTTTGTTTCTGATTCTTTGCACAGGTGACTGATCAAGATATCGAGGATCTACTCCCAAAGACCAATATAAGAGAAACAAAATTTAAGCTAAGTTGAGAACAAGGAAGTCTTCAAGTCATTAAAAGAACAGTCCCATCTCGAAAGTGAAAATAGTAAATGAAAAGATATGTGAGTACATCTGCTAGGTGTAAGTTATTGTCAAAAAAAAAGAAATGTCGGTGCAACTGGCAAGATGAATATTGGAGCTTTAAAGTTCAAACTTTGATAATATCTGCAGACTACATGATTCTCAACAGGATATAAGCATAAGAGGGTTTAAATAAAGTCTAGTTCAAAAGTTAAGTTAAACTGTGGACAGGTGTTGAAGAAAACAAATAGTCTTTGATCAACGGTTATAATTACACAACTGGTAGAGAAAGTCATAACAAATATCGTAGGTAAGTGCTGGAATTATGAACGTCTCGGAACATCCAATTGACCCCCTTGTCTGTGTTGTTCAACGGCTTCTTGTGATTGGTTGAAACCTCCGGGTATGCAAATTCACGTCGTAAAAGTTTAATCGAACTGTCCAAAAAAGTTACGCCGCCTTGCGCCGTTATACGGCGTGTACTCGCCGACGTGGATAGTAAAACTTAAGCGCTGACGAACGTTGGCAACCACCGACTGAGAGCGTAGCGTATGCTAGCGTATTACGGCGTAAGAAGTATAAATCCACCTTTGTGATGTCACGCATTGCTAAAGTCTTCTGTCTCTATTTTCGTCAAACTCTCCATATTCTGTAGAAAACTCTGTGGAAAACTTCAGTTACTATAAATTATCATCAAACCTCGCCGCCCATGCTGGTCAAGCCAGTTTATTGAAGTGAATTGCGCGTGCAAGAGAAATAAAGTGTAACCAGTGCTTGGCGCGGATATGGTACAAAACGTAATCATTTTATGAGGCATGACCATCATTAAGAAATTACTATTACACTACCTAAAAAAATATCATGAACTATAGTCTGTTTCATTTATATATATTAAATATTTCTAAAGTAATAAAGATGAATAAGACATTCGGAATAAAAATGATATACATGTATGTTGATAGGGAAATATTTCACAATACAATGAAAGGTTACACACGGGATAATTCATCTAGCGACCTACTTTCATCTTATCTAAAGTAATATTGTTTCTCGATAGATAGCAGAAAGGAAATCTATACCACATTTTAAAGGTTACTTTACTTTTCTATCGTAAGTAACCACTGGCCTTTTATTTCGAGATGGTGGGGCACAGCATAAAACCTGCTGAAGCCATTGTCTTATCGTCAATGAACACACAGTGGTATTTTAGGTTGTAACATTGCGGTTAAGTTGCACATGGGAGAAGTCTACAACAATTGTTTATCATGGTGAACAGTTATTTGCGAAGTTTGACAAATATCAGTATATGTATAAATATTTAACACGGGCTTAATATATATTCAAAATAAATTGCAATCCGTCTAGAAAAAAGTAACGAGTAAGGTATATATTTTGTCCGAAAATCCATTGCTAAGTTGATAGTCTGTTTCATTTTTCAGAGTTAGTAAAATCTTGGCATAGATTTATATCCCGGGTCGATAAACATGGTGTTTGAAGAGTCTTTAGAATATGTCAAAGAGCTATTCGCCAAGTATATACCAGACAAAGTGTGGGAGTTATTACCAAAATCAAAAATCACTAAAGCTCTCCTTGTCGGAGTTTCAGCAGGTTTCTTGGCATATATGATTTTTAAGAAGAGGTACAAGCTACCACCTGGTCCGCGAGGATGGCCAATAGTAGGAAACACAATTTGTAAGTTTCTTATACTAATATTATTAAAGATAAATACTAAGAAAAGTTAATTATACCATTGGGTATCCATACAACGTGTTTTTCTCGACTTGGCAGCTGTTGTCGAGTTTGTTACTCATGAAATATGGGTCAAAATTTGCGTTTTTTAATTTTGACAAATTTCGGTGTTAAATGCTTACATGCACGAATATAGGTTACACCACTGTAATTTAGTATTTTCAGAGGGCAATTTACCAAAGATATGTACAGATTTGGCGAGAAAATATGGACCAGTTTATATGATTTACTTTGGTGAGTTCAAAATATGATGACCATTTAAAATGTACATCAAAAACTTTTCAGGCATGGACCTGATTAATGTTTTTGGAGTAGATGTCATTGTAAAAATTGGTTTGATGACTCAGTTTGAATTCGATTTTGATAAAATTGGTATCCATAATGTATGGTAGTTTGGATTAATATTGGGTTTAGGGTGGACAGTGGACAATTATTGAATTGTTTCATTTAACTTTTAGTCTATACGTAGCAGATCCGTAGCTACTGCACCCTCCCCCCAAACTCCCTTTTTCATTGTCCTATCCGACCAATTGTATTACTGCAACTGAACATCATTGCCCCTCCGGATATATTATTTGCCCCTCCGAACAATCAAGTGTGGCTACGGATCTGACACGTATTTATAATTTAACTAGTCTTCTAGTCGTGAGCATGTGTTTCGTTGCCTGAAAAATTGTTTTTAACCTTTTTTCAGGTCGAGAAAGGTGTGTTATTTTGAATAATCTAGAAGTAATAAATGAAGCTTTGTTGAAGAAAGGTGCGCAGACATCAGATAGATTTTCAGGCTATGCAAGTAAGTATATGTCAAATATCTTAGTATGAACCATTTAAAGATGGGTTTGCTTTTTTTTTTTTGGTTAAATCATGTTTATTGTTTGATAAATTGATGTCATCGTAAAGGTAATTTAATATTATGTTAGGAAAAACTCATCTTCGGAGGTGTGGAAAATCTTCATTTAAGAGGGAAAACTTTTTCTGACTCTACTCCAGTCGACAACTGTCAAAATATTCATCAGCGGCTGGAATAGAGGCAGATGTTTCGGCCTAGTTCCATCTTTTTCTTACAATTTAGACATCTAACTAATGGGATAGACACTAAAATAGATCACGATAATTTTGAATTTGGCGGATGGTATTTGGCGTTCCTTTAGATGTTCGGCTGTGAATAGATACATATAGAGTTACCTCACTGATTGATTGATTGGGACTGGTTGATATTTATTAAGTGACCAAATGGTTTTAGAGTACCTTTGTAATTAGCTAATTACGAGAATGAAATTAAATGGAATCATTAGAACACCTCTACTTCGATTAATATAAGTATTAGCCGCCCAATAATCGAATAATACCAACGACTATCATTCGACTACCAATCAAAAAGAATGACCATGATCAGAACGAGTATGGAAGAATGAAAGAGATAGAGTAACTCACGCCACATCATTCAGGGCTGAATTTCACCGCCATATTATTCGACCCGACCAGATCTGTCAACAACCAACAACCAAACCAACAACACAGAATCATCCAATTTGAACCAATCTAACTACCAACTACTACGACTACCACTACGACTGGAAGCGAACGTTTATAAAATATTTGCATGGAATTCAGTAATATCAATATGATGTTTTTCATACAAAAAACCCCTATTATTCAGAGCCTTTTTACTTGGTCCTCTGAGGTAATAGTGACTGATTCAATCACTAATTTTGAGAAGACAAACTCATGATATCACCACGCTACCAAGCAAATTACATCAAACTGAGCAATTGAAACGGCTGAGGTACAGCCCGACACGAGATATGTTCTATAACGGAGATCTGATCCGAAAACCAATTTCTGGCGTTGATAGAATACTAATCGTGTTTATAACTCATTTTATTTTTTTATAGTGGATATAACCTTGCACAACAGCGAAGATATTATCTTTGGGTCATATGGTACTGGCTGGAAATTAAGAAGGAAGGTAGCGGCAAGAGCTTTAAGATTATTTATGGTTAGAGGGCGTTTGAACGAGAAAATACAGTTAGCAGTATCCATGACTGTAGAAGCGATGTTAAAAGAAAAGGAACCTTTTGATCCTAAACCCTACATGTTTTACACTACGCTAAATATAATTGCTGGATTTTGTTTCAGTGCCAGGTACTTGACTATATAACTGTTAATACTTATTGCTTGGATAAAGAAACTCTATCGGTCACAGCAGATTAAATGGGCAGTAAACAAAATCTTCATTACTAAAAACGTCGTTTGTTTTTACAAAGTTAATTAAAAACGTAGTTTACTAACTTTTAAGTAAGCAGCTTGAACTAGTTTGGTTATCAGGCCTCATAAAGACTCGATATTTTTGATTGAAATCTGTAGGATACGTAGGAGACATATTTCTCTACAATTAGGGGTTTATTTTGCTTTAATCAGAACAGAACTTTAACGCTGCTGTAAACTTTTTAAATAGCTTTGGTGTTAAAAAATTACGTCAAACTTTCAGATAAGTTAAGGGGCACATTTCTCTAGATTTTGGTGTATAGTTTTCATAAATATTAGCAATAGAAAAATTCGACCTACGAAAAATCATAATGCCCCTTTAAGTTTTCATTTTTCAAGTTGTCATAATTCTTTTTTTCTAGAATATGTTAACCCTATTTTCAGCAATTCATCTATTTAATTTGACAGCAATCTTCTATCTAGTTTCAATAGTTTCACTTCAAACCATCTTTATTATGTATATTTTTAGTTACGAATATGACGATCCTAAATATTTAGAATTTTTGAAGTTAATGAATGAACAAGCATCGGTATCTAGCAAAGGAATTATGTTTGAGAATATCTGTTCCACTTTTGCTCGGCTGGGTATTTACAAAACTGAATCCTGCAGGAAATTTGAGAGTTTGGTAGGAAGGATTTTGGTTTTAATTGGTGAGCATGTCGAACAACATAGAGCAAATTTCAAATCTGGTAAGAATTGTATCTTCTCTAGCTTGGAGTAACAGCAAACAGTTCCATATAAATATAGCAGTATCTTATTGTAGTTACTGTAGTAGAATTTTATTCTCGTTACCATATTGAAGTAGTTGAGGACATATCTTATTCTACTCTCTCAATGGATTATTACCAGTCAGAACTAAAGATAATACTAAAGCATTAATGAATTTATTTTTCAGGTGAAGTGAATGATTTGATAGATAGCTTATTAGAAGCTGAAAGAGAAATAGCATCAGAAGGAGAGGAAAATATGGCGTATTTTCAACCAATACACATCAGTCTGATAGTCTTTGATATATTTCTGGGTATGATCTCAATGTACATCTGTTTCTCTTCAGAATTTCAAATATTCATTGCCATTCTTTGTTTTAAGTTAATCAGAATATGTTACATGCTGTTCGGAAAATAGGCCATATCATCAAACATAGTCTGGCAGAAGCTTCAGGCACCATGCATTGATGATGACTACCTTACATAATATCTGTCTGTAGCGTGTATAAAACAATTACTCACACATCAAACGGTATAATATCTGTTATTGTTCAAGTAGTATTTGTTATCTTTTAGCTGGTAATGAAACATCTCGTTCAACTTTATTATGGGCTATGATGTTTATTCTTGGTGTACCAAATGTTCAGAAGAAAATACAAGAAGAGGTCGATTCAGTGTCGGGTAAATCATCTTATTAGACCTTATTAAATATTGTCATAATTCAAAAATCCTAAAAGAAAAACAACAGCTTCAAATTCGAAATTTTCTTTCGTTCTATTAAATCTGTTGTTTGGTTAACATATTCTCCAATTCTAACAGAAATTATAAAAAATAAACATATAAACTCTTTGATTTATTATTGTAACATTGTAGGTGGTCGCTTTTTAACAACTGATGACAGAAAACATTTAGCCTATACTGATGCAGTATTACACGAAGTTATGAGACTTGGACCAGTTGCGCCTCTGGGTGTCGGTCACAGAGTAAGCTGTGATGTAACTCTTGGTAAGATCTTTGATTATAATCGGGTTTCTCTTGAACGCTTTCCGAACTTCTATAAACCCTGCAGTATTATTGATATTAGTGTACATAGACGACACACCGACACATCAAGATTGAAATCTGGGGAAATCAGACGTGTCTTTAAGGTGGGCTCAATGTTGGCATGCATGTGGTAGTAAGAAGAGGTCATTGTATTCTGACACTGCATAATATGATAATATGACTCACTAATACAGTTCGATATATTCGGGAGACCTTTAAGGAATCGTTCGATAAACAGTTGTAGATAATCAAGATAATTGGGATGAACTTCAGTCCACGATCTAAAATTGAATATTGATTGGATGTGAGAATTTTTAGGCTCGGTTCACTACAGATTGTATTAGTCGGGACCCCTCGGTATTTTTAGCTATTAGTTTAAAGACTAACTTGTTGTTTGAACCTGACTTTTCCAAGACACATAAATACTAGGAAATGGGAATATACGGCTTGACTTGATAGGTGAAGTCCGCGTGGCTTGCTGGTCTAAGTAAGAGAAGTTGGCTGAGGCTGGATCATGTGGAGAAGACTGTGAAGGAGTAGATGGTGAATCTGAAAGGGAAAAGTGTAGAGGGGTTACCTGTTTGCGTGAGTGTTTACCTGCGTCCGTTGGACTTGGACTACGTGAACTATGAGCTCGTTTCTGGGTCTGTTTAGATAGGGTGGTGGATCTAATTTGTCCTAATTTGTGCAAGTTAATTGAATGATCATAACAAAAAATGATCTGATCTACTTTTAGCCTAAATCAGACTGGAATGTATCACAAAATCACTGTACAGCAAGCCGCCTTCAGTAAGCGCTAAATAGTTTGACTCTTATCTTATCTTATCTTTATTTTTACACTTCTCTATTTCTAGGGGGTTATGATATACCAAAAGGAACTATGATGTTGACAAATTTATGGGCATTACATGTTGATCCCGACTTCTGGCCTGACGTGGACCAATTTAAACCAGAACGATTCCTGAACGAAGATGGCAAAATGGCACCAAAACCTGACAATTGGCTTCCGTTTAGTGCTGGTAGACGTGTGTGTCTAGGAGAACCATTGGCTAAAGCGGAATTACATCTAATATTGGCAGGGTTGTTCCAACAATTAGAATTTGCACCAGCACCAGGCACTTCTGTTGATATAGAACCTGATATTAAGGGAGTTGCTCTTGTTCCCAAACCATTTAAAGTAGTTGTAAAGAAAAGATATTGATAATTCTTGAATTTGTTCAAATCTACGTGTTCCTTTAGCATCGGTAGTTATGGCTTGATGTTGATAATATCGTATCGTTGCTAAAGGAACATTCAATTAGATGTGTTCAACATTCAAATTAATGGCTGATTTACATAATTTACATTAATTTACAAAGAAATGCTTAGAATTTTTCCTACCGACGTTCTCTCGGGGTATCACGAAAAAAATCTTTTATATAAACGTCTCCAAATAACTGTATGCAAAATCCGCCCTATGTCAGAAATCGAGACTATGATGTAATGTAACGGAATATGTATTCCATATGATATGATATACATCTACTCGACCATGGTCTTTGACCAGGAAAGGATTGTGGTAAGGTATAGGTGCGCAATATTTTTGGCCAATCATTCCTTAAGTCTCGGAAACCGGATTTTGTGTTTACTAAGACAATCAGTAATAGTGTTCACAACTCACCGTCGAAATTTGAGCCTTCAAATCCATGAGTGTCCAGAATTATCCGTGTTTGAACGTTAAAAATAAGAGTCGTCTTTTCTTGAGAAAACTCCAAAAAATCGCGTACGTGTCCCTTTAAGTGGATTATATCAGATTGATGTGATATTAGAAATTTCAGATTATTACCTGTAGTAGAATTACTTTTAAAAAAATAGACATATAGTCAGTGGGTTGAGTTTAAATTAAAGAGCAAATATTGTATACAAAACCTTATCCATATTATAAATACGTTGAAGGATCTTCTATACGGAGAGTTATCGGTTCCTGGAACCATTCCAAAATTGAAACAAGAGCTGTCGTTATCATTTACACTATCGAAGGTGTACATGACGATATATTGAGGGTGGTTAGTGAATTGTACTATTTGTACACTTAGAAATGTCGAATGTGTTGAGGTTTGGATGTAACCTAGATTTTCATATTGCATTAAAATCTGCTCCTGAACACAATTTTAGTTAGTCTATGAGATAAAATAAAACAACAATAATGTATAATACTTTATTATGTAGCCATTAGTCTCGTCCAATTAAATGACAATGGTTTAGATGGAGGTGATTTGAGCGTTTAATCAATGTAATACATTACATGAAATTAACCACTTCTATGAGTCTATATTTATGACAACGGTCCCTTACCACTTCGTAACACAAAAAGAGTATCTCATTGACATACAAATGTGATTAGGGTCATATTGCAGTTGTTGAATGGACAGTTTGAGAGGTTTAATAATGCACTATTGGTTACTGACTCCAATCGTGGAAGATTTGCTCCAAGACGGGTACAAACATCGGTTTCGAGAGTAATGTTCAATCGATTGCCTGAAAAGTAAAGGGCAACTTTTTTAAAAGATCATTTTAACATTTTAGCCTACACGATTACAATATTCTGGCATGCAGTTAACCAACACTTTGTGTTTGAACACATATATTGCTGAACACCCAGATAGATAGATAAATTAAAACCTTAATCATAAGTTGATGAAAACAAACGTTGTCATAAACATTGTAACCTTTATGCAACCATGTAAACCTACATATATTTTTAAACGTAGAATGCTGAGAAACTTACCGATTGACCTCATTTCAGCGGTAATATCCAATTTTAAAAGGGTTATAGGAAAATAAGAATACTCTAGATAATATGGTCTATTCCTGCTTGTCTTTTTGGGGCATTTACAGACGTGCGCAATATGTTGGACTATACCAAATGAAGCCTACCTGGTAAACTGCTTAACGGTGTAAATTGAGGTGTTGGTGGTGGTTGTGCAGCACCATTCATAGCTGACTGTAGAACCTGCCAGAAATCAACATTCTGCTTCTGACATTTAACGTTAGTGCCGGTGGTACATTCTTTGGTTGAATAATCATAAGCTTGGTCTGCCGCACATGATGTGAGAGTCAAATTGAAGTTGGTGCAGGACCAGTATTTCTGACAAATTGGATCTGTCCAGTCAGGCATGGTACCGTTAGCGACTTGACAGTACAAAAATTGGGAAAAGTCTTTAGAATCTTTGACCTGGCTAAAAGGATTCATTGGTTGTGGGAATGGAGCTTGGTTGATTTGGAACTGACGCATGTTGGGTTGAAAAGCATACGGATTTGGTTGGAATGGATCAACAAAGGGTCCTTGGAATGGTGTGGGTTGCGCTTGCTGCAAGAATGGATAAAGCGTGTTTGGCATTCGTCCTTGATTAGGGAATCCTTGTCCTGGAAAAGCTTGTCCTTGGTTTATTGGACTTTGACCAGGAAAGGATTGTGGTAATTGTCCTGGAAATGGAGGGAGATTGTTGGGTATTTGCCCTGGAAAGGGTGGTTGTTGAGGTATTTGGTTTGATGTTGGTGGTTGATTTGGAATGGGTTGATTAGGTTTTGTCTGATCTGGTGCTGTAGCTTTGTCAATTCCTGGGAATATATCGGCAAGTGATGGTACTGGTTGACTTGGTTTAGAGGCGGGTTGCTGTGGATCTTGTGGTTGTTGTTGAGCTTGTACACAACACAAAACAACTAGAATAGAAAAATATGAATAAATTAATTGACTTACCTCCTAAATTCAAAATGAAATATGATAGTTTGTTTTAAAATTAATTGGACCATTGCATTCACTTCAAGTAAATATGTTAATATCTGTTGACATAATTTTGAAATACAGAAATATGGAAAAACTATACAACAATATTCTAATGTCCTCATCTCATACAAATACTTTATAAACTAATTCAATAGATTTAAAGTGTCTCATCAATGTAAGCATCCAACGGAAACCTATCTGATGCATCAAGCCAACAATTTTGAATTTAATTTCTGTATCTCACAAAATAGTTCATTAATATCATATTTAAACTTCATGATCTGTTTATAGGCTTTTAAGTACCATTAACCAATAAAACTCAATTCGTCTTGTTTGCCAAATTTGACCAATTCAAATTCAAAAGCATAAATATTCCTTCCAAAATGTATCGAAACTGACAAATGTGATTTAAGAAAACTTTTAAAATTTACCAGCAAAAACCGTTATTCCGATTAATCTCTTCATTGTGGAATAAATATCTCCTGTATAAATCACCAGTTCACAATTAAACTTTCAACTGAAAAAGATTTTGACTGTTGGTCTTCTTATAGATTGTCGGTGATGATCCAATGATATCAAAGGGAGGAGACGTGGGTTTAACACCAGCTTATTCAGATTCGCCAACAGTCAAAATTGCAATGGTTGGTATACGGAAGGTGACCTGTACAGTTATTGTTCATCACTATTAAGCCTTGTTAATCGTATTAACAATGAGGAAACATTGAATTAAATTCATTAATCAAAACGTGATATTAACACCATAATAGTTGTTATAGTAGTTTTTTGATCAGCTTTTTATTTTTTTTAAATATCATTGTGCATTTTATGCACTGTGCTATTATGGTTAGTGAATAGATTTAAAGATGAGGTTATTGTCTCAGTACATATAACCCTATAACATCACAATCTTTTTTACTTTGTGATAAAATGTTTTGTGTGACTATTTGTTTTTTTCTTGTTGTTTAAATAAATACTTCTAAAAAAGATTATAATACCACCATTGTTTATCATATGTATTATATGTGAAAATAATATATATAACGTGTTAAATTGTAAAATGAAAATGTACCCAGTAACTCTGCAGTTCTTCTCACTAATGAGTGAATTAGAACTATTTTTAAAGATTTATCATCCATCATCTTCTCAGAAATAAACAGATAACCCACAGCTTTAGATTATACAAAAAATGTTTATGCTAGAATTAATGAATTGTCTTTGAAATAATTAATCTTGACAGCTAGTAATTGAATGAGTCTATGGACGGTAGTTTTGCTAACAATTTACTCAAGACATATCAACTGGCAACAATTCAGACGATACACAAAAGTAGCCTGGGCACCTCTTTACCATCAATTTCATAACTCGTAATTCTTACCCCTCATTTGGCCGATTTTTTTTCAGCACATAGTGGGCAATCGCTTCCACATCCTTTAATATTGATCGACAAATACAATTCACGCTTATTTACCGGTATTTGCGCTTATTTGCGCTTGTTAACACTTTGAAAGGTTTGGTTGGCATTGTATTTATTATAATTGTGAGTGATGGTGTCACGATTGCAGTTTGCTTCAGTATGAATAATACTGAAAATCATACATTGCGCCTGAATACAGCGGAAACCATCAGTCCGAAATGTCATTTAATATGTAATCTAGGAGAGAACTGTCTTTATTTCAAATTTAAAATCATCAAACTTTACATACACATTCTAAGACCATTGAAATTCAATAAGAAATGTTATTGTGAATTTTGTGTTGCATGATTAGTCATTAGTGTCGTTTTAGTGTCATTTTTGAGAGAGGCCTTTCAAATTCAGATTTAAGGTTAATGATATAAATGAAGTTATCAAAAGTAAACTCATTAAAAACCTACGTTGATCCTTCCACAAGGCGGACAAGTGAACCAGTGCTGTGAATAATATTACCGTGCAGTGCATATATAGCATTTTAACTAATTCATTAAGAATTTACAGTTTTTGTGCTAGTTTACTAAATAATAGGAAATCACACAGCAAGGGATATTTTGACATTTCCGTCTTCATACCAGTATAAACTTTCTTTGATCCTGTATTTTTGCTATCAAGTACTTGTTTTCATTCGGTTAAAGGGATATAGTCGACGATACAGGGTGATACTGATTAATTATCAGCCTTACCAGCCATCAGCCATTACTGACTGCCATATTCATGTCAGAAATGACAAGACCCGTTAAAAATAATTATAGCCCTTCGGATGGCAGACTGGCACTCTGTCATTTATTTTGGTCCGCGAAAATACAAAGATTCTAAGGATTGTTGACCTATACTCACATTTAAAGCGTTGACTGATTAGACACGTAACAGTGGCGAAGGGGGCTTCAAAGAAGTTACTTAGGTTTCCATGACGGGAATGTCAGTCTGCTGCTTGAAGGGTTGGAGCTGAAGATGGCTTTCGGTAGCTTTTATTATTTCGATAACAGGATTACGTGTGCGAATTTTTACTTCTATATCTAATCGGAACGCCTGATCCAGACTACATGTATTGTCTATCCAGATTTCGTCTATGTAATCGACAAAATAAGATATTTCTTTTTCTTTTGCAATGTAAGTTTTTAGTTGCTAGTCTTTTAAACTCATTAAACCTGTTATCTTTTGAAAATGAGTTCAGCTAGCTTTTAAGAGTTTCCACTGGGTCATTTGTTAAGACAAATAATGAGGGTTATTTTTCATCTATTTAACTGTATCGAGACCAGTTATCATTAATACAACTCTTTAAATATAACAGTCCAGTCTAGAACAGTCCTGAAATTTTGCAAGCTCTTGTAAAATATCGACAGTGATCAAGCCCATACGCTACGAAAACAATATATTTCTACGGGTGACAATCAGTGGCGGCGCTAGCCACCCGAAACAGGAGGGTACAAGTAGGGGGACAACTGTCGCTTCTGAATTTGAACTGCCACAGATCTGTAGAGGCGTCTTGTCGCAAGCCTCTCATGGAGCGTCTGAAAATGTTCTCACAAGAAATAATTCGAAAAATTGGATTGATTTCGTGCATTCTGATACATATTTTGTGGCCAATTGGGTCTAATCGGGGATGAAAACCATTTAAGGGGAGCAAATCCCTCACCCTCTGTACCCCACCGACGCCAGGGTGACAATCCCTGCTTTCAGAAAAACAGTATCACTGAGATGGAAGTTGTCGATATTATATGTATGTCGGCATCCAATCCTGAAACATCATTAACATGCCATTTTGAATTGGTGGTATCATATTGACATCATCAAAGGCATCATTTCTGGATGATGATTTTGGTCACTTTTGGCATGATGGTGGAAAAATCTTTCATATCAATAATCAGAATGCAAGAGAGAAGAGTATTAAAGGCGTATCAAAAAGAATATACTTTATTTAGTAATAAAAGATATCTAAACACACACATTTTCTTTTCACACATACATCACATTTACATCTATTTAAAACATTAGACAATTGACTATGGACGTTACCAAACGTAGTTTTACAAATTTACTTGCAGGATTTAGTCATGGGTTGAGGATTATCACGTAGCACACTCAGAACACATACAAATTAGATATGTAGAAACCAACACCCATTTACAACTTCGACATTAGCCAGCAGATACAGACAAGGTGCCATTTGTAACAGTGGCACTAACTCCGGACGTACTAGCCACATTGGCTACAACAGTGTCATTTGGTGTTGATCTGAAATCCCGATCCTTTGAAATAGTTTCAGAGTTTACACTATCTGAACTACTACGCAAAGTACCGAGTTCAAATCCTTGAAAACCGCCAGATTTGGCAACGGATGCTGAACTGCTTGGATATACCACTCCAAAACCAGTGCTGGAGGTAGCTGTATTACTATGGTCATTAGAGGTATAATTTGGTGCATAGCCTGTATTTGTATGAGCATTACTTTGACTATTTGAACCATAAGTTGGAACATAAAGCTGACCAGTTCCGGCATTGCTAGTAAAACCTATTGAATTCGGGTTGTAGAAATTACTGTTATACGATGAACCTGGGAAACCGCCCAAGATGACAGACCCACTACGATTAACATTAGCATTAAATGGATACATATTACTAGGATTTCCCGATACCCCAGATGGAACATAACCTGAACTTGTTGGAACGTATCCGCTTGTATTCGGTATGTAACTACTAGTGTTTGGTTTGTAACCACTAGATTTTGGAACGTATCCACTTGGGTTCGGTGCGTAACCACTAGAGTTCGGAACGTATCCACTTGTGTTCGGTGCGTAACCACTAGAGTTCGGAACGTATCCACTTGTGTTCGGTGCGTAACCACTAGAGTTTGGAACGTATCCGATTGTATTCGGTACATAACCACTTGTATTTGGTGTGTATCCACTTGTATTCGGTACGTAACCACTGGTATTTGGTGTGTATCCACTTGTATTCGGTACGTAGCCACTAGTGTTCGGGGTATATCCACTTTTATTGGGTGATGTAACACTTGTATTTGGTAGGTATCCGTTTGCATTTGGTGCATATACGCTATTAGGCACGTAGCCACTAACATTTGGCGTATACGCATTGGTAGAGCTACCACTAGTACTTGGGATTCGATAGCCAATTGTATTCGGAACAGAACCACCAAAATTAGTGGAAGCAAATCCCAAAGGCACAGGCCCGTTACCGCTTCCAAAAGAAGGCAGCCCATTACTGGCAGAGGGACTGGTGTTTGAACCTGCATTTGCTAATGGATAAGGCGGGAAGTAACTACCGCTTTGTGCATTACTTCCTAATGACGTCTGTGGCGTGTATCCCACGTTGTTTAAGTTGAATTGGGAATTGGCAAACCCTGAAGGATTATTACTAAATCCAAGTGGAATGGGAATTGTGGTAGCATGATTGAAACCGTTGGGTATATAACCAGATCCTTGGTTTGTGAACGCTGTCGAGACACCGGTATTACCAAATCCTAATGGTGTTGGAGGGTTACTACCAAAGGTTGTTGAGCCTAAGAAATTACCTGATGGGAAACCATTCCTAGGCACAAAGTTACTATTGGCGTTATTGACGTTAACAGGGTACGGTACAGTATTTAATGGCGTACCAGACCCTTGGTTAGTATTGATGTTCCATACTGGCAATGGTGGTGATTTGAAGACTGTACCAAAATGTGTGTTTGTCAATCCTGAAGGAAATGGGCTATTTGCTGTGTTCGAACTAACCGGAAAGTTATTTCCGAAAGTTAGAGGGAAGCTTGCTCCATTGGGTTTGCTTTGATACGTAGGTGTTCCTAATCCAAATCCACCAAAGCCTACATTTCCACTGGAGCCAAATAAGGGGAAGGTAAAATTAAGAAAGTTTCCAAAGCCTGGTATTCCACTAAAAAGTCCGGAACCACCCATCATATTTGTTCCTGTAGCCATTGACTGAGTACCAGTAAATCCAGCAAATCCATTAGATAACTGAGGGAATGATAGCCCATTCATACCTGTCATTCCATTTACACCAAGCCTGCTTTGGCCTAAGCTTGTTTGTCCTGTCGCACCCAATCCTAGTTGCTGTAAGTTGATGGGGAACAAACTACCAATCACTCCCAAACTGGGAACACTTGTTGATACTCCAGGGTAACTCGTTGTCATTGTGTTCGGTGAGTATTGGCTAGCAATTCGCGGGATATATCCGGATTGGGCGTTATTTAATGGAAATATAGGTAAAGGTACTTCTTGAAAAGCGTTATTGAAACCAGAGTTCGGAATATTGTTCATGTTCATGAAAATAGGATATGGTATACCTATAGTAGTTGTACTGGCGAGACCAGGTATGTACCCAGATCGTGGAATACTGTTAATCGTTGAAAACAATGGCAAGGGGTTTGTTGTATATTGTCCAAAGAACGGATCTGGATAATACTCTGGAATATTAGACTGCATTCCTGTGTTTCCGAAAGCAGTTCGGGTACTAAATCCGGCGTTGTTTATACCAATACCAGCAAACGGAGATGAGATTGACAGTGTGGGCGCTTGATTGGATCCAGATTGAGCAATGGGTGCTAGCATTTCCATAAGATCTCTAGCAAGAACTGATATTGACAGGTCTATTGCAGGCAAACTAGGAAACATGGAAGCACGTGGAAGAAATCCTACTGGAGGTGGCTGCAGAAAAGGTCCAGCTGCCAACGGTGGAGGTATGATTCCATTAGGAAATGGTAGGTTCAGTGAACCATCAATAGCAGTAAGTGGATCGATAAAACCAATTGCTGGAGGGGCAAGTGGGTCAATAAAACCAATTGGTGGAGGAGCAAGCGGATCGATTAGTCCATCGGATGCATACCCTCTATCATAAAACTCTTGTGGTATTCCTCCAGCTCCATATAACTGTTGAAAATTTTCTCTTTGCCATTGACAAAGAACTTGTCCACTTGGTTGACACTGGAGATTGGCATAATGGAATTGGTATCCTTGTGGACAATCGTGCAGATGGGGTACAAAGTCGTGGCAACTGAAGTAACTCTCACAGCCAAGAGCGCCTATGTTAGGAAAGACATTGTCTTGTGATACACATACGGAAGACAAAACGGACGGTAGCAACAGTGTTCCTGAAAATATATTTGAAAAATGTGTTTAGACTTAACAAAAAATAATGTATCAGATATAAAAATGAAATATATTGATAATCATTATGTTGCTAGAAAATTGCCAATACATATAATATGGTTATGAAAATTATGAGGAACAATATGCAGGAAAAATAGCAGATTGGACTCAAAGGTTAGTTTATCAACGGATGTTTTCATATTAGCAGAATAAAGTAGGATACAAATTAAATATACGTTAAAAAAGCGTTATATTCTCTTGAAACTATGCTTAAAGTTGTGTAAAATGAAGAATTCTATCTAAAAATTAAAGATTTCATTAACATCAAATAACATAATACCAATGCTTACCGATGACAAAGATCGCTTTTAACATCCTAGTTTCAATCATAGCTTGTCAAGCCTCTCTGAAGTACTGATAATATAATACAACCAAAAGTCTAATGATTGTAAATGTGTTCTTAATCGTAGAATAATGCATTAGAAAAATAACAATACTCATAACCTTTTCACTTGTAATTAAGAACCATTTACATCTAAATCACACGTATTCGCAGTTAAAAACGTTACCCCCTCTAATGTAAGACCTTTTAATCGCATTTAAATTTGCATTATACTTTAGAAATAATGTACTTACCACCAGATTTTTATTGTTATAATTTTTTTGTCAAAATTAATTGGCGGATTAAAATGTTCAAACAAAATGCTAATTATTCTGCACAAATGTTAAAATAGATGTGAAATTTGCAGTAACAATGCTGTTTCTGCTGTCGCATTTGAGCATGATCTATTCAGCATATGGTAATAAAATGGTCTGTACGGAGCTGTCTACCCACCTACATTTAATGATTCACAGATATTGTAAGAGGATCATTGAGTTGCATTTAAAATCTTGAATATCTTTATAAGATCTTTATGAATTATTTCAAGTGAATTGCAACAGACAGTACAAAGTCGTTTGTCCAACACAAACAATGATTCTATTGAGATACTGTGAAATTATCTATATTCGAGTGTTGGACAGTACCTTACTGTTCTTATTCAAATTTTTACCAAAGGCTCCTTTAATGGCTTATTTATTGATGGGAATAATGTAATGTTGCGATGAGCAATTATTCTATTCCTCTTTTCTTTGGTGTGTAACTGTCCGCTGAGCAACTGTCCATACCTCTCTAATTTCGTCCAGAAGCGTTTTTGTTGGGATGTAAATACGTAAGCATATTCATGGGTATGTTAATTCATATAGATTCCTATTGTCGTGTTATATTCATTAGACCTCATTCAATAACATTGAATTGATGAGGTTGTTTTGTTTTTTTTTATCGAACACAACTACCATAAAATAGTTGATAATAAATTTTGATAAAAGCTTTATGACTAAATACCATGAGGTGACAAAAAGTTATTATAACTAAACACTCTATAGGGATTTCAGCACTAACACCGTCATGCAATCTATTTTTTCCTTTGTATTATCATAAATCAATTAACAGAGACCTTTGTGACAGCTATAAATACGCCATTTGAGAATTTTAAATGGACATACTATGGACTCTATGATAAAATGTTATAAAAGCTGAACAATTTACGCATTATAATTACAAGGTTTTGGTTTTGCTGGTGAAAACCAACTTGAATGCGATTCAGTCGAATACAACATAAAAGCACTGTGGACATAATGTCGTTCTCTTATGGAATCGTTGTGCTTGTATTAGGTATGTATAAATACCAATGTACCAAATCAATCATAAACTTTGAAATTGTTCATAATATTATTTAGGTTTGTGTGAATATGTTAATTATTCAAGCTAAACAAAATGTATTATTTACGACAAGGGTGTATTTATATATATTTATGTACTTTGATTTTTTGAGATAAAGAGATCCAAAGCTTTTAAATTAAATTGTCTATTCTTTCAGGCAGCATTTGCCAGTGTTCAGCAGAGTTGCCTACAGAAGATTTCTTTAACCTGACATTTACAGCATGTCCTCCAATTTGTGTGAATAAATGTTTCAAAGATCCAACCAAACTTACTGATTTTAACGTCAGACTATGTCAGTGCGATCCGGACTGTATTTTATTTGGAGACTGTTGCATAAGCTTCTACACTTTTTGTTTTATTTTCCGACACCCGAGTGACAACATTGAGTTTATCAAGTCGAAAAGAGATAGGGAAAAACAAACCGAAGAGGAAAAGAAAATATCTGATTTTAAGAACAAGGCACAATGTGAAGGTTTCATTTTGTCGGACCATTCTGCAGTTAATCTTTTGGCTATCGCAAATTGCCCAACTGAATACCCCGAGGGTGACATCAAAGATAAGTGTACTGGAAATAAAACAGCTTTCCCCCTTGACATACCAGTATCGATTCCAGCGTTGTCATATTGGTTGTTTAAAAACGTTTACTGTGCTCTCTGTAATAATTTCACTTTAAACGACGTGTTATACTGGAAGACAGAAATACAGTGCTATATTCGTCTTTATGATGACATAATAACCGTAGAACAATTCACAGATTACAAACCAGCTGTCCCTTGTAAGACCATGGTGACTTTACCAGATGATAGCATCAAAGTAAGGGTTTGTAATCCGGACCTTAAACCAAGAAATACAGAAATAGCACAAGATCTACAAAATTCCTCGCGACACGAGAACACAGCAACTATGCCTACATCTCAAAACAGTAATGAATCAATGAGCTATACAAACCAAGGGGAAAATCAAAACTTCACTCAAAACGGCAACATTTCTTTACCAAATCAAGATTCAGAAGAATTGAAGAACACTGTGTCAACACCACTACCCTTCCTGCCATTTGGCTTACCCAATATATCCATTGACGCCCTAACCCAAGCCAACTTGGATGTGCTATGTAACGCATATATGTATGAATATACTTCCCGTGAAAATGGTAGTGTTACGAAGTATTTTAACCCTCATTGTAGAGCATTTGAAGTTGGCTGGCAAAATTTTGATCGCAATGAACGTATACAATGTGAACTTACTGCTGGAGGTGTTTTTAATCGGGTTCCCTTGGGCTCACGTCTGGTGCGTTTCCAGTTCGGAATATTTGGGAAATATATTTATTTCTATTCAATGGAGTCCAAGTCCTTGTTAACAAACTCTTATCCGAAATGCAGCGCTGAAAAATACTTTGAGTTTGTAACAAAGTCGTGTGAATTATTTTCATGTGCGCAGAATTATTCTGCATATTATCTGAACTGTATGCCAACTTTTCTATTAATAAATGACACTACATTCAGACATAATCCGATGCAGTCTACACTTTATGCTAAAACCAATGTTGTGTTAACAACGAGCGATGTAAAAACGTTCCAACAAGCGACTGACTATGTCTTGGACGCTTTTGCTGATTCTGGCTTGAACGTTTATCGACCAGAGAATATCTATCATTCTACTATTTTACCCTTAGATATTCATATAGATTCATTGGAAATTGTGAGATTGGCCACACTTACCTACCCAGAAATGGGAAGTGTAGAATTTGTTCCAGGCCTATTGAAAGCAGATTTAGTAATACCAGTTTTATTCAACGATTTTAACCAAACGATATCTAATCTGAGAGAGGGCTCATTGACGGACAGCACGCTCGTTTCAAATTACCCAGATGACAGAAATCTAGTTTGTTATCATGGTAGTAGGGTGACATACCAAAATCTGGACCTGAATGTGCTGCAAAAGAGAGCATTTGTTGAAATCGATGGTATCTTAGTTGATTTGGTTGAAACAATGTTTACGTTGCGCATTACTCGTCTAAACCCTATTCATGTCGTGACAGTGACAGTTTGTCGATCATTGCTGTTATCCAGTAATACTCAAGGGCAATTCGTTCCAAAGCCGAATGAACAATGTGATAATTTAACATCTCAGCTTAGCCAATTTTCACTTACAAATGGGAGTTTGAAACTTTCAGATAAGATTATCATCCCAAATGGCGATTTTTTCATAAAAGGTGATAAGGTAGATATATGTTCCCGAGCCTTAAAAGGAAATACTCTGTTGGCTGATTATAGATCACTGAGAGCCATATTCAAAAACGTTGCATCAGCGACATCCATGCTATTGAAGATTTTAGCATTTATTATAAGTTTGATATCTCGAGATGATAACCCTGGAACTGTCTACTTCCAATCATTGGGAATGACATGCACATTGATTGACTTCATCCATTTGTTGGACAGCCTCTCATTTCACAACTCTGACGAAGTATTGGCCGTGTTCTTGCATCTGGCATGGTTGTTGGTGGCTTACAGTTTTTGTGCTTGGTGCATAAACATGGTATGTTGCAACTCAAAGCGCACATTGAAATGTTTAAGTCGTCACTTCTTCATATCGTTCGCTGCGCCGGTAATGACTATTCTATTGTGCGCCACGGGAGATATTAATACTCCGCCGTGGAATATCGGTTATGGATCGACCGGCAAAATATTTTCTGCCCAGTTGAAAGTCGTTCTATATAGTTATATTATACCATTTGCTATAGGAATAACATGTGTCTTGATGTGCCATATTTATCGTCTTGCAAGAAGAAAAAGCTATAAAAAGAACAAGTCGTTCTATTCTCGCCACATATTGGTAACTAGCGTACTAACACTTCAGTTTGGCTTTGGTTGCTCAGAAGCGTTATCTGAATTGTCCGTCTATTACTTTCTCTACTTTTCGTCATCTGTATTGGTTGCTTGGTCATTTCTTTTAATTGCGTGTCACGGATTGAGAAAGCCGAAGTCCAGATTATCCAATCCGTCACGTTATCTACAATCAACAAACAATAATCCACATTCCGAACCCATACAATCTAAACCACAAGAATAAATCTCAATATTGGAAGTTGATTTTCGGCTAATCTGTTTCTACACTTTGACTGAAGCTGAATTAATCAGCCATTTTTTTTATTCCTGTACCGTTATCTTGTTTGTGGGCATTGAAAATGTTGTTATAGTGTTCATGTATCATGTACTTTGTTTATGTATGTGAAATTTAAATAAATATTTTTGGAAATATATAATGTTTCCTATGAATATTATGACCGTCCATGGTCAGATCGAAACGAACAGACAGAAAAGGTACCTTTGCTAACCTCAAACTCAAAATAAAACAACTTGTTTTTGTCCTATTTAAGCATTTATAAATGTCTCGAGGAGAAATATAAATTCCCTTGAGGAGTAGTTGGTTTCTGACTTCAGAGGCAATTATCATATAATATTGAGAAGAGAAGTTGTAACAATGCAACAAAAGCGGGGGTACAATATGTATAAGGTTCTAATTCGTGAAATCTGTAGTATATTCAGTTTAGATTGAGTACCCTGTAATCATATCAAGCTGAACTAATTAAACTTTTTGTTAACTATTTATATGGTCAGTCTCATTCAAATTGATACTAGCTGTAACCCATATCAACCATTTAAACATTAACATCGAACGATTTTTTCATTAGCTTTCATTTTGAATATAGACACTCCAGTAAGGATCTAAAGACGGCCTTCTTGAACGTTCGTCAGTTTAGTGACACCCCCAGCCAATCAAATTCTTGCCATCTCCAGTGCTCGGATTACAGCTCAGAATACACCTTTTGTTCTCCACACAAAATTCCAGCGTTTGGGAGGGTAGGAATATTCAACAAGGCCCTCTGAAGTATCTATATTTAAAAGCTAATAAACAAACGAAACGAAAGTTTGGTCTAATTTAAATAAAAATGTTATATATTCTAATCACATTCACACCTCTCTCCTAGATTGTGTCAACGCACTAAATAGTATATTAAACCAATAATTCGTCTGGTGATCGATGTCATTGTTTATATGGTTGATATGGGTTACAGCTTGTATCGATTCAAACATAACACTTCTCAATTACGCAATGTATGTGTTATATTTATTTTACTGAAATGTGATAACAAATTGTAAGTGGTTGCTAGAAATGAAAAGAAAATAATGTATTTGAAGCATACCAATGTCATGTCCACTAATGTACATTTATTTCATTATGCAGTCAGTTATGGTCATCAATTCTATAGGGTCATATTCTCTATTGTTGGCTTCAAATGATCTTGCTTCATTTGTTATTAGAAAATATTGAAAGCGAATACATGAAATCTCTCTTTGAATGGATTCTGTCATTTCGGTTCAATTTCAGAATAAAAATCCGAAGATCAAATCGATTTTATATTCCAAAAATATTGAAACGTTAGATATTACCGATCTGGAAAATTAATAGAAATCCCACGTGTTCTAGCGACTGAATTCGGGAATTATTCCGTTAAATTGAATACACTAATCTGTTTAATATGCCACCAAACCAATTATCTCACCAGCTCTTTAGTTTCCTGCCTTTTTCTGCAAGATACTTTACTTGTCATCTGACGAAATTCAAGAAGCCAGTGAAAAAGTCAAATTTTGACCAATGGCTATCAAATCAGAATTTTTAAAGTGGACAGAAAGTATATACAAAAGGAATAATTTTATTTATTAATGCGAAATGTAAGTCTAGGATGGATTTATTCAGATCTAGATTGACAAGTAGATTAACAGACAGAAAAAACAAGGAACGTCCGAATTTGCATTTTAATTATACTGATTGGCAAAAAATCTCTCGATATGTAAATAATTCACAACAGGATTTGAAAATCGTCTTAAAACTGTTTTTCGTCAAAATTTAGAACTACAGTCATAATTTATGCCAAACCAGTTAAAAACTTTGAAACATGGGTTGACACTATAAGTCAATGTTCCAGCTCAGAATTCCACATATATTTAATTATCGTCTGTCGTGTCTGAAGAGACGTTGCTGTAAATAACACTAAACATCTGAATCTGTGTTTTCGTCGGACTGGAAAATATGAAAAACTAACCATTTCTAACGAATGCTGAAAAAATTACAAACAGGAAATGATCAAACAAACAATCTTGATGTGTGGTTGGGTCAACTGGATTGAAAATTAGTCACTCCACTAAATCTTTGATCAGAATAAAAATCACTTAAAATCACCACATCATATCGAATGTGCTTTGTCTTATCAGGCGTTTAATACAGAATATTTATGTCAAATCTTATCCTAATTCAAACTTCTCTATAGCATACCAGATGAATTAATCCCTTTATTCAATAGCCAATTATCCATTACATACCCAAAATTGAACTCTTGGAAAAAATATAACCCGGAAAAGCAAATATCCATTACGCAATCATTCTGTTGCTTACAAACACTACAAGACATTTATTCATCTCTATTTATGTCGTCTCTATTGGGGTTACTATCTGACGTAGCCACTGTCCATAGCATAAGTAAGGGTATGTGCTAGATTTGAATTTTTTAGGAAGTATGATGTGGTCTTGAAGGCAGCTAGCAGTTTACATTGCTATAGAATTACAATGTATAAGGTAAGTAAACATTAAATAATGTTATAGTGATTAGATTATAATGGCAATGTAGACGAATGTATTAGGAATCGTCAGATCTGTGTTCTGAAAGGACGATAATATATAGTTTAATATATTAATGATATCAAAGTAAAATTTGATTTTTATTTCACTAAAGAAACATTTTAATTTGTTCATGTGCGTATTGGAAATGCGTATTTCTAACAATAATGGTCACAAAAAAGTCAAATGTGCTTCCGATGGGTTTGTTGATGGATTCATTGACTTATATTTGAAAGGGTTACATGGTGAAACTAATTATGCTTGCAGAAAACTTCTGTTTGAGCAGTGTGTTTTTGGTAATTTGTCAGTTGCCGTTGGCATGGAACAAGATGAAATTTGTAAATGATATATTAACATTATGTAGGCCTACTTTGTCGTTGTTGATAAAAGCTGATATATGTTTCAGTTCACCCAAATCGGATCAGTCTGCATATCATTCCGATTTACCGATGGTATTCCAATCATTCAGACTTATTGCAAAAACATACTCCCATAAACTCCAGTTAAATTTTACAAGTCTTATCGAGTAAAGGGAGCTTACTCCACTTTCTGTATGACCACTTTTAAAAGGAGATCAGGAGATTTTCATCAAAGATTGTTTTTTTTCTGATGAATCAATTTGGCTTTCTTCTCTGAGAATTTGGAACAATCGTGTGATATTTCGTCATTTTTCTATGAAGCTATTTTGAAGCATATGTAAAAAGACACAAAGATAAATTTATGTAAATCGTTCAATTTTGCTTTGATCAACTATTACTCATTTGTATATCAATATTCCTTTTATGGAAAACGTATAAGAAGTTGTTTGTTTTAATTAAGGGTTTATTAATTGAATTAAATATGGAGCCCAACCCCGAAAAATAATGGAATAAATTGATTCGGACTGGTATTCAAGGTTTGTTTTATCCTTTAGTCACATAGTGATATTCAAATATATCTGATTAGCGGATAAAACATATCTAGAGTATCTCAAACAGCTAAAGACAGACAATGGTAACATTGATTATTTTCATTAATTAAAGCCTAAAGTGGCTTTAGTTTAAACTTGATGTTAAAATAGATGAGAATTTAACTCTAGATTAATTAGTGCAAATAATATTTTTATTTAAATAAAATTTTCAATAAGCGTTGGCCATCATTTTTTACTTTGCTTTTACCAGTAAGTGTTGACTTCATTGTAGACGAAGTGCAAGCCAGTGTATCTTTCTGAGAACAGTGAGAAGTGGTTTTTGTAGATCATAGCTTTTTGTTGGCAACGTTATTACAATAATACATCTATTGCTTTTTAACTCTCAGATACTTAGCTTTTAATGGCGTCTTCATATCCTATAAACGACACGACCATATCCCAAAGAAGCAAGAATTAATTTCCCGAAATCTTCAAATACCCAAATGTATTGTATTTTCGATATTGTATTGTTTGAAAGACGTGGAGACTTTTATATATTGAGACTTATAGCTTCCATCAATGTCCTGTATCCTTTTTTGTTTTATCATCTAAGTCGGTGTAATCACTTTTCTTACCACCATCATTATCACTATCACTTTTAGAACCATTAGATCCATTGTTTTTTTTGTTAATGAATAAAGTATCTAATTCTTCTAACGTCCTATTTTTAGTTTCCGGTACAAACAATAATGTAAATATGAAACCAAGGATAGACATAGCACCAAATAACCAAAACACGCCTGAAATGAAATATAGTTTAAATGTATGCCGCTGTATAGGATCCAAATCAGACTGTATAAATTCTTAAAATCACATGGTCATTTCTTAGGTAAAAAAATAAAATGACTAATCTTATAAAAAGTTATATTTCTTTGAGGTAGGTTTTTTTTTCATTAGAAACATGAATGATAATGATATGCAAAACATGTCACGTGATTTCCGTAATATTCCAGGTACGAAAAGACGATCCGAAGATAACGATCCAGCTAACACGATCTAGTGGTGAAGTTCCAAAGATTACAATCCGAGTTCTGCGTTCTATAAAGTCTATGGTCTAAACTATGTTCTAGAAAGACTAACATTGAAAAAAGTAAATAAGATAGGAGATATTATACGTAATATTACTTTGATTTGATTAAGATTAATCATTTCTATCTAAGAAATGACCACGTGATCTTAAGAATTTATACAATCTGATTTGGATCCTATGTTGAACCAGATACAGTGTCATATAAAAGAAGATATTACAAGGTATCATGGGACCATAAATAAATAAAACCTTCCATCTAACCGAGCCAAACGAAACTTATATCACAACATTATTATATATATGAACATAGAGCATGGAATTAAATGATATTTATATTAAACCAGCTTACCGTATTTAGTGATAGCCTGTGTTAGTGATAAAAATGTAAATGCTATTAGAAGATTAAAGATCCAATTTGTAGCTGTTGATATAGACATCGCTGTACTTCTCGCCCATAGTGGATATATTTCTGAATTTATTGTCCATGGCATAGGACCAAGTCCTGAAACGAAATCATTCAGAATTAAGCAAAATAGAGATCTCGTGTGAAAAAGGCAATAACGAAGATGACAGAGTAACTCATGCCATATCATCCAAGGCGAGTTTCACCGCCATGTCATTCGACCCGACAAGATCTAACGAATTATCAACTACCAAACCCAGAGCACAGAATCATCCAATTATACCAATCCAATTACCAAATACTACGATTACCATGTTTGCGATATCTACCAACCAAACAACCAGATCACTTACTGTGTCTGTGTTGTGTCTTTAAATATCTATTATCAAAGGGTTAATACTTTACTTGACATGCACTAATATTTCCAATATGTTCTGTATTAGATCAAATATTCCTCATTGTGTTATAGTTGTCCGTCAGATGTAGGACGAATCTGAAACATTTAACCCATTATCACTATTTAAAACTACTCACCTGGCGCAAAAGAAAAGACAAATAAACACATGCCAAATATTAACATCCAGGCATAATCATTAGGACAGTAGTCATGTGCAAAGGTATATACAGCATATACTGATTCAGAACTGTTACACCTTCCCATACTAGATTGGGTTTCTTTCTCTGGATCAACTGGTAAACAAGATCCATCTAAATCTGACGAATAACAATATCCACAGTCGAGATTCCTTGTACAATCATTACATGAACTGAAATACAGTATACATTGATTACTATGGTTCCACAGAACCGAGTGGATGGGGATCTCATTATGTATATTCGTAGACATGTAAGACACACTATAAGAAATACGTTACAGTATCACAAGAGATACCTAATTGTAATCAATTTTGGGAATAAGGGCAGGGGTCTTGGTGGCTGTCAGCTCATAAATATTTTTGGAGAATACACAAATATGCAATATTATAGATCTATTGGACCATTATTACTTACTGATATTCATTTGTATTACAGCTACTTGATATATTCTCATAAATCGCTAAGGGTGGGGAGTAAATAGAAGCCAATTGAAAACCAGTAGCCATAAAAATTAACGATACGAAAATCCCTAAAACGACGAAAATGTTAGAGGTTTTACAATATGAAAATGGATACATTATAGTATTCTATAATATATTTGATGGTAACACAATAATGCCTATGTCTGGGGTTACTTTCAACCCATTGGCTTACCCTTCAGAGTTACAGGGAGATCTGTAGTGTTTATCTGCAACAGTACTTATTAATTTGGTTCCCATTTTAGACCATGAATTTGTTGGTTTTTTTTTATTTATTTCCACTATATGCATTACATTATGACCACATAATACACTATACATAAAACGTTTTAAATACTAATCGTTATTTGCAAGGGTCTGTAAGTAAAGTTATAAAGAAACATAACTAATTTTCTTACCAATAAAACTTAATAATAGAAGAATTTTTCGCCCAGCTTTGTCTACCAAAACAATGCCTATGAAGGTGGCTAGGAAGTTGACGCCATTGGGAGCGGCTACTAACCAAATAGCAGCTTTGACCGGAACACCACCCATCTTTAATATAGATGCACTGTAATAACTGAAATACAACATTTTCATAACTGTAGGTGGCGCATTTTCTTTTAGATTTGTTAACATTAAGTCGATTAACTAATTTCATACATTCCACAAATCCGTTTTTTCCATGGCATCTGATTTGTCTCAAAATTATAACAAATAATTTATACATTCTAATTTGTGAATAGATATTCAAATATTTTGGCTTGTATGTTTTCATTAACATTGTCCCGAAAATACAGCCTTTTATATGTACCGAATCTCACACTGATGGGCAGAAAGATTTTGCTGGGTTATAGTTCAAAATAAATTCTATTAAGATGTATTGAAACTTACAATATAGTAATGATAATTCGATAAAAACTTACTTTATTGTGTTTAACTTTTATGTTTTTTCTAAAAACTTTCAGGATAGTTCTAATTAGCACAAACTTTCAGAATAGGGGTTATTCCAAAAAACTAACGTGAGTAATGTTGAACTTACATGATAGTGTTTATTCCACATACTTGTTGAAATATCTGAAGAGTACAACCAACAAACACAGCTTTACGGACATGAGGTGTCTTCCATATTCTTACCAATGTTGAAAGATCATCTTCAAAAAATTTTTCATATCTTAGCTATTAAATGTGGGCGAAATTGGATAGAATCGATGTGAAAATAAGAAATTATCATGAAATTAATCATGAAGGGGAGGCTACCATTGTGAAAAAAGCGAAAACACAAATAAAAACTTCACCTTCTGAAAACCATGTTCATTGAATCAATTCAAGAGAAGATGATACATATTCATTACAAAGACTTAAATATTGACTAAAGTATGAAAGTTTATTCGAAGGGCGGAATATTAGGTGACTGTTTAGAATAATTCCATGTGTCAGTATCAACAGCTTTACAAGGATTGACATGTCTTTCCTTCTTTTCAAATATTAAAACCGATAAAAGAGTTAATATTCTCTCAGGAAAATCTTTACCTTCTTTAGAAATTTTCTTTTCTGCTTCAATCGATGCTTTAATGTTGTTAATTTCGTTGTCGATCTCATCAGTACCTCTTATTTTCATTAAACAATATCTGGCCGTGGCTTGTAGCTCATGGTCCAGTAACCACCTTGGACTCTCGGGAAGATATAACATACCAAGAAACTGAAATACAGCTGGTACACTTCCCAATCCTAACATATACCTGTTATCAAAGATGTAACTTCATTAATTTAAAGTATGAGACACTATTTTCTACTGTATTATGAAATGATTTTTTTTTCAAAATGCACTAGTAGATTTAATTCATATTGTCAAGAAAACAAACAGTGCGGGGGCTAAGTGGAGTTCAAAAGGTTCGATGCCTCCATAGTGAAGGGCTATGTGTAGGAAAGTTGGATTTAAAAGTTATATAAGAATGTCTTTACACTGGGGGTATCAAAACCTTTATGATTAAACTTTACCTAGCTCCTGGTCTAAAAGTAAGATTTTAACACTATTTGTGTTATTCTGAACAAATCTATGGTGATAGCACCCAGAATACTATGGACTGAGTTTACTTCGCGCCGATGGATCTATTTGAATAACTTGAAATAATACAGATCAATACAATACCAAATCATCTGAGAATGAGTGTGTTTTACTTCGGGACACTTATTATTAATATTTAAATAGGATTTGATTGTTACATCAATAGTCGATCATATTGCAGTTTTCGAGTCGTGCAAGGCAATAGCTCTCAATATCGATATGAATTTTTTGCCAACTCAGCATCCCTTCAGTACACAGGCTGATAATGACTGGTATTCTACATACCTCCATCCATTGGTTTTCATTGAACTGAACCCACCAACAACTAAACTAGAGACCAATATTCCTATAGTTATAAACAGTTGGTTTAATGTGACTAATTGTCCTCTGATGTCAGATGGTGCCGACTCTGCTATATATACAGGTATCGTCGTAGAGCCAAAACCTAAAAAGGGCAGAACTTAAGAAAGCTAAAGACATTCTTGACCATATTTAACTGCACGAATTGTCTGTTTTTGTTGAAATTGGAATTCCTATACAAAAATACAGTTCTAGATATTTTGTTGTTTTTACTTTATGGTTTACTCCACTCATTCTGAGATCTTTAATTATCTCCCTTTTATACGCTTCAGCATAACATTTGCCTTCTGATTGAAATATTTTAAGCAGCCATAATAAAAAAACCCACAGTAGTCCTCAGTAGGTGTTATGTGGCGCCAGGAAAAAGGGATAGATTTTTCTGATAAGATCTGTTTTCGGATCGCAGTGTAAAAGACAAGAAGAAATGTCTAGAGCTGTAATTTAATCAAGTATTTTACTCATATCAATATATTCTATTTAGCAATACTTTATTAACAATATTTAATTTATATAAAGACTATGAATCGGATTGGAGAGCAGAATATTGTTGAGGCGATTCAGTGTTAAATACTTGAACTTACCTATGCCAATACCAACTACGATACGTCCCAGTAATAAGACTGACTGTGTACCAGCTACTCCCATTATCACAGCACCAAGAGCATATAACAAACTACTAATTATAATAACAATCTTTCGTCCTAAACAATCCGATAAAAACCCACCAAGTAATGCCGAGACTGCTGCCGACCCGACAGTACCACTCACGACGGCTTCTGTCCACATAGTACTAAGATGGAAGTTCGGGATGATAAGAAGCATAGATCCTGAGACTATACCCGTATCATATCCTAAGAGAAATCCTCCCAATACTGCGAAAAAAGTAAGAAGATACACATACATCGACTCTGATTCCTTTTTTGGTAAAAGATAAAGTTTGGAACTGTCTTCATCTTTTTTATCCTTCAAAAGCACATTTTGATCCATTGTATTGTATTTGTTCTTTATTTATAGTGGAATACTTTTGATTTGGCTGCTGAATGGTTCATTTAAACTCTACACAATCTCTTTCATATCCCAGTTTTATTGGTTAGTGTGTTAATCTGAAATGCAAAAGTTAAATTGGATATTTTGAGCCAAAATGAAGGTGTTCAACCCAAATTCTTGCCTCATAGATCAATCAGCCAGTGTTTCACTGCTGATACAAACAAGTCACACTTTTAATTTCATATGAATGTCTAATAGGTGTTTGTATCTAAAAAAAAATCAGTACTGACAATTCATTGAAATTATGCGCACTATTAAGAGTCAACAAAAAATCCTCAAAACCTTAAAATGATTACATGCCACATTCTAAAGCAAAAAACGTGTACATGTATTAAGTTAAACAGCATGGTAGCCTATACAGCTGTCAACATCATATTAACCCGGTAAGTATGGATATAGAACATTATCATGGTAATCAAATATGGCATTTACAACACTATCTATATGAATATATTATAATATTCTAGCTATTTATCTAGCTATTTATCGTAAATGTTATTGAATTCTTACTGATGTTGTTCATTTGAATCAACATTTTATGCTGAATGCATTTGAATGTTTCGTCAGACATAAGCTACACAATTCACTAATGACGATGGATGGGAATCATATTATGAAAAAGTCCAACTTTTAGGGTATATTTGATATACATGTGCAGAATCAAATGGCTTCTACTGAAACTTGTTCACTGGTCTCTGTGTGTATCTCCTGTACAACTTCAATTTCTATTTACACAATTCAAATTTCCTGACGTCAATTTTGTCTTATTCCTAAAAACTACCAGATCACAATCTTAAATATTCTTTTTGATTTTGCTTTTTTCGCAATAAATCTTAATCGACAGCGTTTCAAACAAGAATTCAATGTTCCAATCCGAGGGAAATATTGACTAAGAGGAAGCTTACTTTTCCGACATGTGTCTCAGTGAATGTCCTCGAGTTTTTCTAAAAATGATCAATTTCATCAACAAGCGTGTTTCGACTCTTGTGAAATAGTCACGCCTCAATTTTGTTCTAAGGGCTCTGTTTAATTTTGAATAATCTATCGAGAATGATTTCTTACCCAGATTAATTTATCAAAATAGGAAATTTTATTTTCAGTCCTAAGCACTTTCTCGTTATCCACACAGCATAGGTTGGTAAATGACAAGTTAACGTTCGCTTCTAGCGGATGCTGATATCGCAAACTAGGTAGTTGTTTGGACGCTTTGGACAGCATACGCCTGGAGCTGGTTCTATAGCTAGATAGTGATTATGGAGTTAATGTTAATAACAGCACTCAGAATAATGATTCCTATAGACACATTCACCATAAGTTACAAATACTAGTGAATATCGAAGCATCAATTATTGTTACTAAATATAGTTATGTCTATAACTTACAACTAATACCAGCCGGTGAGTGACATTTATGCGTCCTCAAATGGCAGTGTTTACAAAGTCCATTAAAGCATTTAATGTCCTACAGGCAATGTACAGGTACTATTTCTACTATAAGCATGCACAAAAGATTTTACGTCACCTTTAACAGGAAAAGTGTGTATGAATCTGCCACATTCAAAGTTTACAATAACACAGTGACGACAGCTGTTGATACACGTGACTTCAGTTCTAGGTCTATTGTGATATTAATGAATAAATTCCAGTTGAAAATAAAATTATAAAAATTTATGCAAATACCAAAGAGGGTTTTTGTTTCAATTAAAATAGCTATTGTATACTTTCTATAAAATTAAATCCAATAATTGTCGGTCGGTGTTATGGCCGAAATTTCGGGTACCATGTCAAGATACGATACGTATGTGACACACGGGCTACGATACGATATGTATAGCGATACAAGGGGTACAATACGATACTTACCACCATGCAAGGGCTATGAAACGATATGTATCGCGATATGTCTGCATAACCAGCTGTAAATATAACGATCCTTCAGAGAATATTGAATAAAAGTAAACCAAATATCTTTCTGTTTATACTTAGCTGAGGATGAAATCAGACATCATAGCTTTTTAAATTTAATTACATTAGAATAGATAATTTGATACAATTGAGTTCGTTGAAAATCATAAAAAGTCTGCAGTAAAGCGTCATTGGTAACAAAATTATTCGTCTGATAATGGATTGTAATCTGTCCCGTCTAAAAATTCAAAAGATTTGATTGGTTGATTATAAATACTAACTAATAGACATATATTATCCTAAATTGTATTCATATGAATCAAACAACCAAACGTAGGAAAAATGGATAAATATTTGATCAAAAAAGACAAATTGCTTGATGGTTCCGACACTACTACGACTGACACTGGTATCAAAACCACAGCGGGCAACACAACGGATGCAGCACCAAGATGCTCTGAAAAGACAGGAGTACCAGGTGACATTGGAAAAGAAGACGTTCCAAAGCAACCGAGAATAAAATTTCCAGCGAAATCTGGAGGCCATTTTAGTAACAGCTGGTATGATCGATTTCCATGACTGAAGTATTCAGTGTCAAGGGACGCCCCTTTTTGATTTCCATGTCGAGTGTTTCACAATACATCTGCGGGTGCATAAAAATTCATCACTGAAGGCTACACAGATTGGAAGCATGCTGTAGGTGATACAGAAAAGCAGGACTCCAATCTTGTTCTTCAAAAACTATACGAGCAGAAATTGGCTTTCCTTAAATTATATGCACTGGCTGCAAGCGTTGTCACATTCGGTTCTAGTACCGCTGTGTGTGGAAGCAGCTTTTCAACTCTTACTCGCGTTGACTCACCACAACGACGATCTATGACTCAGCTTCGCCAGCGCAATCTTGTTCTTCTTGCCTTCAACAGGAAGCGTACCCAGAAAATTGTACGTATTTGTTCAACGTTTTGCCATTTGACTACGTTTAAACTAAAACGGCAATAAAAATGTAACGTATTATCATTTGTGTGTTTTAACAAAAATAATCTAGAATCTAAAATACTCCATGAAAGTCCGTTTCCCGACGTTTAATCGTCTGTCAAGGTGCTTTGCTAAATTGCCCCCCTCGATTGCACGTTTGCCCCAGGAGTACTGGTCAGGCTACGGGCCTGCAAAGGGCTACCGAATGATACGTTTTGGGTTACAAGGGTTACGATACGATACGTATCGCGATACAAAGGGCGCTACAAAATGATACGTTTTGGGTTACAAGGGCTACAATACGATACCTATCGCGATACAAGGTCTGCGATACGCTAAGTTTTGCGATACAAAATGATACGTTTAGGGCTACAACGATAACAGTACGTTACGTATATTATGCTATAACAGATAAAATAACTTTTTATTTTAAACGATATTTTACTACTGTATAGTTTCAGATTGTCGTTAAACCTACTTTCACTGCCCATTTTCACGTTCACAATGGAACTTCACAATTCGGCAAACAAACCACTAATACTGTTTAAATCGAAGTGAAGGAGTTATTTCTCGAATTCGTTTACTACGGATAGTTGACTATCTGTGAGCAACTAGGACAATAAAGGGAAGAAATTTGAAACAAGTTCACTGAATATTTAATTGAAAAGCAGCTGTCAAGAGTATGGGCGACGAAATCCTAGGCGATGTGATACCAGGATTAATTTTGCCAGCCGAATATATCAGGTATCTATCTATAGCACAGTTTAGAAAGAGGCAAGTTATGTCAGTTAGTTAAACATCTTGTAAATCTACAACCTCTACTCGATTTGATTTGTGTTTCCTTACAGTGCTTCTCCCAGGATGACGTGTTGATTGATTGCAGGACTCGTCATCTTCCTGGTTACTTGCTACCTTGGCACCTGAGTGCATTTTGTTTAATACCACCATCAGCAGAGCCCCAAGCAAACCACAAATAATCGGTGCCATAAACATGCTCACTAGTACCACCGACAATTCCCTCTTGTAATCAATAGCCGAATGAGAAGCTACCGTGTTAGGTTGGACTGTTTGGGCAGTAAGGGCTTTAGGAATAAAGGACTCAAAACAGTCTTCATCAACCAATCCATCTTCATCATCATCCAACCCATTGATAAACTCTTCATCCACAGCTCCGTCACAATCATTATCATGACCATCGTCAGCCTCGCTAGTACTGTTTTCACAGTAATCATATAGTCGAGCCAGGTGCATTTGTACTGTATACCCATAAGATGATTCTATTTCAGAGTGTCCGTAAACAAACAGTGAAAATGTTGAAGACGTAATTGTATTATAAATGTGGTGAAAACCCTCCGACAAACGGATTGATGTGGCCGAGTAATTGTTTCCTGAAATCCATATCCCGCTGAGAGGTTCAAAATCCAGAATGAAAGATTCAATAGCTTCCGTCTTGCACATAATATTGATGTAGTGAGAATAAAGATTTTGTTTTGGGATACTAAATGACTGAAACCGCATCCATTGTTCTACTGGTGTTAAGGTAACCACTGAAGATGGAATGGTATTATCAAAGCGAGCACCTGTAAGAGATAAAAGATATAGCGAATATAGAATGGATTTCGACGTGTATTAACACTTAAAGATATAATCAGTTTTCAAAAAGATCTACTTTATCACTGCCTGATTCTCCCTGATCCGTTTTTAAAAGAAATGGAGATTTACCTGGAAGTAAATAAGCTACAACCATCACTGGAAAGGAAGATGTAACAAGGGTCAAAGCCTTTACCGCTCTTGTGATGAACTGGCCATTTCTTAATGTAACGTTGGTGTTGTTCCCTGTTGAAATGCTCTCAATTGTAACTGTAGTGTCTGCATAACCAGCTGTAAATATAACGATCCTTCAGAGAATATTGAATAACAGTAAACCACCCTTCAGTGTGCAAGGTGATGCAGATCCGATTGTGAATTCTATTTGTTTTCATTGACGGTTTTGACCCTTAACTGCATCATGAGTTAGTGAGGGGACATGTAATGGGTTAGTTTATATTTACCCATTGCTTACCCATTACCATACGACAAAGCACATCGTTTATCCCATTGTAATAGTGGCGGATGTCGAGCGTGAAGCTGGCCATGGTTACTATTTTCAAAACACATGATGGTACTTTTCTTTGGAGGAGTCCACTACTATTCTCCCGATTTTGTCATTCTTTGAACGAGATTTTTGATTGACGAAATTGTCTTGCTTGCACGAATTTTTATTACACTTATGTACAAAATGTTATATATATCATACCTATGATTTTTATAGCTGTTTTCTTGGATTGGAAAGGGAAGCATATGTATGTTTTGCCCCAACTTCCCATTGGCGTGATCATTTGCATTACTGGGTATTCCAGCGTTCCTTCTGTGACAGAGTTATTATGGGAATCAGCGGACGAATGTGGAGGGTTTATGGTGGTGCCAGATATCACAGCTACTTTTTGAGAAGTTACTATATATCCACCTGTAAGATCGTCGCGGCTGTAAATATTTAGGGATTTGTAGCTCATAAGTGAACGATAATATATGAACTGATCGTCATTGTAGGTCTGATTGTCCACTGTTGCAGACGTATTATTTGGTAGGCTGAATATTACAGTTGTGTCATCTTTAAGCGGTGTTATCCCTATAATGTAAAAAAGTAACATATTCATTCATACGTCCTTCGAATTTTCACAGCGGTATTGATTATCCAATACACTGTTTGGCGTTTTTCTTCCCTGGTTCCTTATTTTTTTTATATATTTCTGACTCCCCGAGATAGCACTTGGTGAGACCTACAACTCAAGACTTCTCAGACTGAAGTTAAATTGATCATAACCATTGAATGCTAAAACTAGATTTTTAGCATGAATACTCCCATTCGGAGAGTCAATAGATCAATAATATTTTTTTTCATTAATAGACATACCTACATATGAGTATCCATGTTTCGGTTTCCAGGACGCCACATAGTAGTATTTACCTAATCCATCAAGTCGAAGGAGCTTCATAGTCTGTATGTGTGTCCCTTGTTCCACAATAGCTACTATGGATACTGGGGCAGTGGTATTTACCATAATGACGTTTCTATCGACTGGTGATGATACATTAGAGCAAGTTACAGCTGGGATGGTTAATGTTAATGAACTTAGAATACCAAGACTATTCTAAAATTAATATGTTATCTTTTTTAAGATATGTTTATATCATTTCGAAAATAGTCTTAACAAGTAATTCAGATGCATAATATTGTACAATTTTAGATATAGTAGGCTGATGCTATCTTAGACATGAAGCTTTACGTAAGAACAAGGAAAATGTTGGGTATTGATTGGAAATCACTAGGCTTTTTATTTGAAACGCAAACCTTCAAAGCAAAGTGCATATGAAATGTGCAGTGGTTCAATACCAACAGAACATAAGTGATCAATAGAATGGTCTTGCCATCCTGTGATCCTTACTTACCATGGTTGATTCTGACCAGTTCTGGTTTACCCTTCTTGACGTCTTGATGATGGTCGCCGAAGATGTAGATGATATTTGAAGTTGAATGTTATTATAAGAATTCATACATTGGAAAATATAAATATTTTCACATTTAAGTCCTGCAATAGAATTTAATAAAGGGGCCTTGAAAACAGGTATAAGGTCTAGTCTGACATTATTATAGGCAACTGGTAAAATCTGGTGGATGAAGTCGACTCGCACTTCCTACTATCAGCTGCTCGTAATCTACTTTTGGTGGTCTACCTGAGCTGTCTTGAGATGCTGTGGATAGTTTGTTGATATGAGTCCTCCTTTACGGAAATTAAGTTCAACGGGAATAAGAAAATTGGTATTAAAACCAAATTTAGTACGTCAGATCATTTTAGTGTTTTAACATACCTTTTAAGAAGTAATATATCATTAAAGCACAACATGTCCCAAACCAATGCATTTTTAGGCATAGAAAAGTGGAGACTAACTTTTATCAATAAATTGCTTTAGAGATTGAACTTTCATTAACATTTGAATTACAACAATGTATATTACTAGACTCTGTTTTACAAAAGGATTATAGTGTTCCTTGAGAACTATTAACACAAGTTGAATATCACAATGTGTATACTTAATTGCCACTTTGATGTTAAGTATGCTTGTTTACATATGATTGTTTGTATCCCCATTCTTCAGTTACAACATCAAACAACCAGAATTACCCTATTGTCAATTGATGATCACAGAAATTGCATTTTTTTAAAATACAAATTCAGGATCGAAATACATAAAACCAAACCATGAAGAATAGACCGTTTTTGGCTTGTTGTTGGATGTGCATGATTTAAAATCTATCGAACTAATGTTAAGAATATCGAGTATTTTGCCTTTTTAGATAGCATTTTGTTTTAATAGGGACAAGGTCGCGACAATAGTCGCAAGGGATGTGGTAGGTTATTAAGACTTCGAATATCGTCTATATATAATACAAACAGGCTAGGTCAATTATTGTTTTCAATGCGACCTGGATTTAAGTTGAATTCAACAAATGATTCACTTTAAGGTGTAAAAAACCTGTTTCGAATTACGGGGAAATATTACCGTACAGTGGTCGTATATTGGCAAGTATTATTAACAATTGTGTATTATATATTCGTGCAAATCCACACTGTGCTCTACACACATATTATATTCTTATATAGGTCACATTAATTTCTTCTTGATAAGAAGTATGACTAATGTACTTCAGTAGTATTAGGTCACACAAATATATTATATCGTTAAATAGGTAGGCCTAACGCGAATACTTGGTATTTTTATGAAACGCGTATTGTTGGAAAATGTCGTGGTTTGGATAAAACTGGTAACTGTGTACTTTTTTATTGTTGAAAAAGGAACTCCATTGGGCCTGCAGGTGGTCCATTTGACATAGGCAAACACATTAATACTGTGTATGGGTAAAGTCCAAAAAGTAAGTCACAGATTTAACACAAGAACAATTATTGTCACTATAAAAGAGTGCTTAGTACGTAGAGCTACATAGAAATATTACAACAGAACTCTTGAGTAACAACATGTTTCAGGTTCTGTTTCACTATTTCTATTTTTAAGTTAGACTTACGTTTTTCTGTGATGATGGATATGATGTCTAGATTTGTGATTATGTAACAGTCGATAGATGACAATGACGTCATGTGTGGTTTAGTATGTTAACCGGCTATAAACTACTTTCAAATGAAATGAATGGAGTTTTACGTTCCACTTTTCTGCACCATGTGGGCTAATGAAAAGGGGCAACGCCATGCAGGGTGCAATGAGTTACTTTATAATGACCGGGTAAAGTAACCATCAATAGAATGGCAGTGAAGTTACTTACCTGGCCATTCGATAGTTTCTTCACTGGCGTTCTATCGATAGCTACTTGTACTCTACCCATTCAGTAGACTATCAACTTAATGGGTAAGTTAAAGTAACTATCGATAGAATGACAGTTGAGTAACTATCAACTGAATGGATAGGTTAGAGTAGCTATCGGTAGAATGTCAGTGACGTAACTATCTACTGAATGGGTAAGTTAAAGTAGCTTTCGATAGAATGGCAGTGAAGTAACTATCAATTGACGCGGTAAGTAAAAGTTAGTTATCTATTGTGATAAAAAAAATCGACGCAACGGGTTAAGGACAAGTAACCAAAATAAATTGCATTATAACAACCCTGGATTGGATAGTTGAACAGCAGTAAATTTATCAAATTGCAATAGATTATTTATTGATACAGCCCCAATAAAGTTGCTATCGATTGAATTACTTCGAAGAAAACATTAAAATAATAAGCATCAAAGAATTAAGCATTTATTAGACTGAAATGAATTACCAATCGATTAAGCTTTAATCGATAACTCCAATTATCGATATATCTTTAATCGAAGAAAAAAAGAAATTGTTGATCCTTTGATTTTATTAACCTTTAACGTAACAGTTTATTCGTCCGCCGTCACGTTATTAGATGATTGTTCTGCAGAACCAATTTCTGCTCATTACTGAAGACATATAAATAAGACAAGTCTAAAAATGCTGTAGTCGGTAATGTTGAAGCACATCTTCAGGAAATACACACATGGTTGATTTTTCATTTTTTGTAACTCAATCCTGAAAAACTGAAGTTCTGTTCATCTGTACCAAACAGCAGTTAAAAGGGTCTAGAACACAACGTATACACGTAGCTTAGAAATAATTGCAATACCACAGAAGGCAAAGATCATTGGAGAAGTCTTTGATTACTTTTCAGCAGTTCCATCTTTATCCTTCCACCAAATTCACAAACTTGGAAAAATTAGATATTATTCAACTGATAACCTCAAACTTCTATAACAGGCCCATATAGTATCATTAAAACTTGATAACCTTAATGGAATTCTGTATGACCTAATTATTGCAACGTGCCTAATATACCGCTGCCAGACTTTTAACTGGAACCAGGAAGCATGAAAATATAACTCTAGTTTGCACTGGCTGCCTATTAAACACCGCATCATTTATAAAATCCTCTTACAAACATATAAAACCTTGAATGGTGCAGCTCCAACAGACATTTTTACACTATCTCGCTATCTCAGATCATCTTCTCAAAACCTCCTCAGTGTTCCAGATTATTCCTTAAAATAGTCAACACGTGCATTACCTTACCTGTGGAACTGACTGCCAATTAAACTATCCAAAACTGCGGAGTTCTTGAAGAAAAATCTTAAAACTTATTGTTTTATGATTATTATGGAAAAAGATACTTCTGAAAACTTTGGCAGTGCATTAGGAACCTCGGTATTTGTGCGCTTTAGACATTCGGATGTAATGTAAAATTATTTTATATAATAGTTGACCTCAAAATTACTTTAATTTACTTTTCGTTAGGTAATTGAATGGACCATTTGAAATGGATCATATGAAAGAGTACCTGCAGTCGATCTATGACCAGATATCAGAATTACTGTCGGTACAGTTGAGTAAACAGTCGACTTTCACTAAAACAATATTAATTGGTACCACAGCAGGAGCAATAGCATATTCTATTTTAAAGAAACGGCACAGATTACCGCCGGGACCGTTGGCTTTACCTATTGTAGGGAACCTTCTATGTAAGTTACAATTTAAGAATCTTTACATATAGAAAACACGAGAATTCAGCAAAAACTTACAGTAATTTACCCATCTACCAGTTGTTTATTGACAACTATCGGTAATCACAGAATGTGGAACTTTATTCTTTAGAAAAAGGGACCTTTACATAAAAAAATGAATTATTACTTGTTTGTGGTCGTTTGAATTTTTGAGATTTTAAAACTCCACCTTGCACTTTTCAGTCATATTTTCACAAAAGGAAGGTTGGGCAAAGTCTTTTCTCAGATTATCCAAGAAGTATGGCCCAGTCTTCACAATTTATCAAGGTATACTATTACTTTAATTTTCACGATAACTTAGGTCATATTTCATTATTGATACAACCAGCTATAACAAAATGTTGATTTGTACACAAGAACACGGTAAATACAATTAAAATCCATGTTAGAATATTGGGACTTAGCTGTTTTCGTTCAAAGTGAAGTTAAGAAGCCAGAGAACGATGTTCATTCAATTTGTGTTGCAATAATTCAGCATTTTACGTTTCCGTCCGGTATATCTTACACAATTTTAGATTTTAGGTGGACGTCATTATGTGAAACATTGTTACAAATATAAAAGACATAATTTGAAAATTTTTATGATATTTTATTCAACAAACATAAAATCGCTGTCAGATTCTTACACTTCAATCTGCCAGCTAGTTGGACACTATATTTCGTTCCAATATTTCAGGGCCATTTCCTGTGATAGTATTAAATGATATTAAATCGATCAATGAAGCTCTAATACAACGATCTACTGATTATTCAAATAGATGGATAAGACATTCTTGTAAGTATATGTTTTGATTCGCAAAATAACAAATGATATACTTTATTGGTGCGGCGTATTATGTTAATGTGTGATTTTCTTCTTTTTTCAAATCAGTTACCCTAAACAACGCATTGACGATTTTATTTGGTAGTCATGCTATGGGAGATAGTTTGTATCACAATTTCATTTCCAGTCTAGAAACTTGGCTTGTATATAAATGAAATTGGGAATACTGTTTCCTGAATTCGGGCTCTGTCTTTAATTGTTCATCATTAAGGGCCGTATGCTGCGCTCGGGTAAAGTCAGACTTTGTAAAGTTTCGCCATAGCTCGACTTTGTAACTTATTCATTTTGGTATGCATGGCTTCAACTTAAACTTATCTTTGCTAAGTTTAACTACCTCTGTGTATGTACATAAAACCAACGATAACTCAAAGAATTATAATTTAATTTCTAATATATAAAAGTGATTGATACATAACTAAAATTTTGATCGGACACTTACGGACAGCAAGAATTTGGCATGTTTCTCATGTGCTTTTCCATGGGGTCTTTACTATAAATACGCATCAGGGTCATTACAAATCATAATTTGATTGATTATTCAATATGTCAGATAATATGTCATCGCCTCAGAATACCAAGAAGAAGACATCCCAACTTACTGTAATTGAACAGAAATTCCTTATCGATATAGTGGATGAGTTTAAGGGTGTATTGGAGTCGAAACAAAATGATATTCGGTCCATACAAAGGAAGGAAAGGCGTGGAGAGAAATAGAGTCGAATTTTTGTTCCATGACCACTTGCTTTAAACGAGATCACAAGCAGTTAAAGAAATGCTGGAATAATTTAAAAATGAAGGCAAAAAAATCTGAAGCGATAGAAAAAAAGAGAGAAAGAAAACTGGTGGTGGTATAGTGGAGACAATGGATTCTAGTAACTCAAATCAGAAGACGTGTGCTATGATACCGGCACAAATGCACCCTCTGCAGAATGACTTTGATAACGATATGGATTTCCATCAAGATAGCTCAACCGACGTCAGGTTAGTTAAAGGGATACAATCCTCTGATTATACATAATTTGAACTTCTCAAATCCGCAAATCCAATTTCAATAAAAAAGTAGATATTAATATGTCACTTCGATTTTGACAAGGAAATTTCGAAAGAAGATAAATTACGAGACTGATTCCACGTTTCGAAATAAGTTGCATATGAATGATTCGAACTGTTACGTAGCACCTTACTTTAAACAACTCCTTTTGCATTGGTACTGAATTTTTCATAAATATATGATTATATTTTACGTAGCTAATTTAATTTTCATTTCTATATTCAACACAGGTTCTCCCGTATTTACGCGATCCACATCAGCATCAGCTACTGTTACCAGTGGAACATTGTGTCCAGATACAAATCCAGAATACAGAAATCATCACGGATTCCATGTGTACAGCCAATTGTTCCAATTATCCCCGAAAACTGCGTAATGTCGTAAAAACCTCGTTGTGTTGTTTTTATTTCATTTTCATGTGGAAACGTAATTACCTCAGGCCTATGAATATCTATAGCCCTTGATACCAATTTCACTATTCGGGAGACACTGCATTGATGAACGCCCATTATGTCCCCCACGTTTATTTGTAAAAAGCCACTAGCATACCAACGAAGACATACCAATAACTGTAGTAATGGTGGGATATGTACAGTTTGGTCACATCGATGATTGAAATCATTTAAAAAATATGCAGAACGCCATCCTTTGGAAATCTGAAGCGTTTCGTAAATTCACTGTCGTCTAGATCTTCCATTGGATTTGAGCGGTCTGTCAATCTCCTCTCCGCATGGTAAATATCTATAATATGGTGTAATTGATTGAAATAATCTTCCATTGTCACAATTTAAATCGCAAACGTATATAAAGTACGGCTAAAGTCTGCTACCACCCTCGAGTAAAGCATGACTTACATCAAAGATCGAGCGCAGCATACCTAAAGTCTGACTTAAGCTTGGCTTTGAGTAAAGTACCACTGAAGTTCGACCGCAGCATACGGCCCTAAGTGTTTTAATTTTTTAGTCAAGTTAATAAACTCCAATGGAAAAGGCTTAGTATTCTCAAATCCTGATGAAGAATGGAAAGCAAGAAAGAAGACAACTGCAAAAGCTTTAAGGTTAGAATATGATATTTCCATAATCATGAAAAATCTTAAAGAGCCTCACAAGCTGTCCCCATCTTCAAACGCACTACATGTATCTTGATGAATATTTTCAGCTAATACTTTATCCCTTTAGAGAAAGAGCTTGTGTGCATACAAATGTCTTATTAATTGATGTTTTCGTCATGTACTTTTATAAAATGTTTATCAAGGGGAATAGGTAGCTTTGATCATTTTAGTTTTCAATTTGATCAATTTGACATAAGTTAATTTTAGTTTCCTGGACAGAATACTATGTTTTACTGATTTTATCATATTGCAATAAATGCAACATCATCTTTTAAGCTTGTATCCCGAAGTTTTATTTTTCTCCTTAGAAATTACATTGGAAGTAGTAATTTTGAAACACACATAGGAGAAGCAGTTACTGAAGCAATACAGGTTATGTTACAACAAACCAAACCATTTGATCCGGACCCTTTTATCCTCTTTATAACAATAAATGTTTTAGCTTCGATGTGTTTTGGAACAAGGTAAGAAACAAACTATGTGTTGTCGCTATTAATTTTTACACGATTCTTGGATAATGTGCAACATTTTACGACAACGGCTTCATTATGGACAATGATACACAACCGTATATTTTTCTTAAAATAACAGGAAATTGGTCCAGATCCACATCTACCCTTGAAAACAGACCATATCTACCCAACTGTCCTATGTACTTATAATGTTGAAATAAATCTGATCTCCAAGTCGTATGTTGAATCCTTATATTTTGTTATAATATTGGGTTCAGCAGAGAACGGTCAATTAAGAATTATAGTTACTATCCAGCATCTGCTGATGAACATTTTAATTGTATTCTCCATTCCATCATAAAAATTAGAATCTTATTATGTTATATATATTATCTTATTATATCAGGTATGATTACAATGACGATAACTATAAGCTACTGTTGAAAATCATGGAGGATTTGGGTGAAGTTCTTGGTGAAGGAATTTGTCTAGAAGATTTTATTTCACCTTTGAGATTATATCCTAGCAAACGATTCCACAAATTACAGGATATAAGCAGAAGAGCATTGGATTATGTTACTAGAAATATACAAGAACACCGGTGTCTGTACAATAAAGGTATGCGTTCTTATTGAAATTCAATTTGTTCCAATTATTTTGGGTTATAGCACTATGTTCTTTTCAAATCTCACGCTTAAATCAATGGATTAAAAAATATCCATTTGTATTATTTATGACGGGTTGAGCAATTTAACATGAAAACGTTGGATTTGTAATTGTTGGTGATTAGGGTGATTGAACAGTAACAAGTTACTATTCAATATAAGGCACTGGCACAGGGTTAAAGTTATGTTTACAATAATTGTGATGCTAATATGCAATGAACTAAGTCAAAGAAGATCATAACGGTTATCATATAAATCTTCTTGGACCTAATAAAGAAATTCATTATACTTATAATCTACATTTACGGAAATAACATTATTGGGACAATTTTTTGTTGGTGTAAAACAAGATAGACATCGCCAAAAACAAAGCATTCCTTATTTTTCAATGGTATTTTGGAAAATTAATATGCCGCAACTTTGATCCATTCCATTGTCTTATTTCACTAGTTATGTGATAAAGTATATCTGAACTATATTTGATTTAAGGGTTTTGGTTATTTGGTTGTTTTTTTTTCTTCTACCAGATAGGATAACTGACCTCACATATGGTTTGTTAAAGGCAGAGGAAGACTCTCGTGAAGGTACAGTTGTTTTGAATGAAGAACAGATACGATCAAGTCTGATAGACCTCGTTTTAGGTACGTGTATAGCAAATGTTTTTGGTTTTGTCAATCAAAAGACGAAAAGTATTTTACTCTTTCTGACGTCATTGTATCCTAATTTGTTTTGGATAGTAAAATATTATTTCACGAAGTCACGTGACTTCTCGTGTGCGAAATAATTAGCCTAGCCTATTTCGGTTCCTTTGACTTAATATGTAACCTTTTCCTTGCAGCTGGTAATGATACTTCACGACAGACGCTTTATTGGGCTATATTTTATCTGGCTGCTTATCCGGATATTCAGAATAAAATATATCAAGAAGTCCGGCGAGTCGTAGGTAATATATTCATAAATAAACCCAAGTAGGCTACTAACGATTCGAACCGCAACATCCAAACAGCACATTGGCAAAGCATCCGTAGAAGAGTAAGCATACCTGTCTGGCGCCACGACGGCCATTGCTGCTCAAGATACACAAAGACCACCACAATTCGTAAGGTAGTTCAAGGTAGCTGATAGAAATATTTCAATGTAATTTTATCAGTTCAAGGGAGATAACTGATCACAGAAGTCATAGCATTGTATACTGAATGTTTAATAAAACTTCGTTTAATTTTTCACAAACTAGACGAAGCAAAATCATTTTTAAAGTTAATCGCATAGTCTATTTTTTTTTGATTACCTAATTCAAATTAAATAATAAGTAGCCTAAAATGTTATTCACCAATGTATATACAAGATGTCAGTAATTGGAAATTTCTGTCTGTAGATAAGACTAGAATGCCAAAGATTACTGATAGAGAAAAGCTTCCTTATACATATGCCTTTCTACATGAAGTCATGAGACTTGGAACAGCTATTACTGTTGGAGTTCCACATTTGACTGCAGTTGATACAAAGATAGGTAAGTTTCATTTCGTAATCAATCTTCAGTACAAACCACAAAGACGATATTGTTAATAACCCCAATCTCAGCTGAGTGCATGTAAACAAACGCAACCTTTATTCTGTTCTATCTTTTTCAGGAGAATATGACGTTCCTAAAAACACGACAGTATTCATCAATCATTGGGGGCTTCATCACGATCCAGACCAATGGGAGGATGTTGAAACTTTTAAACCTGAAAGATTTTTAGATCATACTGGTAATATGGCACCAAAACCCGAAAACTGGTTACCTTTTAGTACAGGTAGAAGACTCTGTATAGGCAAAACATTGGCAATGCCTGAATTACATTTAATTATAGCTTCCTTAGTTCAAAGACTAGAAATCAGAGCGGAACCAGGACGCCCTGTCAACTTTGAGGCAAAGGAAGGCCCAATGGAATACGCGTCTCATCCGTACAAAATCATTGTTATAGACAGAAATCCATGATTAGTGAACATTGCTCTCAAAGATTTATATTTTCTCAAGCTCATGTTGTTTTAATTGTGTTAACAAAATAAATGAATGGATTATTATTCATAATTGTTTGTTAATGTTGATATTTTCATTTACAATCACTACAAAATCAAAATACGATAACGACTGAAACCATTATTAAAACGAGAAAATAGAATTCCATTATTATTAAAAAAAGAGTAATTTCCCTTCACAGATATTGTAACTTCCTTGAAAAGCCCTTCTTACGACAAGTACAATCATAATATGTTGACTTGAATGCAAAAGAGAGCGAAGCCAGTCCTTTTCTCAACATATAATTGCGTTTACAATATTTGGATTTTTAGTATTAATTGGTATGTAACGTGTAATGTAGACATTTTAACCACAAAACATTGTAAGGGTGGCAGAATAAACCTGTTGATATATACACGCCTATTAGATACTACCAATGGATACAATAGACGATTATATTACGATCTTAAAAATTCTTTTAAAACGGCTGATACAAAAAATACTCGTAAGCAGATATCACCAATATCAACTGTTTGCCAGATTAAATATTTCTCTCGCCAAAGCTGGGGAAATATTAAACCCAGCAATTGTTTCGTACATTCATATGACATTAGCAATCGTTATAGACCCGCTATATCCTTAATCTTATTCAATGTCAAACATTTGAATGGGATGAGGGAAGACTTCCTACTTGCACAATATTAGGTATTTATGAGGGATTACAGTCAGTATCCTTGTGATCAAGTGGGATTTAGTAAAGTTGTAATTCAGATTGCAAATTTTAGGGACTAAGTCTACTCTGAGATGTTGGTAACTAGCCGCAGAAATTTCTGAAATAAACACGGTTAGACCACTTTCTGTAAAGCCATTGAACACATTTTCTCATTGTGTCAGTGGTTGAAACCTTCGCCAAAAGTTTACAGAGTACGGTATCATCGATAATAATAATTAACTATATAATTTGCATGAGGCCAGAATTACGTCCATTTCAATATCATTTAACCCTTGAAGACAAACATAAATACAACATGTGATATCAGGACATATAACATAGAAAACAGCTTATTACTATCAAAATATCGACTAGTCTATTTGCACACTATCTGTACACGGCTCTCGATTGTTATTCTCTTTTGATGTGCGTAGAAAACGCATGACGACATTGACTCATTATATCAAGATAATCTTTGCATCTCATATGATCTAAATGAATAAGTTGTATCCCAACATTTTCGAAACGAAAAAACCCAATACAGGCTGGTAGTTCAGAACCAGCAAACAAAGAGAACACAAACTTCGTACGATATGGATCCAAAATGTGTATATAATGAACATTTGGCTAATCGGTAGTCAAAATAAAATATTAAATAAATAATAATGTGTCAGAATAATCCTTTAAAGATAAGGACTATTTCAGGTCGCAATATAACTATCACTTGACAACTGAAATAAATGTGAAATGCCGGAAGTAAAGATACTTGTCTGATCAGGATCTTGAATAAAATGTAAATAGTCTCTAAAAGTAATAGAAATGTACAAATATCGCAAAATTGCTTCTATTTCTTACTATATCTATAGATGTCGTTTCTATATTACATGGCAGTCTCAACAAATGGCAGTCGTCATTTAAACATTTAAACTTATTACTGAACATAATAAGTCACTTGAAACAGTTGTAAATATTGATGTATTTAGGAGTTTGCCTTTACTCATTAAATCGTCTTTGAGTGTTTTGCATTGTTTATACACACCAATAACGTCGTTTCTTCCGTCCCCATGTTACGGTACTTGACGATCACGTTGTTTTTATGTGCAATGATCTTTGAATTCGTTAAGAGGTATTTTATAAGAGTACGCGCAATTCGAAACTGAAGTGGCTTATTCTAGACACATAGATTTGAAGGCTAAAATTTCGACGGCGTTGAGAGGTGATAAACATTACCGATAACCTTAGCTGAAAAGAAATCCCGTTTCTCTGACTTAAGTACAATTGGTCAAACGGATGGCGAACCTATCCCTTTAACCGGTTTGGAATATGTAATAATTCGAGGAAAATATATATAAAAGCTTGAACATGTAATTCAACTACTTGTAAGAACAACAACAACTAGTCAGTACAGGGAAGAAAATTAGACACAGCACCCTTTTATTGTCAAGAGATCATGTTTTAAAGCGAGGATGTGTTAAATAAAACACATCAATTTTTGGCTAATTTGCAATCGATGTCGACGAAAGGGTTCTCCAATACTGTATCTGTTTAATATCCGAAATGGTTACTGACCGATGATTTATCTTGAGCACAGAACAAAACATAAAAATGCAATACGTGATTATGATATTATGGCATTATGAATATCTGTGTATCAAGTAACGAACGTATTCGTCTAGGTGCCAAAACTGTTTTGACAGTATACCAATATATCGAAACCACAGTTACTACAGGGCTTTACTGTTCCCTTCTAGTAGATATCATTGCCAATATATAACTATTCAATAGAGTTAAAAAGAGGAAGTTCAAAACAGGGAAATTTCATAACGAAATTTCCTGTCATATGATGGTGAGTAATCTTGAGAAAGCTTTATAAACATTACGAGGTGTAGATTTTATCGTCAGTTCTTTTAGCCTGCGAACATGCTGTTTCTTGTTTACCTTGTTTTACTAACAACAGTTGCTTTCGGACTTGTGCTTAAAGGTGAAAGTCCTGTCTCACTGAGTCCATCCGACTACAGAAAATGTATGGATAACAATGAAATAAAACTAAACACATTTGAAGTTCTACCAATTTATGGATGGGATAATTTGCGAAATAAATATGCAGGAATGGTTATCGCATCAAACTATTCTCAATGTAAAATGACAATTGATGGAAAATATCTGATTCCAGATGATGTGTATTTGATTCCACAAAGAGTCAGCAGAATTCACCAGTACGCCGAACTAATAACTCATTGGCACAACTACTCAAGTGTTACTTCAAAGTCAATTAATGCTGATGCTGGCATTCAGTTAAAAAGTTTTGGAATAAGTGGGAAATATTCCAATGATTACTTAAATTCCAAATCGAAGCAGGTTATGGATAAATCGGTTATGACTAGAGTACAGCTTAGATACACGGGGTATGTAGCTAAACTTCAACCAAACGCCAAACTTCATCCTCAGTTTAAACAAGTACTGCATTCTGTCGGCTCCAATATACAATTGAATCGTACAAATGAAGCTCGGTATTTGAGTGAAATGGTCGTTAGAGATTTTGGAACCCATTTCGTCAACACCATAACGGCTGGAGCAGCCTTGACCCAGGAAGACTTTGTTAGTCGAGAGCTGGTTTTAAAAAATGAGGAAAACAAACGTTCAATCCTGGCATCTGCTTCTGCTAATTTTTTTGGGGTGGTTCACGCTAGTGCCAGTACTAAGTCATCTACAGACAAGAAAATGCAAGATTCCTATGACAAAAGTAAAACCAGTTCATACATTACTGCTTATGGTGGATCAATGTACACGTTCCAAAACTACTCTGTGAACAAATGGGCTGAAAAATTAAATGACAATTTAGTTGCAATGGATAGAGCTGGAGATCCATTATTCTTTCTAATCACACCAGAGACGCTTCCAGAACTACCCGTAAGCATCACCCTGCAAATTAGAGAATATGTATTTGAAGCTATTCGTAGATACTATGAGTATAACGTACATCGTGGTTGCATGGATATTAACTCTCCAAGCTTTTCATTCCATGCCAATGTGGACGATGGAAGCTGTAAACCGCCTGTGTCTAATTTAACCTTTGGTGGCGTATTCCAGACATGTACTATGACTCGATCAGAAGCAGGAAATCTTTGTGGAAATCTTAACCAGCCTAATCCTAAAACAGGTAAATATTCTTGTCCAACTCATTATCAAGCCGTACAATTATACACAGAGCATTATGAGAAAAGTGTCCCCTACAGATCCTGTCATCATTGTGGATGGTGGAGTCGATGTTGTCAATCTGGAACTAAATATTCCTTTGCCACCCTTAAAGTCTACTGGTGTGTTGCAACAAAACCCGTACCACGCAACTCCGGTTATTTGTTTGGTGGACTCTTCACATCTCACGTCGATAATCCAGTCACAATGGATAAATCTTGCCCTGCTGAATACTCTACTAGGATGGTAGGAAGTGATTTGAAAGTTTGTATAAGCGACGATTATGAATTAGGAACACCAGGCGCACTACCATTTGGTGGATTTTTTAGTTGTAAAAGTGGAAACCCGCTAGCTGACAGAAACCGAAACGAAAACCTAAACAACGAAGAGAAAATGAGCCCGCTTATGACACTTCGGGAGTATTACAGAAAGAATGAAGAATACAGTGGACCTAAAGCTTGCCCTAAAGGTTACAGTCAGCACTTAGCTATCATCAGCCAAGAATGTTCCATCTATTATTGCATTATCTCAGGAGCACTCAATTCACAAGGTCTTCTGCCTGTTAGAAGACCACCATTTACTGATCAAACGAAGTATGTTCCCCAAATTGAAGAGTTCTTCGTCTATAAAATGAATTCGAGTTCATGGGAAATTGAGAATGAAGCCGAGTATTTGATACAATCAGCTCAAACCAGTCCGGATGGAGAAATATTAAGACCAAAGCCTTCTCAGTTGAGTACGGGTTCTGTAGTCGCCATCTCGGTGTGCATCACATTAGTCTGTGTTGGCGTTGTTTACCTCGCATCAGTAATCTTCCGTAGAAGAAAGGCGAACAGAAACAATCGCCCTAAACGCAATATAAGCCAAGAGGAACCAATAGTGACTGGCAATCAATATGGATCTACTACTGATGAATCAACAATAATTACTTAAAGTATAGTTCTGTTTTATTTTTAAAAGGTTACATTGACAATATTGTGAATACCCCAAAGCTAAACAAAGGAAAATAAAACAAATATTAAATTGAAGACTGATTACCATGATGTGCTTTGAAATGTCCTGTAACATTATGTCTTTCAGGTTAAGTGCCTTAAAATTCATAGACGATATTGGAGCATATCTTGAATTAACTATGATAACTATCTTAACATAATGTTTAATGTCTGAAAAAAAATTCGTCATTTGCCTAAACCGACCCATATAGGAGCATGAGATTAAGGTTGTTGTCATTAACCTTCTCATACAATTTGAGTTAAAATATCTCAGCCATCTACCAATACCTTGTTTTCAAAATAAATTCATTAACGAAAAAAAAAATATTTATTCACATTTACAGTTGCTTGCGCTTCCCTTCCATCAGAATATATTTGTTTAGTTATATGTTTATTTGTAAATATTTGTGTGAAATATAAAGATTGTTTAGGTAGTTTTTCATGTTTTCATATGACGTAAATGCTCCTAACCATTCTAGTAAACCGTTTCATTTTCGGATATTCTATTCATTTTACTATACGTCCTATACATTGTTGCTCAAAAGATGCGAGAGGTGCACATGATGCCAAATCTTAGTCAAACTCTCCGATTGTGACCACTACCCATCCACCACCCATGACAATTCCACTTCCAGTCAGTGGCGTTTCTATGGAATGGCCACGCCCCCTCCTCCAAGAAAAGAGCCTGGCCGCTCCCCCACTTTCAATTTTTTTGTATCATTTTGCATAATGAAAAATGTGAAAAATATTGTGGCCCCCGCTCGGTCCCCTCACCTAATGTTTCATAGAACGCAACTGCTTCTAGCATATTTTATTTTATTTTTTTCTTTTTTTAATATTAATATTTTTTTATTCCCATTTCTATCTCCCTATATGAAAGGTTGGTCGTCAATCTGTCCAAGATATTGTTGATTTACACAAAATTGCATAAACTGCTGACATAAACTGCCACCCTTTATTGTTTACAAGCCACATTTAACATAATTTCGGCGTATCAATGGTTGAAGTTCGTCCGATACCCTTTGTGGAATCGTACCCAAATTTTTATTTAAAAAAAACTTATATAAACTGATGCCTATATCGCGTTCACATGACAATTATAGACGGACGGAACGAAGGGCGGACAGAAATATACCCTACATTAGAATGTTAGGCATATATAAATGAGGTAATCTCATACAACTCTCTCACTCGGGAAAGCCACATGTGTTTAGGAAAAGACTTGAATGGATTACTACTTTATCAATCGAATAAAATAGGTTTTTGGATTTTGTTGTGGTTTTTATTGCAGGAGTATATGTATGTCTTTTAATTCAAAGAAATAAAAACCCTGTGTGGCTGAGCTTCAAATTTTGTATACATAGTATAGTTTCTTAAAACATAGCAATATCAAAAATCTTAGTGAAGAGATCAGAAAATTGCTTATTGCTAATAAGCAGTCCACAGGATATAACAGTTATAAAAACTAAATAGACATATAATTCATAATATCACCCATTTACATTGTAAGAGGGAAGTAAGTAGATAATTCGTGTTTTCCAATACCCACGATTAAATTATTTCGTAATATGTCTTTGACAATAATTTATCACTCCATTTCCGTTTATTGACGTCTTACTGTTGACAACGTAGATATTATTCACAGAGAACCACATTTTACGTATTATGGGTCTTAGCTATTATGTTGTTTAGGAGAATTTCCAGTTGAGACTATCGAGCTTTATCTGAAAACCTAAGTTATGTCGAATACAACGTTGGTGACTCATGGGTTTTTCCAATACTAGTTTGAAAGTATCACGGTCTTGGTTACTAAAATACATCCCTGTACCTATTTGGTTTTGGTGTATAGAGTTACTGACTACTGTAGTTTGCATAGGCTTAGTGATTGTGCATTTGAATTAAAATTAAACAATTCCCTCCCAGTAATGGCACTTGATGACAATATTTTTTACAATAAATTGCCCATAAAACGACCCTTCGATGTAATGATTTTTTATTCAGGATAGTCATAATCACAATTCACAAAGACAATCTAACTTCAACATTACCTTTATGATTGTACACTGGTCCGCATCATCTAAGAAAAACGAGACAGTGGATCAACCTCCGATTTTGACACATAGGGAACTGTTCAGAAAGAATCACAGAAAAGAGTACGCTTTGATAACTAGTTACATGTAGGTATATTGCAGTTAAAGATGGGTTTCCTTATATTTTAGTGTCAAATTAAGAAAACTATTTGATTAATTGGTGTTTCTAATGAATTGTCATGTATTCTTAATCATATCATTATGTTCTTATTGCATATAATTAAGAGCTTTAACCAATCATAAATTTCCATGTATGTACAGTCTGGATAAACAAAAAATAAAGACTTTTTGACCTTTCTTGATCGGTCACTCATTGAAATTCTGCTGGTAATTCTCTTCTAATTTAGCTAATTATGAATTAATTATGGACATGTGAGACAAACTGATATTTTTCCAAATCATTAGAATACCTGTACTTTCTAAGTATAAGCATTTTCATTTTCATAAATGAAAATAAGAGAAACCATCTTTAACAGGCTTCAAATTTCTCATGTTTAACCCTACCTAATACTAGTCAAAGGGAGACGACAAATACAAACTGGTCATTCGAAATACAGTTAATGTAATATATACCAAATATCATTAGATTCGATATGAGGGTTTTCCAACAGACATCATACTGAGTAGACAAACCAAATTCAACCTTGATGGATGTTCAATATATCACAAATAAACATATCTTATCTAAAATAATCACTTGCAGGATGCCTGGTGCCATTGTCATTCATGTGACAGGAAGGTTTTTTTTTAAATCGGAAAAATACCAGCATTTACTATTAATCGATGTTTAATTTTAAAAAGTATTTCCCGAAAATGAATGAATCACGGAATATGCAATAAATCGTAGTCCGCATAAACACGTTGTGTAATATCGTATATTGGTTGTCCATAAGTAATCACTTCATTCAGTAGATCCATTACTCTCTCATAGTCATGTTTACACATTACATCAATTAACTGTTTCTTGGCGGGAAGCAGATGAACAGCCAACAGCGCCATCTTTTGTACAGGCCATGGATGATGATGAGCTAAAGTGTTCTTGTAAACTTCGGCAGCCACCTTGGATGTCTTATCATTTTCTGGACCTTCGCGTATCCGTTTCATGAAGGCCATTATAAATTCAAATGCGTGGTGCAGACGTAATAATGTTCTAGATCCAGATGGAAATTCACCTTTAACCTTTGCAGTACCTTGGTCAGTTTCATATCGTAAAATAGATTGAACAGAATCATAATGATTGTCTTTATCAATGTTTCTGTGTTTTTCTATTATCGTCATTTTACCCTCCAAATCACGAGCCACAAAACCAAACAATCGTCCAGTTAACTTGAAAAACCTGCAAGTAATAAATGAAGATCCTTTGAATAATTTAATTGGGAGTTAACAAAATAGAATCCATAAACGATGGATAAACAAAAAAGTTAATTAAAACTGATCAAATGATTAGCATTAAGCCTTGTGGGGTAAGTTTTCGGGGAATTAACTTGTATAATTTTTATTATTTATATCTAATTCCACTATTGCATGATATTTATCAGCATTATGTTATTATCGGTATTATTCTGGTTTATATAATTATAGATTAAAATAACAATTATCAGATATGATATCTTGTGGATTACATTCAGAAAGTCATATATACAATATAGTGGTCAACAGGTTCTTCAACTGATTAGATATGAAATGAAGTTTTACGTCCTAATTATCTGCACCTATTTTGGCTAATGCGGACGGACAACGCCATGTAGTGAGCAAAAAGGGAAGTCCTGTCAGGCATTAGATTACTCTTTTCTATTCCCAACTGTGGATGGATCTTTAACAGTCTGTGGCACACGGGGCCTTGTACCAACAAATCAATCAAAGATGCAAATTAATGAAGTAGGATATCCGTTGGGGTTTACAATCCGGGATTATTCGCACTATTACTCGTTGTTAGAGCTCTTAAATATTTCAAATTTCCAACGAATGGGAAGCAAAATAGGCCACAATATTCCCCAATGCCCAAATCATGCTGTTATGTAAGCCAAGGTGCAAGCCAGTAACACGTTACACTCCAGTTGACCCCAAGTTTCATAAGTGGCTTATATTTGTCAACTTTCAATAAGGTTTTTATTCAGGTATATATTAATGTTTAACCTACTTTCCGCCTCATAATAAGGTATTTATATAATCTTCACGTTGACTTGACTCACTAAATACATTTTCAATCACACGTTCTCGTTATCAATACTGCTTGGACATGACTGACTTGAAATCGTTCAGTATTTATCGTGTACCTTTTTTGACTAAGACTTAACGTAAGGAAAATTGAAAGCTAGCTTGCACATAGCGTTGCATATGAAAATGAAATGAAACCGTAGTAAAATGCATGGAAATAGTCTTTCTTTTCAGACTCTTTACTACCTTGGTGCCCATTTCAATCTTGCTCGGGATGGGACCATAAAAGTCATACGACTCAAAATTTATAAACGCAATAGAGGCAGACTAGATATATCGTTATTAATTTGATATATATCCATACCAAGTACAATACATTAATGATCTCATGAAGCATGGAGGAATCAAAACAAGCAGTCGACTAATAACGATATATCGACGATAAATTTTTACAATTTAAATGCCTGTTAAGTTTATGTTGAGGTTTTTAAAAACATTCAATAATATTCATATATAATATTTTATGGCACATAAAAATAGTTATAAATCATGTGTCATTAATTTTAACCAGTAAAAAATATCTGACTAATACGTACAACAAATCAACGTGAGGAAGTTTCCATTGTGTTCCCCGAAATCAAAACATTGAACTCCATGTTGAACCCACATTCTCATTTCTCAGTAACAGTGGATATTTAAAATAACTCCCACCAAAAATTTCCGTAACTTGCTAGTTTATTTACCAGGTAAAAACAATAGGCATGGTGCTTACAGCTTAATAAATAGGATATAATAATAGGTCTTAATACAAGTCATTATTTCGATTTGAATTATGCGATTATATTGTGTGTTAGATTTTCACCTAACATTTTGAATCTGCGTCATGAGGAAAAGTCAAGATGATTTCTATGATGGTATTTATGTGAACATTTAAAAACTAGCAGTTAACTTACCTGCAAAGTTCTCGGTAAGCTCTGAGATATTCTGACATTAAAATCGTATCGTCATTTATTCGGCATTTCTTAAGAGCATCCAGTACAACTTCTAAATCAAAATCATGTTTGGCTTTACTATTGAACTCCTCCATTATCAACTATAATTATGTGATCGTATGTTGTCGACACTGGTGTGTGTCGTCTGCTAACTTTTGAAAACTCCTACTACCCGGATGAAAACAGTGACAATGAAAACAGTGACAATGCAAACTTTGAAATGAATTGACATAAGACATAATAATCCTCAGGGCGGTGTGGGCCTTCTTACATAAAATAAGTCAAACTGGCTTTTCCGTGAACCGTAACGGCGAATTTGTTATTCGATTATGTTTGACCTACCATCAGTTTTAAAAGTGACAAAAACTCTTAATGGAATCCTTGCCCCTCGTGAAGAAAGAACAGAACTAAATAATAGCAAATTTGACAAAAAGTTGTATGGAACAGTGTTGAAAGTCATTTTCCTTGGGTCGGTTTATGAAAATATCTTAAGTAGGTCTAACTAAGCTGACAGAAAATGATAACCACTGTACTTCTATTTGAAAGCATTTCTGAAATGTTTCATATCGACCTGAACATGGTTCAGCTAATAATGAGACACACTTTTAGCCGATTAATTGGACTGATATTTCTATATTTGTGTAGCAAAAAGGACTAATTGATCAAGATTTTATGACTAACTTCACAGCGATCCTTTCAATGAATCAACATCATTAACGTCATAGCAAAATTAGTAAAGCTTAATTACAGAGGAAGCTTGTTGAAATATTTGGTTGCAAAGCCGGACCAGCCTGCATATCGTTGATGTCATTTCCAGAACATTGTTAACAAGGCAAAAATGATGTCATGAGGACACATCAGTAAGTTTTTATCAGCATGAGAGAACATTTATTTCAAGCCCTCTCTTTTACTTTTTTATATAATGATTTTACTTTTATCTCACGAATAGATTTGACGATAAACACTTGACCCTTTGTCCTTCATGTATCCAGTATCATATCCGATAATCTCAAAATGTCAATCAAATACTCACAGGAAAGAATCGCAACAAGGATAAATTACCTTAACCAGGTTCCGGTCTTCTAGATTTCGGGGAAGGGAGGGTTTGATTCTCCCAAATGTACAGGCCTAGGGTGGAGCAGACACTTTATTTAGAAATTAGGATAAAGGGTCTTGATATTGGGTTTTCTTCTGTCCTGATTCTGATCTTAAATTAGAAAAAATAACTCGCCCGGTGGGTGAGAAGTATAGTATCTGTTATGTACTGATTGTTTTAAGTTTACTATGAACAATATTATCATTTAAGTTCTTATTTTTTGAATATGCAACTATCATTTTCTGCTTATAGACATGGGGGAATTTCGCTTGAAGGCTTTTATAGTGGGCATGAACTATCTTGCTTGCTCGATTGCTGGTTGTATTAAACGGGACAGCAAAGGGTGCTATGCCTACATTATGATGAATATTTAGTCCTATAGGTCTTGCTGTATTCAATGTCTCAATCCAATGGGCTTCCCTAGATTGACGGAATTTGGTAGTTTCATCTTCGGGCAAGTCAATTTCTATGATTAGGGTGAGATCGTCTGTTGAATGGTCGTCGAGGTTGAAATGATTAGAAACAGGCTTGTCTTTCTTTAATTTGATGTCTGACCTATGAGCATTAAAGTGAGTTCCTAACTCTTCTTAGTTTCTCCTACATATTGTTTGGGGCATTTCTTGCATGAAATTAAATATATTACATTCGAATGTTCACATGTTAGATGTTCCTGGATCGGGTACCTTTTATTCGTAGAGTTGCTTACAAAATAATGAGTTTCTGACATAAGGGGACATGTTTTGCATCTACTGGACAAACATGGAGCACTTCTTAAACCTGGAGGTAGTTCAGCATAAAGTCTATTTTTAGCTGCTATCTGTGCTAAGGTGGTATTTTTTATGTTTCGTAAAAATCGTTTAGAGTACCCACGCTCTTTCAGTTTTGAGAAAACAACCGTACAGGCTTAGTTGAAATCAGAAGATCTTGTACAAATTCGATGAAATCGTAAAACTTGTGACTTAATTATACCAGAAAAGGTATGTTTTGGGTGAAAGGAGCTCTTGTGCAAGAGTTGATGAGTATCAGTTTCTTTGAAATACACTTTAATATCCAGTTTATTTGTTTCTGCTATGGAATCTCCCTTAAAGACTGTGGTATCGAGAAAGTGTATGCTTTTGTCACTCACGTTTGCGGTTAGTTTGATAGAAGGATGGTGGTTGTTGAGAATTTCAAAGAATTCCCAAAACTGTTCGATAGAATAAGTCCAAACCATAAAAACGTCATCCAAAAAGCGTCCGTAAAAAAGTGGGTCAAATGGACAGAGGGGCAACACCTCACGTTCCCACTCTGCCATGAAAAGGTTTGCGTACGAAGGGGCGAATCGTTTGCCCATTGCTGTCCCTGAAGTTTGTAAATATGTTTTACCATTAAATGTGAAATCGTTTCGACTAAGACAAATCTCTAAAAGCTGTAGAATTGCATCGTCGGGTCTGTTTGGATCTGGGTTTCTAGTAAGCTTTACGAACTGCCGTTAGACCAGTAGTGTTATCGATATTGGTATACATAGAAGAAACGTCGATAGAAATTAAAATAGCATTAGAGGGAACTCGAAGATTTTTTATTTTATTGACAAAATCGGTTGTGTCTTTAAGGTAGGCGCGATGTTGACATGCTAGAGGTAGTAAGAAATGATCAATGTATTCTGACACTGCATATGACTCACTACCACAGTCAGATATAATCGGGCGGCCTTTAGGGATTTTATTCGAGATAAACCACTCCTTGGTTGGATTCTTATGGATTTTAGGCAAAGTGTACAAATGTCTCTCGCGACAATCAGGTTTGGCAGACAGATAGTCATATTGTTTCTGTTTGAGATAACTAGTTATGACTAAATCGACAAGAATATTGTTAATCATGTTAGCAGTTTCTTTGAAAATTGGTTTCGGTAAAATGGCATAATGTTTAGGATTATTCAGTTGATTCTCTGCTTCTGAAACGTAATCCTCCCTATTCAGAATGGTCGATGGTTACCTGTTGATTGGTAGGCTGTGTTGTAGATAGGTCGGCGATGGGGTGGGATATAGTTGGATGGGTTGGTTGGTGGTCGGCGATTGGTAGGTGGTAGAGGTCGATGGAAGACAGGGCCGTTGTAGGGTACGTGATATTGGTTTGGTTGACGATTAGTGTTTCTATGTCTGGCTTCTTGCCAGTGGCTGTTGTAGTTGGGGAGCATAATGAATATAACTTGAGGTTAGAAAGGGAATGTACAGCGGATGTAACAGGAGGAAACTGTATATGCCAGCATGAAAATGTGGGGACCAAATTATGCAAATAAGTCAAACTGGGGATATATAAAGTAAGATGAAAGTTATGATGAAAAATGCAAAAATATATATTTAGGTGATAAATAACGGTAACAATGATGTGAAAAATTATAACAAGTAAAACAAAAACTTACGCAATTGACACAAACCGGCCAAATCTTCCCTGTCACACGTCGACTATACCCAAGACCACGTTTATTTGGCGTAACCAAAAGGTAGTCAGCCGTAATCACACGCAGTCAACCCTAGCACTGAAACTAGGCAGTAGAAATTTCACCTAACAGATACTACAATGGTTGACTAAAGCAAAATTCAGATCATCAGAGATAATTAACTGTTCAACCCTAAAGAATACAGTTCGTACTTCTACTTCATTTTCCAGCTATATTTCATTTTCGTTGTTCAATTTTATTGGGATAACGAGTTATCAGTAATTTGTACAGTGACGTTTTGGTCATTTATAGCTGGTATTCTTAGTAATATTAAAACATCTTTAGATCTGAATGGAAACACGGACAGTATTATACACATTCACAAACAAATTATAGTTATCTCCCCTCTATCGTTGAAGTCTTCAAAGACATTTGCATTCATACTTCAAAAACAAAACTCACCAAGCCTTAAGATTGTCTCCTTTGGTTAGAACACTTATCACCACCTCTTTGGACCTACTAAAAAAATAACCACTGGGCTGGCGTCAAGTACACATATTGGCACCATATCCATAGCTCAAAGAATGATGCAAAAATAATATTGTTCAACTGCCAAAACAGTATTACATTATTTTATTGAAATGATAACATAATTCCGTCGTTCCTGTTAGTCAATCTGTTCACCAGGGGATAACTAGATGAGTGGGAGCCTCGTGGAATTAAGTGAGTTCGGGCTGTTAATGGACGTTTGAAAGATTTTTAGTATGTAGTTACTGCTAATCCACTCAGTTATGGATGGTTGCTTAGTTTGATTATAATTACAGCCAGCGTCATGAAAAATCCTTTTATGATGGCGAATATCAAATCTCAAATTGATCTGTCGACACCGGTACTATGTTGCCCTAGTAGTAAAGTTATTTTCATGTATTAGGGCCCTCATAAGCAGTCATAGCAAACACAGATACTTTTTCATAAGAACATTATATTGTCCTTGGTAGAACCCCAGCATAAGTTGTGAACCATTTGATATTGCGTGTTACAATTGTTAGACACTTACTATGGTAGATTTGTTTTTAAAATTTTGTATTTTTTTTAACCAGTCACGGTAGTTGAGCCAATGTCGTCCACATTTCTTGTAGACATGATAGAGGTTGCAGTTTTTAGCTTATCTTGATGAAAATTAGTATTAGTATGCATTCAAGTACGATACATAGTTTTTTTTTTTTGTCTTTGACACCCTTGAATTGAAGCCGCGATATAAAGTACAATATCTTGATGAAACTTGGTATGCATGCATCTGCTGAGATGAGAAGTAAAAATGATTGGAGTGAGTTTACCTTTAAAACGATCTGTGAACACGTTTATATCTGATGCAGAAAGGTCAACTCTTTTCCCCTTGAATTTGTAAGTCGATTTCCTCAGTTTGAAACTGCCTAATTCGTGGAACATTTTCAGCATTTCACGGGCTGGCAAAATCCATTACAAGTAAAAGTAATTGTTCCGAGGGTTCGAAGGATAAAATTCACACATTTGGACCGTCAATGTTGGTTTTTGTTACCTTATCTGTTAACATGTTGCGGACGTGTGATTTTACCATACAGAAGGTTCCCAAGTATTAATGTAGATCTAAGGATATATAAATTTCTCGCCTCGATCAAAAG